GCTTCACCCAACTTGGATGAAAAAGAAATACAGCTGCGTGTCATCAGCATACTGATGCCAAGAATGAGCTCCCATGATTCTCATATTTCAGATTCTCTCTTAAAACACTTCCTCTGAAATATTTCTAAAATATTGGATACAGGTATCTCTTCTTCAGTGGAGTGAGAGACCAAGTCCTGACCAGTGACTAATTTTTTTCTAGCATCAAATGTGCTGGCTGGTGACAGGGCTCTGATAACCTGTGAGATACTACAGGGGCAAAACTAGGCTTTATTTCACCTGAGTCAAAGACCCAGTTTGGCACACACCTTGACAGCATACTACAACATTTCCAGCAATATAGATTTCCTAGACAATTTGTGAGTAACTAAGAAAGCTGTTGTGATTACACAAATAAGGAATAATAATAAGGAAGCTGAAATATTTTTATTGGACAGAATGCTGATCTTTTGAATCCCATTTGCATTCTTTAGTCACTATATTTCTTTAACACATACTGCACTCTGCCAAGTTTCAGTTTAACCTACGAGAGTCCCCTTTGTGCCCCCTTGTTTATACTTTAAAATATCCAGTTTTGAACTGCATACGTAGGAAGCCTGCAATAATGTTATGAAGGTATTTAAGGCATCTCACTGCTCCCAAGTAACTGAAACTCCCATCCCTCAGTTTTCAATTACCTATTATTAAACCACTTTGTCTCCTCTCCAATCAAATCCACTTCATATCTCATTTCATTGCAGTTCCTTATTTCATCAGTAACATTCTATATCAGAGTAACATGCTTCAAAAACACTTCCACTGCAGTTCATATACTTCCTAAAGAAATAGGGGTAGGGTAAGGGGAACAGAATCTTGAGATGTCAGTGAACTATTAAATATGAAACCAATTACTACCATAATGGGGCTCTGCAATGGGACCAACATTGCTACCACATGCTACAGGGCATAACAACGAAGCAGAATTACACAGCAGTCATGCATGCATTTACCTCTAAAGCCATGAGGTCTGAAGTGCTCATTCTATATAGTGGAACAAGGTTTGTATTTCTTCTGCATAACTAGAAAATGATGACATCTTTATAAACATGAAAAATTGAACAAGAAACTCACAAAATTTCTCTTTTAAAAAACCCTTTAAAGCTTTTAAAAGCACTGGTCACACTGGCAACTTGAAAACTCTTCCTTTCCTCCAGCAATAGGTGCAGTTGACTTTCAGTAATCAGTACCAGTTTTGGATACTGCTTAATATTTTCCGTATATAGTGGTACCTCTGGTTACGAACTTAATTCGTTTCGGAGGTCCGTTCTTAACCTGAAACCATTCTTAACCTGAGGTACTACTTTAGCTAATGGGACCTCCTGCCGCCGCCACCACCGCACGATTTCTGTTCTGGGTTAGCAGAGTCTGTAACCGGAAGTGTTTGTAACCCGAGGTGTTTGTAACCTGAGGTACCACTGTAGCAATTTTGTGTTTAACAACGTGTATGTTTATAATAGTCCTACTGTTTGTGTAGTCACACGGAGCAGAACTATTTTGTTTAGAATCATCCAAGCCCACATTAGGAAGTTCAGCAAGTTAATCCACTATCTATAGTGTCCATGCCAGACTCTCAAACACAATACAAACTTACACTGATTCCATCTGAAAAAGATACATTTTCAGCCCAACAACTTCAAACAATCCTGACCTTTCAAATATTCAAACCATGCTTCCAAACAGGATGTGCCCACATGCCAAGTCACAGGCTCTAACCAACTCCAGGAAACATGCATTTAACTTCAAATGCATACAAGTTATCCTAATGAGTCCAATTGTTTACTCACATTAAATGTTTCTAGGACTGGAGCTTGAACCATAAGATGATCTGAAACCTGCCTAGGGATATTGGAAACCTAGGAAAGTCATAGGTGGAGAAGCATCTATTAAGGTCTTCAGACAGTTGTCATTTCAGGAATCAAATCATTTTATAAATAAGTGCTTAGAAATCCACTTCAATAAAGATCAATCACACACAATAGTGTGATTTGTATATTTGTGTAAACGGCAACACACACAAATTATATTTCACCTGGCATATGAAGGAACTATCCCTGAAGTACAGCAAAAACAATCTCTGTAGGAAAGTGTTAAATTTGAATAAGGGATTAAATTAGTATTATTAATCCTGCTGTTATTTTTACAGATGACACTGTTTGTAATTCAGCTACCAAAGACAAAGAGAAACTGTAATACATTATAATCTAGATCTGAAAATGAATTAAGTTGAATACACATATACGACTATAGTGCAACACAAACAAAAGTAGATATGCTTACATTTTAGGCAAAACACAGAAAACACTTGAGGGTTTTTTTGTAAATTCTATATGATGATAGTTAGACACTACCTTTATTAAATACAAAGTAATGTATAATTTTGAGTTGGGGAGAGATTTTCAGGGTGGAGTAAGTAAGGAGAAGGAAAAAATGTTGCTAGACATGACAGAAACCCCTATCCTCACTTTGTAACAATCTTAAGAGAACAGAGTCATTCTGCATTCTTAATTATATTAGATTGTATCTGTAAAAAGACCTCAGGTTGCAACAAGACATGCTGAGACCAAGAATGGTCTCTCCCTTTCAATACATGTGACTCAGAATTTTTATAAAGTAAGGAGCTGAAGTAAAGAAAAACACATTAGCAAAGCAGGAGATTAATTTTAGACAAATAGCCAACTGAGAGTATTTCCCAGCAGCTGGTAGACTTAAGCATGTGAAATGCCTCTTCCATTCTGTTTTGAGACTGATACAAACTTCGGGTTCAACATTTTTCCTTTTCCTTTTCTCTACACCCCCATTTTTTGTTTAACAACTGAAGACTTATGATCAACTCAGAAGCTTGCATGATTTGTCATTCCAGCTGGTCTTAATAAAGGTACAGTGGAACCTCGGTTTTTGAACGTAATCCATTCCAAAAGAATGTCTGACTTCCAAAATGTTGGAAAACGTACACAATTACTTCCGGGTTTTTGACGTTCAGGTTCTGAATCGTTCAGCTTCTTAAACGCTCAAAAACAGAGATTCCATTGTATTCATGTTACTCTCTCTTTATTGAACTTTTCTAGTAAACCTGCAACCAAACAGATTCAGGCAAATGCTGGCTTCTATACTTTCAAGGAGAGAATGGCCACTAACTTGATCTGCAAAAAGTCTCTATGGTTGTAGCAAACTGCAGACTGGGGCTTCCAATGACAACCAGCAACATCTTCCCCCAACCTCTATTTTGTCTCTCAAGTGTTATTTTGCTCTCGAATAACAAGTGTTTACTTGCATTCCAGTCTTAGACAGAGTTCTGGTGGACTTGAAAGCTTAGACAGTATATTAGTTCTGTGATTTTAAAACTGGTCCTAATAAAGGTACTGATTTACTATTCCAGTATGAAATTTATACTTTAGAGATCCAGTGTTTTACCTTATTTTTCACAGTCACCTCACTGACCACCAGGCAGGCAAACTAACTATTCTTTGGAACAATTATTAGACCTGAGAGAGTCAGGAAGATAAGCTGAGAATAGCTGAATTGTTATCTACAAAGGCCAAGAAATGGCCTTCTTAGATCTATGAAGCTAACACACTCCTGTCCCAATCACAGTGAGGGAGATATTACAAGTCACATCACCAGCTTTTTGAGGAAGGGCACACACAAAAGAAAACCTGAGAAATTAAAAAAGCAGCCATACAGCTGTGAGAAGTTAGGGCAGAGGAGGGATGCATCCCAGGAACACCATAAAGGTTTGGATACTGCAGAACTAGAAAAAGTACACAATTATAGTGCAGTACCCATCAGCCCTAAGAGCTACAGTTAACCTGTACACAACATCTACTTGATTTTACATTGCTTACATCTGTCGGATCCTTTGCATGCAGACTCCCATTTCCTTCATTTTCTTTCTGTCTGTCCTATACTCCCTTCTCTAAAAGAAACCTTCAACTGCACACACAGAGGGAAATGGAAAAGGTGCCAGTGGTGGAACCCATCTTAGGTCCAGGCACTCACAAGCTGAAGACCATGACTCCAAGCCTTAGAATTATAAGTCATGCCTGAGGCAGGTAAAAAAGAGCAACTTCACACTAAAAATGCAGAAAAGGGAAGCACGATTTGGCTGAAAAGTTAGAGATTAATGAACAGAGGTTGAGCTTTTTGGATCCCACCCTCACCCAGGACCTGTGTAAAGTACAAATCAGCCTCACGCCACAATCTCCGGTGTTGATGCCAGTGCTTCTCAAAACAAAAGTTTACAATAGACGCTTCCCCAGCCAAAAAGCCTCACTGCCTCTTTCTAGAGGGAACCGCAGCTGAAAAGCCACTTTCTCCAGGGAACCCGGAAGCCCCAGAAACACGCCCCTGCCACCTTTGCACCTCGCCGCCCAGAGCCCCTCTTTCCTCCGCGCGCCCGCCGGAGCTAGCAGAGGCGCGGGGCTCCGGACCTCTCTGCGTCCGAGGGAACCCCGGAGGCGCCGCCGCCGCCGCGCTCGGAAAACACATGGGCGGCCGCCGCTGCGCCTCCGAAAGGCGGGGATTCTGCCCGCGGACAACCGCACCTCAAGGCGCTCGAGGAGACACACCCCCAGCCGCCCCATGGCAAGGCAGCCTGGCGCGGGCTGCCTCGGCCCCCCCCCTCCGAGCAACTCCGCCCCCCCCAGGTCGAAGCACCTACCTGAGGAGGCTGGAGAGCGGGTGCCCCCCGCCGCCGCCGCTGCCACCTCCGCCGCCGCCCCCCGAGGACCCGGAGCCGCCGCCGGAGCCGAAGCCCGAGCTGAGGCGCTTGCCCGAAAGCAGCTTCTCCACGGCGGGGAGGTTCCCGGTGCGGGCGGCCTCCAGCAGCTCCTGCTCTTTCCCCATGGCCCGGCCCGGGAAGCCAAACCCCCCGCCTCTATACTACTACCCGTCTTCGGCTGCCGCCGCCGCCGCCGCCGCCGCTGCCTCAGCCCAGCCGGCGCGTCCTTCCGGGGCGGAGCCGAGGAGGCCACGCCCCCTCGCCGAGCGGCGCCTGCCCCCAGCGCTACCGAAGACAAGGAGGGAGCTTAGGTTATACATAGACATACACACACACATACACACACGCTGGCAATTCCCTTTCATTCAGTGGCTGCTTCCTGAAAGGATGAGGTAAGGCAAGGTAAAAGTGGGAGGCTACTACCCTTCCCCCACTGCGATCACACGGAACGTCCCCGTCACTTTCGGTCATCTGCAAGAAATATCGAAGGGTCCGCTCCAAGTGCACAGCAGGTTTCTCCGGATGAAAAGGACAAAGGGGCTAAGAATCTCCCTTGTGAAGATCTCTCGACAGCTGCTTCACAAGTTGCTGGTTGTTGTTGCTGTTGTTTAGTCCGTCCCCCCCAGGACGTCATTTGTGGGGAAACCTGCGTGTAGATTGTAACGTATGGAGATCGTACACTTAGCTATTTCGCTGCATGTGGGCATGCAAGGCAGCTGCAGTTGGGCACAGCTCCCACCTATGGAGGCAAAACATCTATAGCTGTTAATGACCAAGTGGTTACCCTGCAAATTGCACCTTCTGCGTAGGAAGTTGGTAACGTTTAAATCAGCCTTGCTAGCCAGTCTGCGTGTTACCCCAGGGGCACTCAATGTTGTGCCTTCCAGATGTTGGGAGACTGCAGCTACGGTCCGCCCCAGCTACTAGGCCTAATGGTCTGGGACTATGAGAGTTGTAATCCAGCATCAGGGAGGCACAATGTTGTTTAGCTCTGTTACCCTCTCAGGCTCTGTTTTGCTTTTAATCCTGGAATTTTAGAGTGAGGGGTGGAGAAATCAAAGCCTAAGGACAGTAGTAGGCTGTGTAAGGTATGAAAAGCAGTAGCTGAAATAAACATGTTGGCAGATGCTTCAGTACCTTTACAATGCCTTGTTGGCCAATGCAGTTTGTTTTATTTCAAAGTAGGATTTTTCTGCTCAGTGTTTACGTTCTGCCTTATCTAGTTAGAGGGTCATAGGACTGAGACTGAAAAGACTTTGCCTGAGCAGTCATTTTTAGTGTGGTTTCAGAGAAACTACACTCACACACTTTCCCCTGCTCTGCAGCTAGAACTAAAATAGCCCTCTCAGCCTGGACAAGGGAGCAAACAAGAGAATTGGAGTAGACCAGACACAAAACCAGCAGCACAGAGGCAGCAGGGAGTTTCAGACAGCCCTTGCCACGCCTGTTTGATTTGAGCAGGATTTAACACACACACATACCTTGCTCATGAGCTGATTGAAAGGAGATAAAATCCTGCTGCCTTGGCTGTGTGCCCTGCAAAGAATTTATTCCCACTGCTCTGATCATCAGGTGATGTCACCATGATAGGCCTGTAGGCCAGAGGTTCCCAGCTCTACTTCCGAGTGCAGCTGCCACTTGAAGTGGCCAGTACTGGATCAAAGCAGAAAAGCTTTTGCCCATCTATTTCATTAGATTTTGCTATTTCCCAAGGTGCCCTAGAGCCTCCCAAGGTGCCCTAGGGACTGGCTTCCTTTATTGTGAGCCTGTGTGGCTAGAGTGTCGGACTAGGACTAGTTGACCTAAGCTGAAAACTTTACTCTTGTCATGAAGTGCTCTAGATAACCTTGGCAACTCATTATGGGTTATCTTCTATGGCAATCACTTGGAGCCGAGTAAGATTGTCTTCCATGAACTCGGTCTTAACTGTGGGTCTGTAAGTGACTGTGGAGGCCAATTCTAGATCCACACATCCTTACACGGTGGGAACATGGGTTTCCAGGCGGGAGTTGATCATGGTGAGTGTTTGCCAAACATGCCTTCCTCTTAGCAAGTTTCTCCCTTTTGTCCTGAGTTCGAACGTCTTCAAAGTCCATGACACCTTTGGTAAAGGCTGTTCTCCCGTTGGAGTGCTCGCAGGCCAGTGTTTCCCAATTGTTGGTGTTTATCCTACTTTTTTTAGATTTGCCTTGAGAGAGTCTTCAAACCTCTTTTGTTGACCACCAGCATTACTCTTTCCATTTTTAAGTTCGGAATAGAATAGTTGCTTTGGAAGACGATAATCAGGCATCCGAATAACACGACCAGTCCAACGATGTTGATGTCGAAGAATAATTGCTTTGACACTGGTGATCTTTGTTCCTTCCAGTACACTGGCATTAGTTCACCTGTCTTCCCAAGTGATATGTAGATTTTTTTGGAGACACCGTTGATGGAATCTTTTGAGGAGTCAGAGGTGGCATTTATAAGTGGCCGATGTTTTACAAGCGTACAGTAAGGTTGGTAGTACAATAGCGTTGTAAACAAGCATTTTGGATTCTCTGCAAATACCAATAGCCAATGCTAGTCCTACTCTGAGTAGATCCATTTACATTAATGGGTATGACTTAGTTCCATTAATTTCAGTGGACTAGGTTAGAGTCAACTCTGTCTCTTATTCCATCCTACCTGTTGTGAGGAGAACCATTTGTGCCAACTTGAACTTTATTTACATGTAATAATAAATAAATAACCCAGCTGCCTGATAGTTTTATGTGGGAAAGTAGGCACATGCTCATTCCCCATAACACACACTGAAAATAATGCATGAGATAAACCTTGTGTTGATATTATTTCAGTTCTTTTGAGAATTATATCACACACATACATACAGTAAGGTATGTCTATGTGTGACATAGTGTGTGTGCGTACACAAATAATGACCTTGAAAACTTTGGGGTTGTTTTCAAATTAGCTCTGAAACTGAGGACAGACAATAGTTTTAAGAAAGTTTAAGTTAGAGCCATTGTTGTTCACAGAATGCACACCGTTTTCCTTTGTTCTATGATTCCTGGTCAAACAGGTTTTGATGCACAACAAAACCTTGCAAAACCTGATTGACCAGAAGCAATAGCGGGACAGGAGGGAGTGTGTGTGTGTGTGCGCGCATACTGCAAGCAATTACAGCATTACAGCAGTCTTCCACTTTCTAAAACGTACAGTCTGCCTCCATAAGTCCTTGCTGATTGTCCCTCCCTCCTTAAAATAACTTTGTGGTGAAACTGGTGATTTTGTTCTATGCTTGATTTTGCATTAAAAAGAAAAGTGTGCTACTGTTGCTTTGTTGTCTACATAGCTCCTAGTGGAGGGCCTGTTTCACCTAGGGTAGCAGTGGTTTGATGCCTACACACCTTAGTATGATAACAATAGTCACACTGCAAGAATTAGTGGTTCTTGTGACTTGTCAGGATGCTAGTCAGCTTGTATATGAATGCCTCCATCTTTATTAGTTTGTCTCTTACCAACTCCAGCCCAACAATTATATTAAATGTGTTTGTATTCAATTTTTCATCCCCAAGTACTGCTTTTCCTTCATCTGACATTGAATGTGTACTCATAAACTTGCTTTATGCAGAACACACCTTTAATGGTCTTAAAGGTAAAGGTACCCCTGACCATTAGGTCCAGTCGCAGACGACTCTGGGGTTGCGGCGCTCATCTCGCTTTACTGGCCGAGGGAGCTGGCGTTTGTCCGCAGACAGCTTCCGGGTCATGTGGCCAGCATGACTAAGCTGCTTCTGGCAAACCAGAGCAGTGCACGGAAATGCCGTTTACCTTCCCACCGGAGCAGTACCTATTTATCTACTTGTACTTTGACGTGCTTTCGAACTGCTAGGTGGGCAGGAGCTGGGACCGAACAATGGGAGCTCACCCCATCATGGGGATTCGAACCACCGACCTTCTGATCGGCAAGCCCTACGCTTTGTGGTTTAGACCACAGCTTACCTAGACCAAGACTGTAGATAGGCAGACAATGACAAACATATCCTTCACTCTAAAGCATCTCTCTATAAGCAAATGTTAAGCATCATGCAGGCAAGGATCTCAACAGCATTTAAAAAACCAACAGCTTATGTTCTATACATGAGCTTTCTGATTTCTTTGTATTCTCTAGTACAGCCATGATGCATTACCCCCTGAAAAAATCTTGACACAAAATGTGTTCCCTTCTTTATTTTATTGGTTTAACTTTAATGCATTTTTGTGTTTCTGTGATGTCATTCAAAGTGATTTACAATTTTAAATACTAAACGAATGTACAAATATAGAAGAAAATTCTGCTCAGTTGGATAAAGTGTCTCATCAGGAGTTCTGATTAATCATCCTGCCTCTTACAACTCCGCCATTACTTATTGTAGAGGGCATGGTCTCACACACCTGTTTTGTTTTCTCATCTTTAACTAAAAGCTTTTACCTATTTATGCATCCCATTACCACTGCCCCACCATGTATCTAAATACCAAGTCAATTATAATACTTCAGTTTACCTACTGGTAGCTATGTACAAGCCTAAAAATGGGGCTGGACTCAACTAACTTGTCCTGCCAGCAGAAGCCCGCAGAAGGACTGTTGCTAGTGCAACAAGGCTTTATCCCCTTTTTTCCCCCGCATGCCAATGTGCTTTTGGGGGTCAGGTTTTTTTTTTCTTAAGAAAAAAACCCAGAACAGCATATAGGAGGAGGAAAGGAGAGATAATTCTGTCAGGCACAACTGACCTTAGTGCTATGTTGAATTCCCCCATAGAAAATTATGTGTTGTTTCAATATAAAAATATGTTGATGTTAATTTGTACAGTTCCTAGATCTAAATGTTTACTTGGTTACTGTTTCATTAACTCAGAATGGTTACACTATAAGAGTACTTTTATTTAAGAAGCCAGCTTTGATTTAGTTTGTCCCCCTATTTAAATCTATAGCCAGTTTCCCTAAACACATTCAGTTAACACTCACCAACTAAGACTTGCAGTTCCCACTCAGGTCTACTTTTTTCTGGAGTCTCTCAGGCTTCTATCAGGACTTCGGCCACCATCTTCACCTAGGTCCAGGACTCTCCTCCTTCAGGCACTTGCATTCAGCAGCGTCATTGACTCTTGGCTTCAGAGCTCTCTCAAAGGCTGTCTCTGGGATGCTCCCTTTCCCCCTTATACCTCCTCAGCTCCATTTAAGTGTTCTTGTCTTCTCTCAGACTCCTTTAAGTCTAGATGCCCTCCACCTGGCTCCAGCTTCCAGCTCTATTGCTGCTTCTTACACTGACTGACTTGTGACCCATCCACCTGCCAACATTAACTGTGGCTTGAGGCAGCCCTTTTATTTCTAACTGGAATTCTCCCCTCTCACCAGACCCCAACTCTAGTCCAATGGGATGAGACAAAATGTCCACTGACCTGACCCATCAAATCACACCAGTTTTCAAACCCCCAGTGACAGCATTTAAAGACAGAACCTCATTCCCAGAGCTACCTTTTAGACAATGTACGTTAATGTGACAGTTAAAACACTCAGTCACCCACTAACCTCCTGTTGGTACCTTGTATATAAGATCACATCCGTGCAATACAATTGACATATATGGCATCCTCCAAAGAATTGGGAGCTGTACTTTCTTATGGGTGCTGGAAACTATAGCATTTTGGGGGGTAAACCACAGTTCTCAGGATTCTTTTGTGGGAAGCCATGTGCTTTAAATGTATGGTTTATATGCAGTTTACCCTTTACATACTTTACCTCTGAAACTGAATTTAAAAATGAAAGTATGAACTCTGACCTGGGCTTCCTTCCTTTTTGGAATGATGTAGATACAGTGGTTGGCTACCAAAGAACAATGGAATGCCCTCCTCAGAGAGGCTTGCCAGGTGCCTACATTGTGGTCTTTTTGGTGGCAGGCAAAGAAATATATATCCTCAAGTGTTTTATTTTATTTTATTTTTGTATATAGTTCAACAATCCCAAACTTTGAGAAGTCAGTAGTTATAAAGGTGTGGTGATCTGTCATAGAACAACCCCACTGAAGAAGATAACAGTGGTTACCCAGACCTCATTGCTGGTTGCGAAGGGGCCCCCATGACAGTTCAGGCTTCAAGGCCTCCAAAATGTAGGTCCATCACTGGCCATGGCAACAAATAAGTATGGTCCAAAGTCATGTGCGTCCTTGAATTGCAGCCACCTTTACGGTCTTGGGTTCTGTGTTTTGGTCATGACTAGTTGCCTGAAAGAAGACTTATAAACATGTCCAAAGATGCACAAGTTGGTGAATAGATGCACATTTTAAAGATCCACCATCCACTTTAATATTCAAGTTCAGTTTAAAAATAAGCCAGCAACCCAAAAGTCCCCTTGCCCAGTGGCTGCTACTCTCCCTCTGTAGCATTTCCACTGTTCAAACGGGAATACAGTATTGTTGTTTTTATTGAAGCCGACTGAGACGGTCGCCTTTCTGGCATTTTTCACCTTGCAGCTCATTTCCCCCTTCCTATGCTTGGGCGTGATGTATTGCTATGGAAACAGAGACCGGAGGTGGACGACGCATCTCCGATGACGTCACGAGAGCGCGACAGATCCTCCTCCTGGGAACAATGGCTGAAGCTGCAGAATCTCGTACGGAGAATGCTATTCTTCCGCCCGCTGTATCTTCTCCATCTCCCGCGGAGGAGTCCTCTAACCTCGCCGCGGAATTAGCGGAGGGGCAAGCGAAGGCTCCTGTGGAGGTGAAGGAGGAGGCGCAGGTTCGAGAGGTGTGTAGAAGAGAAGGAAGCGACGCTCACATTAACCCTTTTTTCCTTCGACTTGCTCTTCAGCTATTCTTGTTTTGGGGGTCGATGGGCTGCTGCTAAATTCCTACTTGAAAGGTGGTTGGATTTCCCCTCCCCGGTTCCCTGTGCTCCAATTGCCCATATTTATCAGAGACAGCATCTCTTTAATGGTAATTCTTGCCAGAATGTTGTGGCACCTTAAAGACTTAACAAATTAGTTATTCACTTCATCATATACATGAGAAGTTATCCTCAGTTGCAGGTAGGCATATAAGCAAAGAGGGGATTTTGACCAGCGAGATTAGAGGGAAATGGACTACAAAAAGTACACCCACTCAATTCAGTTAGAGCAGGGAGGGGGAACCTATAGACCACCCTAGGACTAAAGCTCCTCTCACCCTGAACACTGCTATTCTGCCTCTGCTTATGGAAGTTGGGAGTCCAACCACATGTAGAGGGCTACAGGTTGACCACGGCTGAATTAGACCTTAAATGTCTGGGAAATGGACAGACTGACCCTGTCACTCCTGCCATAAAGTGTCACATTGCTTATTTTGCATTCAGGCTCTATTTTCATCATCACCGGCTGTAATCTTGTGTTTCATTTACTTCTTTTCCCCCTCTTTACCATCTCACCTCCCTATGTGTTGCATTCATGCAATACAGTAAAAGGATAATGCTCAATGCATCTGATGAATTTATATATTGTTTAAGGCATTTATTCTTTAGCCAAAAATGCTCCTACAGCAGCTTACAAAGGAAAGGGGAAGGGCCATAGCTCATTGGTAGAGCATATGTTCCTATGACTCTTCAGCATAATATCTCTCTTCAGCATAATATCTAAAAGACATAGGAAGAAAAAGGGCTGGAGAGGGAGGAAGGAAAACAAGCTCAGGCCCAAGTTCTTAATTGACATATAGGATCTATAACTTCATCTGTTCATGCACATTCTGTCTTGTACCCCTTCCCCTGATCAGATTCAAGAATGGAGCAAATAACAGTGCCCAGGCCAGGATGTCAGGGTTGCTGCTGCACCATACTTATTTCTGCACTTGGAATCTATGAAAACTTGTGTCATAATAAATCTGTTAATCTTTTAAGGTGCCACAAGACTCTGTTGTTTTTACTGCAATGCTGAACAGTAAACATAACCTCCCTAGAAACTGGTAAATCTTGTCCATCTTGCCTTCTGGTCGTGTCTTTTTTTTTACATATTTATGTGTGCATAAACACACTGCCCGAGGTATCTTCAAATTCAATCTTGTTTGGACTACACTTGAAGTTCATGAACACAAGATACCAATGCAATGTTTGACTTCCATTTCCTCATCATCACAACTGCCTTTCCAGATTGATGGCTGTGTTCAAGGTGGTTATTCTGTAAGGATTAAACTTTAAGGGCAGTACTTTAAGTAGCTCCGCTAGTGCAATGACTTTTGGCTGTGCAGTGGAACTTCACATCCATCTCCTCTGCCTGTGGTTCCCCCAATCCTCCAGAACAGATTTTTTTTTGTGTGGGGGGGGATGGAATTGCATGGGGAGAAGAAAAGAAAGGGAAGTTCCATTTTGCACAAACAGAAATCCTTGCGCTAACAGAACCACTTTGTTGGGTACCACCTTGTTACACTTTATTGCCAGTCTATTAAGAACCCATGCTTCCAAAGCTAGTGCAAGAAAGGCTGTTACATAATAAATTAAAATAGTGTAACCGCATGCACAGAATACCCTTTCGTTATGTGTAAGGGGACAGGGTGCTTCTTGCATGATGACCCTTGGAATAAGAATTGTTTTTTATACAAATGTTAGTATTTTATCAGTGAAATGCCGAAGGGTATGTCTACTCCCCCCACCTCCCGCATGCTTCCATGCTGTGCAAGTCACTGATTGAAATAAAATCTCAACATTGGAGAGAGAAGGAATAATATTTTTTTTTTAAGTTCAGTTTTTTGAAGAAGTTGAAATCTTGTTCTATCTTTTCTTTAATAAAATACGCAAGTCACGACATGTATGTGGCAATATAGAGAGTGGACCTAATAATAAAAATAATGAAAATCTTTTGCACATGACAACTTTAATTTGAAACTATAACTATAACCAATCTGAACATACCAACACTATAGCCAAGCTGAACAAGTTTTTTTTATACTAGATTAAAACAGAGTACGAAGAAACAGAGGAGTCTACTTCACAGCCTTGTGCAGCCAAGAAAATAAAAATAGAGATAAAGGAGAAAAAAGAGAAAAAACATAAAGTAGATGAAGATGAGATTCAAAAAATGCAGTAAGTAATCTTACATCTACATGACATAAAGCTTTTTATTAATGCTAAATGGTTTGTATAATAGGGGGCTTATAAGATAAGCTGTAATGTCTTGTAGATAAACTGTACTGTTGATTTCCCTGCCTTTTGGGGGGTGGGAGGGAAGGAGGTGGTACTGAGGCTGCAACCCTATGCATACTTACTTGGGAGTAACTAGTGAGACTTACTTTGGAGTAAGCATGCATAGGATCAGACTGGAAATTAAATTTACAACCAAGAAATACTGAGGTAGCAATCCTATACACATACCTGGCAGTAAGTCCCATAAAAAAACTTGTAATTTGTATGTGATTGTTAGTGCTTGGATTTTGATGATGTTTTTATTATAATTTATTTCCTCAGAATGGCTTTGGAAGGAGCCCTGCTCTTGAAAAGTGTCATAAAAGCTGCATAAATTTAAAAAATGGTCTTAGTGGGACAGTTTTGAGTAGGCATGTATAGGATTGAACGATTCATCCTGTAACATAGGAAGGAATAATTATCGTGTGGCACTGCACGATACTCTCCCCTTCCAGATTCTTTCTTTCAAACAAAGTACTTTACCATTGTCTTTCCCCAACTTCACAAGCTATGCAGTTTTGTAGCTATAAAGATGTGTATAGGGTAAACGTGTTTATCTAAATCTGGGGTATAATTGGTCTTTTCTTTCTAGAATTCTTGTTTCCTCTTTCTCTGAAGAACAACTAAATCGTTACGAGATGTATCGCCGGTCAGCTTTTCCTAAGGCTGCTATTAAACGGGTACGGTTCTGTTCCAATTCAATTTAAAGTAAAGCAGCTTGCTGAGTTGTATCTTATGATGTACAAATGGAACCTGCAACATAATGTTGCAGTATGGAGTGCTTAATTTCAGGATTACTGTCAATCAGCCATGTCCGCTTCCTGCATGCTATATAAAATTCTCCTCTTCTTTCCTTTTTGTTCCCACCCATCCCACACCAGTCAGATAGTACCGTATTTTTCGCCCTATAGGGCGCACCAGTCCATAGGGCGCACCTAGTTTTTTTTGGGGGGGGGGGAATAAAGGGAAAAAATTATTTCCCCCCCCAGGCGCGGGGCTGGGGCGGGGGAAGCCCGAGCTTCCCCCGACCCCAGCCCCCAGAACAGGCTGCTATACGCAAGCCTTGGGAGCCCGGCGGGAAGTCGCGCCGGGCTCCCAAGGCTTGCGGAGAGCTGCCCGGGGCGTGCTCCGCTGCGCTCCCCAGGTTTCGGGCTGCAGGCTGCTGTCCGCAAGCCTTGGGAGCCCGGCGGGAACTCCCGCAGGCTCCCAAGGCTTGCAGATAGCTTCCTGAAGCCTGGAGAGCGAGAGGGGTTGGTGCGCACTGACCCCTCTTGCTCTCCAGGCTTCAGCGAAAGGCTGCATTCGCCCCATAGGACGCACACACATTTCCCCTTCATTTTTGGAGGGGGAAAAGTGTGTCCTATAGGGCGAAAAATACGGTATTCTGCACCCACTGAGCTAGCTCTGTACTCATTGGATTGTTTTGGCAGGCCCTCTTCCCCTCCCCATTTAGGACACATGACGACTTAGCAGGATACAACCCAATAGATGCAATATTTCCGTTACACAGATTATGAATTTTAAACTTCAGTCTGACATAAACTATGCTGAAACCCTGTGGCAGCACAGTTGTCATTGCCAGTAATGTTTGTGATTGGAACATAAAGAACTTAACCCTTTAAAATCAAATTATCATTCCCCTCCTCAGCTGATCCAGTCAATTACTGGAACCTCTGTCTCTCAGAATGTAGTTATCGCCATGTCAGGAATTTCCAAAGTCTTTGTTGGAGAGGTAGTAGAAGAAGGTGAGTAACAGAAGAATATTTAAAACTTGTATAGAGTTAAACAGGTTTTCTGTAATCCTTTATTCTGAAATATTATTGCAGTTCTTCATTTCTATGAATTTGCAATAGCTCAGTAGTTTTAAGAGAAATATGGCTATTAACACAGTGTAACAGTATGAATAATTTACCTAAGCACTTGCTTTCTAAACACAAAAATAGGATGTTACCCATTCTATCCTATGTATGTGCCCAATTTTCTACCCAATGGTAGGGAATACTTATTCAATTTTATCTAAATTCTCCTCAAATGGAAGAATTCTTAAGCCACTTGCGTTTATCTTTTAAGTTTTGGTAGCATAGTAATGGTATGCAGTACAGTGGTACCTCTGGATGCGAACAGGATCCATTCCGGAGCCCTGTTCGCATCCTGAAGCGAACGCAATCTGCGCGTGCGCGGGTTGCTGCTTCCGCGCATGCACGTGACGTCATTTTGAGCGCATGTGCAAGCAGTGAAACCTGGAAGTAACGCGTTCCGTTACTTCTGGGTCGCCGCGGAGCGCAACCCGAAAACGCTCAACCCGAAGCTACTTCAACCGGAGGTATGACTGTACTCCATTCCCCCACCCCAACAAGTTAAACTGCTGTTTTGACATTTTGATTCTCAGGTGCAAGTTATAGTATTTACATAACTACAGAAACTGAATATATACTAAAGTAGAGTCAACTGCTTTGGGTCGGAATTTAGGATAAGGAGATTGGTCTGTCAGTGCAAGCATTTCTGCTCGCATAATGGAACAATCTCTCCTCTCTTCTGCCCATGTACTCTTCTGTGGGATCTCCTGATCCACCAGAATGCATGAAGATGGAAAACATCTGTTGTGCTAGTGGGAGTCCTTGCACTGACTAGTTGAATCTGGCCTTTTGTTAGTCTATTTAGTCCATCGGCTAAATACTAGTATGCCTGGTTGTTAGAATGTAAAGAAATATACACACGTATCAACTACTTTTAAAGCTAAAATGTTTGTAGAAATAAGGCAGATTTTGTAACCAAATGGGGGTATGTAAGATGTATTGAAGCAACAAACTGATTTAAATACTTGTTTGTTTTCAGCACTAGATGTATGTGAAAAGTGGGGAGAATCACCCCCTCTGCAGCCCAAACACATGCGTGAAGCAGTCAGACGATTGAAGTCACGAGGGCAGATCCCAAATTCAAAATACAAAAAAATTATTTTTCACTGAAGAGGAGATTGGCGAAGAGTCTTCAGTGGGATGAAGATCATTCACCTTTGAATAAGTGTAAATAACTTTTGCAAATGGTGGCTTCAGATTGCTTAAAGCCATCTAAACGTATATGATTTTACTGGGGGAAACATTTAATAAACTACTTATGAAATTCTAGGTCATTCTGATAGAAGTTATACTGCATGCTATATTTGGACCGAGTACAGAAACATTTAAGTATGCAGTCAATAAACTGTATAAAACATTGCCATCGTAAGTTTATACTTATTGAATACCTTATTGAATATCAAATACCTTTTGGAGAGAGCAAAGGCAACTAAATAAGAAAATTCTTGTTTCTAAGAATGAAATGTAATGGCAATCATCTCTAATAAAGGAACTACTTTTAAATATTTTTTTCTTGAGACTAATGTTTGATTCTGCATCCAGTTCTCTGATATTAAACTTACAAGTTGTGTGAAATATAAGACCTGGTCAACGCAAAACTCCTAGAGTGTGCCATAATCAAATCGAGCAGGCAGGCGCAGCTCCAAAAACCAATAAAGAGCCACCTAAAGTAATGGATGCAGTTGTGTAATGACTTTGCCTCTGATGTTTTCTAATAAAGGTGGAACAAATATGCTTCACTGGAAACTATGTTCATAATATGTACCATTTATCAATTCATATTGCCAAGCACGGTTCGCCTTTTGTAGCTGCAGCAACAGCAATAAAAGGATAAGCTGCTGAGTATCAGATCGATAGCCTGACTATGATGCTGGAAAGTTAAAACTTGAGAAATAAATCAACAGAAACAGAGTTAATCAATTTAATTTATAACTCAGAAGTGGTTCACAGAACCAATACAATCAAAGGAGGAAAAAGTATATTGCAGCAAAATCCAATACGGTTGAATGCTTTAGTTTAGATTCAAGTCAGCCTTGTACCCAGTACTCTACCTGTGCTTGTAGCATTCCTGGTCATAGTTACAGCAGGAGCCACAAGAAACTAGGAGAGCCTTGCAACAAGTAAGAATCCCTTGGTGTATAAGTTACGGTATTACAAAGTAGTAAGTCTTGCTCTTCACTTCTTTTTACATTTAAATATAGCACTGAAAAAAGGGAGTGTCTTTAAGAACAGAACAGCAATGCAGTTTAGTAGTCCAGCGTCTCGGTATCAGCTTCAGTGGATTTCCTCCCTATTCCAGTAGTAAACATAGAGGAATAAATTAATCCTCAGTTGGGGGGAAGCATCTGGTCCATGCCCACCACAGTAAGCTGATAAGCAAGGCTCTTCCTACCATCAGTAATTAAAACCAAACAAGTCACACCATAAACTTAACATACCAGTATATCTTCTCTATGCTTTGCCTTATTTTAAGCACCCCAAAAGATACTGGAAACTGCTAAAAAAAACTATTTTCAGCAGGATAAAAATACATGAACTGCATTGTGCAGTTAAATTCTGTGTACCATTCTTATACATTTGCCTTTTCATGTTTTAACATGCTGCATTTTGCAACAAAAGATAAGATTTTTATTTTTTAGCATTCAATTTAAGAAAAAGCAGTGGGTGGCCTATATAAAATCTAACCATGGCCAAGACTATTTTGCTTCTTTCTTAGCAATAGAAGATATGCATATGCAGAATTGTTTACTGAAAGTTCAGGTTTGTTGGACTGCATGATCAGCAACTGCATGTAGGGGAAAATACTCTATGTGTAGTACACTTAACAACTAGTTGTTTACTTGTTGAATTCACAGAAAGTGCATGACTATACTTAAGATGTATGTATTTGGTGTGTTTTGGTACTATACTACAAATAGTATGAACTGCACTGTCAACCCCATAAAGATAAATTTTACAGACTTCAAAAACAGTTCTGTTCATTAGGCAAGAGTGGTCTTATACATAGGAGCCAACAGTAATACATACTACTCTTTTAATAGAGTTTTTCTGCCACTGCATTAAAGAAGGGCTATCCCACTTGGGCATTTTCCAATATGGAGAGGGTGATTCATGCTTACTCCAGTGTGTGGCTTGGGATTGAAGGGAGTGTTTTAAATAGGATGCCTTAGGAAAAAGGCATCAGCAATAGTTCACTGCACAGAAAATGAACAAGCAGAAGCTACAGCACATGCAGCCCGATATGCAGAAATCACCACTGATGAATTAATGAAAGTGACAGCACCACAGCACAGCTGGCAAAGCTTTCTGGAGTACAGCAGCCCGTTGCTAGCCTTGAGGGCTAGCAAATTATCTGAGGCAGCTGAAGACAGAGTCTCTCCCCCCGCCCCCCGCCCCGGTTCAGAACAAAAATTGTTTTAAGCTGCTCTCTGATTCACATAGTGAAGGTCACACAGTGACTGCTCCAAGGCAATCAGATCAAGGCAGACAAGCAGATGTCAGACACAAAAAGATGCATTCTGCAGCAATAGCTAAGGAATGGCATTGCCTCCAGCTACAAACTGTTTAATAAGTACTAGATAAGATTGGTTAACCATTAAAACACTACTAATTTACAGCAAGATTGCTTATTATGTTATAGCCCATTACCCTCTTCATGCTCCATTTTGTTCTGAACTCTATATTAATATAGGCTGTAGCTTTGATGGGACATTACATAACTCAGACTATTTATGGTACATATTCCACTGTTATGATTTGTGATTTTATTTAAAAAAAATAAAAACAAACCAGTCGTGTGTATGGTTAGCCTTTAAATATCTTTGACACTTTAACCCAGTCTGACTAATCCAACATGTGCAGTAGTAGAAACTTCTTCCCTAAATGTAAGATACTTGACTTAAACTAAACCCACTAATTCCTCTTATCTGACCAATCTTAATCCATATCATACTTTTAGCAGCCACATCTATGTATACCTGTATTAAGCATGATTCTTATGTCTCCAGTTTTAATATTCTAAAATTAACCACTTTTTGAAAATTGTGTAAGAACACATTCAGGCCTATATGTTATAGCTACATTTTCTTTTTAGGGATAAAAACTACCAAAAGTCAGCACAGGCACGTATACCGTACATCAGCCTAATCATTCACAAAGACAAGAACAGCCTTTGAATTTGCATCTAGGCATATGGTTTGGGAAGAATTGGCAATCCCTTCTTGTTGCTAGAATGTAGTGCATATTGTATCATCAGTTTGTTTTGCATCCATACAACATTAAAATAGTGTTTTAACACACTACAAAGACTAACCCACAAAAGTATTAAATGTAGTCATATCCAAAGGTACGAAAAGTCAGATGCTATGGGTGGCTTTTTTTGGTAGAGTGTAGCACAGGATTGTATTATCTAGTTTAATCTTGCAGGACTTCACAAGAGAGCTTGCCACCACTCTTCCACATTTGTTTTCCTACTGTGGGGGCAGGAAGCCTGTGGTCCTCCAGTTGTTGCTGGACTCGACCTCCAGCCAGCATGTCCAACAATCAGGGTTCTTGTGAGTTTTTGTCCAGCAACACCTGGAGAACCACTGGTTCCCCATCCTTGCTCTACTGGGTCTCATATGCTTCTTAGGGACATGGATGTACAGTATAGCTGTTTTCTTAAAAAGTCAGTTTCAGAGACTGGCCAACAACTAACATTTTGTTGAGTTGTGTGTTTATAAATGAAAACACAAAATTTTAAAAAGTAGAACAAAATGGCTGGTGGTGGAGTGTGAGAAGTGTGAGTTAGCATTCACACATTTGCTCATTCCCCAGTTCCAGGAGTGTTGTACAATATACCTTCACGATTTACACCCTATGCCCTTTTAAAATGTGGGGTTTTTTTTGGAGGGGGGAGGCTATTGGGTTGTTTTTTTAATTTTTGTTAGGTATTTTGTGCTTTTATATCTTGATTTTATTCTGTGAACTGCCCTGAGACACCCCCCCCAAGTATAGGGTGGTATATAAATTCAATAAATAATAGAATAATAATTCAACTAGGCACAGAACTCATTATAAGCTTGTCATTCATTAGAGGCTTAACTAACATCTAATTTCTGTAATCTTCAATATGGTAGTTTATGTATAGTGAGCAAGCATAGGCCTTCTGTTGTAAATTGATAGACTGTGTTTACTTGCCCGAGACTGGCTTTAACTGCTTGGAGAGTCATATTGTGCTAATTTACAGGCTGCATCTAAGGCTGGAATCCCTGGAGACATTCTTTCCTCCTTGCTATTACCTTTTCCCTCTATGTAGGCTTCATCATGCCTTGTTAAAACTGCTTCAGAGCAAAATCCCCTCTAAAATTGTTTTGGACACAACTTCTTTATGGAAACATCCAAGAAAACTAGCATTGGCCAAGCCTCTTCCAGAGCTTAATTGCTGTTTCATTCATTCCAAATAGCAAACAACGAGTGACAGCAGAAAGAAGAAAGGGTTGAGCGTTTAGCCACTCTACATAATCGCACACTAGAACAATTTCAACCAGCATTAATCTGGATTACAGAAAGTTGCAGCATAGTTTGCGGTTCATCATTTACCAAATGAACTGCTAAGGGCAGTGCATGATCTAGAGGGAATTGGCAGAACCCACTTCCTCTGTGCTGTCCAGGCTTATCTGTGTAGTGTAATGCAAAGGAAAAGTGCTTCCAACATGTCTCAGCTGTCAAGGACAGGACATTTGCAGCTTTTCATTAAATTAAACCCAGTAAGGGTTGTGATACTGCAAGAAGGCAATGGTGAAGGTCAACTGAGCTTATGAAGAAGTGGGAGGAAGGCTAGTGAAATGCTCCACTCAAAGTGTCTTACTGGAAAAGACAAGGGGTGGGGGAACAGTTTAATGGGAAACTGCGGCCACCAAAACCCATATCAGGCCTGATTAATTTTATACTTTCTGTTCCTAGCACCCGTTCCTGTGCTCAGCCTGTACCCCACCCCTCGTTCTTCTATGCCTCAGGCTCATGGTGCTGCACCAAAGCTCCATGAAATTTATTTTCAATGGTTGACAATGCTTCAGCAAAGAAGACTGACCCTTACTGTTTTGGTGTATAATATACATGTCCCCAATGCTACCCATCACCTCAAGCAGGAATGAAGCAGATGATGAGAAAGATTATTCATTTTTCAGCACCACTTTTAGACAACTTGAATGGGACAGAAACCTAGTTCTTCCTTGTTTGGCTTTGCAGCTTTTAGATTCAATGCTGCCATGTTTCAGCTGAAGTGTAGTTTCATGCTATCTGGACATGGGCTGCAAAACAAACACTCCAGATCATCATATTCCCACGTTTCCTCACTGCCTGTCCATTTCCATGTTCCATCTTCTGTAATGGCACACTGTTTCTGCTCCTCAAGGCAGTTACTCTGCATTGAAGATGGCCTAGGTAGCTGTAATGTAACAAGCAAGCTTTTTTATGCTGCTGGTGATCTCTGGTTGCCCTGAGCATCTGTAGCTCAGTCCTCTGCTGTCAAAGCTGGAAGAGAGGATCATATTTCCTTATTTCCTGTAGTAGGCGTATTTTGTCCAGATTGGCTTCTGCAAGGGCTTTTTTTGTGACCTGTAGCTCTCTCTCCAAAGCTGGAACTTCTTTTAGCTACAAAGACAAAATAAGGAGCAGGGGTGGGGGTGAAGAGAGATAAAGTATTTTTCAAGCTGTGAACTGCAAGACACAATTTGGATAGTGAGGCATTTACCTATATTATTCAAAGAGATGACTTCCCCAGCAGGAGTACTTGCCGATAGTCTAGTCTAATAGCTATTAGCTTTCAGGGACTTTGTTTTTAATGCAGTTATTCTTATTTCAGAAATTATTAAGTGCTTCATCAAATTAAAAAGTGGTTCATATTACACACACACACACACACACACTTTGTGGGTTGGTCTCAAGAAAGGAAAAGCAGATTGCAATCAAGGACCATTATTCAAGTTCCTGAATATCTGAGCACAGTTCTCTGTAGAGTAATCCCTGATTTTGCTGCCCAGCTTTTGGTTTTAATTTTTCTATTACTATTCAAACTGTAATGTAAGCATATAAATCAAATTATGTGCAAAATAATAATCAACATTAGATTCACCAAGACTGAATATTAGCCCATCAATAGCAGCATCAGCATATAAGAAGAACCATGAGCTTATCTTGTCCAATATCCTGTTTCCAACAGAGGCCAGCCAGATGTCCATGTGCAGCTAAGATTTTTAATGCACAATGCAAAGGCCACAGTATCTTTCATCTTTAAAATAAAATTTAATGCAAAACAGCATCATATTTTGTACCAATACCTATTTGTTTGGGATGTGCCTGTTTGTGTCTATACACCGCCCCCCCATACTATATTTGCACTAGTCTTGTCATTATGCAGCACCTAATGCAGGAATTGTAGCACCAAATCACAATCCTGGATTTGCTGAAGACACAGCAAGATGGGGGATGGTGGGAAGAGAAGGCAGATTGCATAACATCAGTGGCTGTGATACAGAAGCAAGAAAGGAGAGACAAAGAAGACGGGAAACGTGGTGGCTTAAAATAATGGAAGAGGTTTGAATAGATCAGAAAGAAGAACATGGAGGAATTGCTTTAAAAAAAAGTTTTAACAAGAAGAAATAGTGCAGATGGGTACAATACAGAGGCAAACACCAAAAAGCTAACGCAACAAAGCCTCTCTCAATTCCCTTCTCACTGTACTCAAATCTTGTTTTAAACCCCCACTTTTCCCCTTTCCTTTCTCCTGTTCCATTCAAATCTTTGTTGTTTAAAACTACCACATTTTCCCACTCAGTGTTTCTCCATCACTGCTCTACTCAAATCTGTTCCTCTTGCATTATTCAGTTGCCTCATGTGTGACAAAAAGGAAGGCATCCCCAAACTCAGCCCTCCACCTGTTTTGGGACTACAACTCCCATCACCCCTAGCTAACAGGACCAGTGGCCAGGGATGATGGGAATTGTAGTCCCAAAACAGCTGGAGGGCCAGGTTTGGGGATGCCTGCAAAAAGGAGTCCTCAAATATGGAGTGGAGCGAGCACAGGAAAAGAACCTTCACACACACACTTAAAAGAATGCAAAGTAGACATTGCAAAAGAAAATGCAGCAGGTTTTACAAGCCTAAAACTGGCAGAAAATTATCTGGGACTCTGATTTATACATGGAGATATGTACACAGGTTCCTAGTTCACTTTACTGCTTATCTATTAACTTTAACAGTACATTGAACTGCCAGATTTTGTTGATTTTTACTATAAGCAGAGAAGGTTTACAACAATACAGCTCACAGCGGAAACTACAATATTAATAGTGCTTTTCCTGAATTATTGTTTTTGAAATAAATCTGCAGCCTCAGAAACACTAAAAAGTAATAATAAAATGCTAAAGTAATTGTCTTTTAGAGGGAAACATTATAAGCTAGCATTATATTGGATGTTTTCCTCTAAAAAGCAAATACTTTATTACTATTGACACAGCACTTTTTGATGTAGTTCACAATTCAGATTTCTTTATTTTGGTCATTTCTTACAACCATGATGCAAGTAAGTTAATTGTAATTTCCCTTATAGGAGGGAAAGGCCATTAATCAGGATAAGAATGCATTTATTACTAATGAAGTGGCCCAGTATGCTAGCTTGCTTCCTACTATTGCCAGAGCCATTTTCAAAAAAACTCCGCAGTCTTGGGTACCAGAGACTGAATGATTCTATTATTCATACATTAACATGAACCAACTGTGTTGATGAAGAGTGTTTGAAGTCATAATGCAAGATGGTTATAATAGAACGTTCTTTCCTCTTTTTTTGTTGCCATCAGTGTTATCTGTTACACTCTTAATCACTTTGATATATGTATTAATATTTATTCCATTATTCCATTATAACTGGTGAATATAAATATTGTATCTATTCAAAATCCTGCTTCAGATAGCATTCTTTGCAAGAAATGCTACAGTGCTGTCTCTGAAAATCAGCAAATGACATGCTTGCCTTTGCTTCTGCAAAGAAATGTGAAAAGAGGGAAGGGAACGGAAACTGAGATATCCAGAAATGAGTACACAAGAGCTGATATTTGTAAGTACATTAGCAAGGAAATAAACATGCAGGTAGGGGCTTGTATTTCCCTCCCTTTTCCTTTAGTGACTGCAAGCTGTTAAGATATGGCATACCTGAAGTTCATCACTGGTTCCTGCTGAAACTGCAGAAATTCTCCGCTGTTTCTTAAGATCTTTCTGAAGCCTCTTCTGCATAGAAGATCCTCCCCCCTGTGCAACTGAAAAGTCATGCAGAAAACACAAGTATGATGAAATAACCTGCAGGATGTGGATGTTAAGATAAAGGCTCCAATGTTTTTTCAGAATGAGAAACTGAAGATAAGGGAGGGAAATAACTGAGCAGCAATATCCAACAGCACATTGCAATTTTAGTCTCCCAATAAATATTTTACACATCACTTAAATGCCATATTAATCATCTCAATGTACTGGTAGCAACAAAAAGGAAGCTGGGGGTGGGTTAAAGGTTCTAGCAGGCTTAGCTGTTTTAGCTGCAGCATCTTCCAGCCACTGCTACTGCCATTCATGGCACTGACCTTTTATACAGAATACTCCATCATCATCACAACAAACAACAACGTGGTCCACTGCAAGGATTAAAGGCACAGGACCAGGAGAAGTAGGGTATATTCGAGGAGTGTCATCCTGCAAAACAAAGAATATTAGCTATAAAAATTATTCTCTCCAATTTTTGCAGAAACCATATTTTCAATGCAAGCATTTCCATACCCTATCCCAATAAAGCATTATTATAATACAATGGAAGATCAAACCCAGTCCGAGGTCAGAATATAATGATGCCCATGCTTCCATATATGTGGACTGGGAGCAGGGAAGATGCAGTTAACTTTTGGCGGCAGCTCTTTGCTGCCATCTGTAGTGCAATGCCACTATAGATATGTACAGTGGTACCTCTGGTTACATACTTAATTCGTTCCAGAGGTCCGTTCTTAACCTGAAACTGTTCTTAACCTGAAGCACCACTTTAGTTAATGGGGCCTCCTGCTGCCGCCACACCGCCAGAGCCCGATTTCTGTTCTCATCCTGAAGCAAAGTTCTTAACCCGAGGTATTATTTCTGGGTTAGCGGAGTCTGTAACCCGAGGTACCACTGTAAAAGCTAAAAGGTAAAGGTAAAGGACCCAGAAATACAGATATGAATTCAGCTTTTGAAGGGACTAATTGAAATTGGAAAGTGGAAAGACTCTGCGTACGTATGCTAGATTGTGCATGGTCCTGAGGATTTCGGCCTATAAAATTTCATTTATTACACATCCGAAGTGATTTAGAAGATGTACTCCAAAGTTTCCTTTGCTTCAGATACCACTGCACTCTAATCAGGTAATAATGGTTCCTTTTGTATGATACAGAATTTTACAAAGGGTGGTGGAATATTTTAAAGCCTATATTATAACTGAGGAAAGCAAAGCACACAAGATTTGTTTATTTTCAGTATCTTGCCTTTCCAAGGCTGAAAGAGGCCATCAAGAAACCTGAACAAGACTGATGTCATGAGTTAAGAATGCCCTTGTTATCAGTTCCCAGAATGAAGAGCAATTAGCAGTCTTCTGAGGTCACCTGTTAAATTTTTAACAACTCACAGTGCTAGTTACATAACTCATGACAAAACATCAAAGAGGTAGATTCTGAGGGCTCTACCACATGATCCAAGTTTCTATCTTAATAGGGTTAGAGTGTGGGGGTGTGGGGGTGGAAGACTGAAAATACAATGTCTACCAGTAATCCCTGTTCACATGTTTACTGACATTCCTGAAGAACACTAAAAGGACAGTGACGCAGGAATGTTCATTCTTTTTCAGCAATACTTGTTCCTCTGTACAGTGGTACCTCGGGTTAAGTACTTAATTCGTTCCGGAGGTCCATTCTTAACCTGAAACTGTTCTTAACCTGAAGCACCACTTTAGCTAATGGGGCCTCCTGCTGCCGCTGCGCCGCTGAAGCCCAATTTCTGTTCTTATCCTGAAGCAAAGTTCTTAACCTGAAGCACTATTTCTGGGTAGGCGGAGTGTGTAACCAGATGCGTATGTAACCTGAAGCGTATTTAACCTGAGGTACCACTGTATACTTGAAAATGTAAACATACATAGTAATATCTACACTTCCTCCCAATACATTCTAAAGCTAATGTACACACTCTCTCTCCCACCTTCAGTGTAATCTTGGTGTCCACAATTTCAATCTTCATGGGAATAACTTCAGGGATCACCTCATCCTCAAGGAAGGGTCCAAGGCTGGAAACAAAGGATGTCAGGAGCTCTGCACGATAGCTATGAATCAGCATGTGGAAAAAACCATTCTGAACAGCCAGAGGTGAATGCACTGCAGCACTTGGTCCTATTTCATATTGTAAAGACACTTCAGGCTGGGTCAGGTTAGTTTCACTGGTTTGAGGTCTCTCCGAGTTTAGCTCTCCTAAAAGTATAAGGTGGTTATAGCAGCAGTATTCTATAGCTTATAATGTTGATAATTCTCCCATCCTCTCCCCCTACTAAAACTGTTTAACTAATGCCATTAATTCTATCAGCTAGCGCAGGGATGGGAAACCTGTGGCCCTACAAAAACTGTTAGATTATGATTCTTATCAAGCCCAGTCAGCATAGGGAATGGTCAGGGATGAAGACAGCTGTAGTTCAGCGAGATCTAAAAGGGCCAAAGGTTAGCCACACCTTAGCTAGTGGAAGGCACTATTACTGTTCAGAGGCTCCAAGCAGCAAGATTAAATCAATTTTGCCTTGGATTATTAGCCTCCCTAATAGAAATCACAACTACAGACATGGAAGATGGAATAATTTAATATGACCCCAAACAGTTTACAGGGCAATCTTGTAACATAAACACAGAAGTAAACCCCCGTGAGTTCCGTGGGGCTTGCTCTCATCTAACTGGATATATTTACTTGCTTTCAGCAGTCATATTAATGGAAAATTTATGTGTATTTGATTATCTAAAGCATTCAGCTTTATTTATACAAAATGAAAGTTCTCTTTGATAACGAGCCCTGAGCTTTGTAAAACTGGCTTCTCAAACTAAGGTTCCCTCTCTAACTATTATTCTTTTGAATACCCCGTCCTCCCAAGGATATTACCAGCTTAATTCCATCCTATTATATCTTGTGCTCTCTAGTGGCCAAAAGAGATACAACAAGGGGCCCACTTTAAGTTCAATTCCATTTTTAAAATGGAAACTTGTGCTACTAAAATAATCCATTTTAAGAGTCTGAAGCCACGTAATTTTGCCAGAGACATCACACTGCTGTCTTACATCTACACCACCTTCTGAAATCTAGCATTGTCCCTTACCTCTCATTAACCACATCCTGACACACTCAATATTAGAGATGAGGACACAGCATCTCTTTAAAAAAATTAAAAATTGTCCCTGGCCTTTCCCCAGCCTTTTTCTGCCTTCTTCACCACACATATTCCACCTTTTTACATTTTTAACTGTTCAGCAGAATCATGTGCCTCCTATTGGTAGAAAAGACAGGAAATAGTGAATAATACTTCAGCTTGGGGAAAGAGACACAGCTCGGTGGTAGAGCATGTGGTTTGCATACAGAATGTGTCAGGTTGAATATCTGGTATTTTCAGATAGGGCTGGGAAAAGACTCATGCCTGAAACCCTGGACACACCTGCCAGTCAGTGCTGACAAACTTGAGCAAGATGGGGCACTTGTGTAAACCTATCACAAAACCTAGAAGTCAGAGTTGTAGATCTATATCCCAGAGAAGTTTGTACAAAAAAAATAGTGGGTTCTTTCCTTCTATGTAAGACTGGAAGGCAAACACCCCACATAGGCACCAAGACTCCTGATTGTATTGTACAGGCAAAAACAGATCTCTGCACATGCATCAAAGCTACTGAACTTTACCTTGGTCAGTAACATACCTGTGAAGTCACCTTGCAGAAACTGCCACATACTTAGATTTCCTAGGTGCGCAGGAGTTAGCTCCATAACCTGAAGGGCAAGTCCCATATCATCTCCTTTCGTCTCTATCACACAGTTTACTTCTTTCATTTTCAACACTGAGACAGATACCTAAAACAGCAAGCCATAGAACAAATGAGTGCTGCAACCTAGTTGTTCTCTCTCTCTAACTCCTCAGGGAAATAATATTTAAAAGAACAAGAAAGAGATGACATCTGACCATCTGGGGGCTGGTGTCTGGTCCGCTGGGAGAAGCTGAGCTGTTGATATATGTTGATTCTCTTTCCTCATCTGCCATTGGGCTTGACCTGTGGCCTGCATCATCAAGGACTTGGGGAATGTGCCCAGGGGTAAGAGGATCCAGGCTAGACTCTGAAGAAAAATCAAGAAGTTCAGTAACAGAATCCTGAAACATCTAAAAAAACTACACACTTGGACTGGATTAATTTTAAAAACGTAAATGCCCCATAAGGAAAATTGCATTTCTAAGTAAGAGCTTATATGCCAGGCAATTTACTAAACATTTTAGTGGAAGGCAGGGGAGACAATTTTTGCTTATTTCCCTCTGAAGTGCTCAGCACCACTCCCCATGCTGTTCCACAGCATTTCCAATCCTTTGGCGAATATTTCTGGGAGACGGGGGGGGGGGGGGTTGCAAGGGGAAGGGGAAATAGATGAAAATTGCCTCTTCCACCAGCATCATCATCATCATTTTTTTATTTGTATGCCGCCTTTCCACAGTTAAAAAAACAATGCTCAAGGCGGCTTACAGCATGACAAGATTTACATAATTACAAAAGTCATAAACAATAAATAAACCACATAAAAAAATACACAACTAAATGGGAAACAATTTCCACATAAATCAAAATCTAAAACTAAGAATACAGCATTAATATCACAGTTTAAAATGACATAGGTAAAAAAAAAGCAATTTAAACAAAAAACAAAAACAAAACAAAATGGAGCCCTCTCTGCCCAGCAGCGGCAGCGGCAGCAGTTCTTATAGGCCTGTCAGGCCCCGCCCTAGGCCAGGTGGTGAGTGGCAGGACTGGGGCCCTCAGGCGCTGAGCAGGGGATATCTCCACAGGATCAAAAGACTTCAGTGGGTAGAAGAAGCCCTTCCATTCACCGAAAGCTAAGCTTGGATCCAGCCTGCAGTTTGCATTAGAACCCCCTTCTCCAAACGTCACCGCACCAATTCTACGATGAATTTCCCACAATCCATCCCACCTAGTTATTAAAAAGTGTCTTTTAATTACACAAATGCTGTTTTTGTACAAATTATACCCTCAAGTAAAAAACCCAAGTATTTTATAACTTATAAGGGGGGGTGCAAGTTAATTCTCATTACCAGGTTCTATAAGCATCACAAAACCATCACTGCCATCGCTATCCACCGACAACCTATCTTCAGGACCACTGCCATCTAGAGAGCTGGTATCAAAGGAATGTTGGGAGGCAGTCCTTTTCATGGAGAAGAAACGCATTCGCCCACTACTGCCTCCCACTGGAGTCAACGGCCCCTCTTCAGTCTTCGGTGTGGGATCCCTAACAAGGACAGATCAAAGCTGTTTGGTATTACTGGATTAGATGCAAAATTATAATTGAAAGATGCCCATCATTATGACAGCTGGTACACACCAAGAGGAGCTATATATTGGTGGGAGTGTGGCACAAGATGCTTTGTACAAAGAAATAAATTGAACTCCCTGCCCACAGCCTTCCCTGTTATTGCAAGCTAAGCCATCTTCTGTCAGAACTGGATGAACACATTTTTCTCTCGTGGCCATCTTGACATTATTCCTATATGCAGTGCTCTATTGGGAACCACTTGCTTACATAAGAGCAAAATAAAGAAGGTGCGTTTGAGGACACTAGTGGGATAGAGCTGGCGAGGGAACCTGTGGCTCTCCAGATATTAGAATAATAGAACTGTAGTGTTGGAAGACTGCACAAGGGTCATCCAGTCCAACCCCCTGCAATGCAGGAATGTTTTGACCAACTTGGGGCTCGAACCCACAACCCTGAGATTAAGTGTCTTGTGCTCTACAGGCTGAGCTATCCCAGGGAGTCCTACAGAATACAAGTCCCTTCAGGGCCAGACAGCAATGCCCATGGTTGGGTATCATTTGAGTGCTAGTACAACAATATCGGGAGGGCTATAGGTTCCCCACCTCTGGCTAGTGGCTGATTCTACCTCCTATTCCAGTGACCCAAGTATCTGGGATGAAGGTCAGGCTTCGTCCACTCTCTGGTGAATCCCAAATTGTTACATGTTTATCTCACAAAAGTCAATGGCAGCCATTGAGAACTGAGCCATTTCCCCATCTTCGTAGGCTAGCTCTATCATCTGCATTTCCCTGCCCAGGTGATGATCTACCTTGGAATTGAGTGTACTTTGAATGAAAAAAATTACAAGAGATGTGGAGACCTTTGATTTCTGTAATCGGCAAAATAAGACTGGTTTATCTGGCATTTATTCTACTTTCCATAAAACTATTCCCAACACTATAAAGCAAACTCAAGTGTGAAAAGCCACTATCAAAGCACTTACAGAATGGCTATTTAGGTGATTAGAAAACTACTCACTTAATTTGGGGGTGGACAAACATCTTCTGCATTGTGGAAGCCATCTTTTCCCTACTTAAGCTGAAAGCATCTTTTGTCATTGACATAGCCTCTTTGGTGAGGTCCATGGTCACATGCAAGGCTTCCTTGGTGGCACCCTTAGTTATATGCAGTGCACTAGATAACTCCAGCTCCATGCTTTTCAGAGGGATTAGCTCCTCTTGTCCATTTAGAGAGACTTGTATGCCACCTAAAGGATCTACAAAGGAAGATGGGCTAGAAGGAAGACCTTGAGGAGTTGGAGAAAAATTTTCAAGCTCACTTGGTCTTTCTGCACCAAGGACTTCTTCAGCTTCATGTGCTTCTTCTATAGGACCTCGTTCTACTGCGGTTTCTCCTACTAGGGCTCCATCACTCTGGGATTTTAGCATTCCATCTTGCAATGCCACCACACCATCTGTGCTCTCAATTCCACTATCTTCTAGTACTTTCATGGGGCTGCCATCTTCCTTCTCTGAGCTAGCGTCCGATCTCAGCTCTCCGCCTTCAGCAACCAGTCCCTCCCTGCTCTCTGAAGGGGAGAGTTCAGATTCTATAAGGCTTGTAGTATCTGAGTCAACAGACCTAGGTTCCAATGCAGAATCTGGAGTGGGATGCATTAGCAAGGCCAGCTCAGCACTGCCGAACATGACGCCCATACAAGTGCTTATGGAATCTAGAGGGGACCCAATTATTTCCTGAGTGTCTTGGGTCAACTGCTCTTGAAATGTCAACAGAACTTCTTTCATCCTAAGTAGCATCAAATACTGGTAGTGGTTAAGTCGCACCTTCATGTGTGCACTTGAATACAGAAGAACATGGACATCTGCAGATACTTCCACATCATCAACATTTCCTTCACCATTAACAATGTGGTTTTCTTCTTCCAAGACTTCCTTTGTCTCTGGGGCGAGGTAGATGCTTTTCAAATCCTGCTCAGTCTTTGATCTTTGGCAGAACTGCTCTTCTCTGGAAAGGTGCTGATGTTTGGCATGATTACTAAAGCTAGCGGAAGGTTTGATTTTAGCTGGTGAGGCAGAAGAGACATGCGGCACTGATGCTTGAGCGACCTCCCATCTCTTTGGGAGGCAGGCCCAGACACAGAGTGGAAATGGGTTGATAAAGTTAAGGGCTTTGCCTTTTGAGCTCTTTGCTCCCTCAAAGTCCAATGAGAGCTCAGCGAAATTGAAAGACCAAAGGTCTTCAGAAGCGGATGACTTGCCGAGGGAAAGGGGAAAGTCTGCATGTTTCTGGGATTTAGTGTCCACTTGGTAAGCATGACGTAAAAAGAGGGTGTGCAGGAGGCTGAAGTTATCCTGAAATTTAGGGAACTGGGTGTAGCTGGAGTGGAAGAATTCTGAAGCAGCAAATTTACGGAACAGGTTCTGGAGGGCTAAACAACTGCAGTGTGGAGCATGCCTTGTGTTGGTAGCTGTTATTTCTGATGCGCGAATGGATAGGAATTGGGGACGGTCCCGGTGATCGACCACTTTCTTCTCCACTGGGATGTTTAGCTACAACAATTGGGGGTGGGGAGGGGGAAAGATGAAAAATGATCAACATAGACATGCAAACTATCCTATATCCTCAACTTGAAAACATAACAGTTATCCCTTCTTTGGCAGATGTTAATAAAAAAAAAGCTTTTTAATAATTTCATGGCTGAGTCAGAAATTGATCTGGTTTAGCACACTGAAGGAACTATAGCAATGTTTGGTAAAATATTTTTACTGCAACTGGTGAGAAGGCTCTGAGCCAGCCTTCCCCAACCTGATGTCCTCCAAATATTCTATACTGTGCTACATATTCTGATTACTGAAGCACTAGTACTTTCCTCTTAACTAGGGACTTTCATGATTTGCCTCAGTAATAGCACCAGTGAAAGCTGCCAACCTTCCACAAGTTGCATAGAGAAGGATAAATAGCAAGACTATAATTTCAAAAAGCCAGAAGTTGTTCCCCTCAGCCACCCGCCCTCCTTGTCTCATGAGTTCCCTTTTACATCATTCAAGTTAGAGCAGAAAAAATACCTTGAGCATGAAGCCATCCAGTCTGACATCAATGTGCTCATCCTGCTTGCCAGAATTCTCTAGTTTGTATATAGCTTTGAAATGCTGTAAACTGCGATAGAGATCAAGGCAAAACATGTTCACCCAGAGCACGCTTACTGTGTCCAAAGTGAATATCAAACCATTCAGCTGCAGGTACAAATTTGGGCATGGGACTAGAGAGAATGAAAAAAGGACAAGTTAGCTTTCCAGGAGTTTTGGCAGCACTAGATAAAGAAGGGGTGGGTGGGTTAAGAGCTGCATGTGTGTTACAACACAACATCTAATTCAGTATCTGGCCTCTTACAACAATCCATTTTGAAATACCTTACGGTTCTGTAAGGGCCTATTACGGTACTATGACCCTGCCATTCTTTTTCCAGTTTAAATCCATCAGATACATTCTGAACCTCTCTGGCAATGTCTATCGTTTTGATTACTCCATGTAGTTAATTTGACAATTCCTTTTCTGAAGTCAGCTGTATTACTGGTTTTCAACAACATCCTGGGCAAAGTAAATGGGATGTAATCTTGGACCCAGCTGAGAGGAAGCAAAACTTGCTTCTCACTGAAGGCACAAGGAGTAGGAAACAGGTTTTGCCCACACCCCAGTTTATGTCCTCGGGTGCATGCCTTTACTTTCTTCCATACCATTCTGGCTGAGAAAGGTATTCTTGTGCTTCCACCACCCCAAGCAGAAGCTGCTGGATTGAAGAATGGTGCAAAGGGAAAGAGATAATGAAGCAGCGATGATTCATCCTTTTCCCTCCAGAATGAATACAACTTCTCGGCTGGAAGGGAGAGGGGTAATTATTCACCTCCTCCACAGGGCCTTGAAGCTGTCTTTGGTTCAGATAAGCAGGGTAGATCCAAGCTCCCCAAGTCCTCCCTGCCTTGCTCAAACAATGGTATGCCTCCAATAATACACAGGACAGGGAACAGAGATTCAAGAAGTAGAAGGGTGTTGACAGAAGCAGTAAGTGTGAGTACATAACAGGATGCAGAAGAGACTTTTCACCTCCTCTCCCTCCCATTTACAACACTCTCCATTACCAGTGTCACTTTGCATCCAATTAGCTCAAATATTTTGCAGGAATTAAATCTCCACAACACCCACTGTGAAATAAAGGCCACACAAGGGAACACATATTATATACAATGTTATCAGAGATTAGTGGCAGATATTTAAGAAAAGAAACTGGCAAAATCTAATTAAGTGTGAGGGAAAGAAGAAATGAGGCATGGGTTGCTGAAGGGATTAACACTCAGGGCAAGCATGAGGGGAGGAGGAAGCCTCCCCCCCAAACAGTTTCTAATCTAATCTGCATTGGAACAAAAGTCTTCTGGCACTTCATTTCTCCCTCTCTGCTGGCTGGGTGAAAATGTGTTATCATTTCTTATTTACTGAAACAGTTTCTTCCAAAGGGTTGGAATGCTTTGAAGAAACAAGAAGTGGTTTCACATTTTCTTCACACATTTTTTAAAAAAGGGGAACTGAGCTAGGAAGATTTCTCTCATCTCTGATGACCAAACTAACGTTGGGATTCCTCAATCTCCTCATAGGCTTTCTTAAGGCAAATTTCCAAACCTGCAGAAAGATACAGGATCAGCTTCCTCAGAATGCAAAAGCAAATAAAGAGAAATAATATTGTAAATTAGAGAAATAGAGCCAAACTATACGATAAGTTAGCTCCATATCTGTGCCACCAAGTGTAGTTATTTGCTAGGGAACACAGGAGTCCTTTCCCAGTCCTACCTGGACACCTTTTGTATGCAAACCATGTTTTTTTTGTTTTATAATTTATACAAAATGGCAGTGCTGGCACATACACAAACACCCCAGTGTGGATCAGGACTCTGGTGTGGGAGGTTTTAAGCCTTTGTCTCCCAACAATGGTCTCAGTTCAGATTGATTTCCCCACTCCAAGCATTTGCATAGGAAAAAAGCTCCCACTGAAGTTAACAGAAGCTTTTCATATGCCACCATTAAAAAAATCTATGGTTTCTTAGGGTTTTCACAGTACAGTTCCTTATTCCACACACACACAGTAGTTCTCCTCCCTCCCTGCACCCCATTTTTTATAGTTATAGCATTTTAATTTCCAATGTCCAGTTGTTTGGTGTGTTATACACTGTTCAGAATCACACACTCAGAGAGGGGTTAGGATTAATGAGTGTAAATGCTGTGTTGGGGTTCTCTGTAAACACCTGTTAGGTTGGAGAAGTTGTGTCCCCCACTTCTTCTGCTTGTGGGTATTACTCGGTGAATAGTTCCAAAAATGTACTCCAAATCTCTTGGAAGCTGAACTCTTTAAGCAGTTTATGGATCAGAATTTTCTGAAGGGTTGCTAGTTGCAGGAGGTCTCATATCCAGTTTTCTGTGCTTGGTGTGGCCCAGACTTTCCAGTGTTGGATGATTATTCGTTTTGCTGCTAGTGTGGAACCATCCATCTTGACCTTTTGATAAGATTCACCTGACAGGTATGTTACCACATGGTGTCTCCTTTTGACATGGTTTGGTCCAGCACCAAATTATTCTCATTCCCAGAAGTGTTTGATACTGGGCTGTTCCAAAAGAGTTGAGCTAGGCCTGCTTGTGGCAGCTTACACTTCCAGAAGTCATCTGTGGCTGTAATGTCCATGTGCTTCAGATGTTTTGGTGTCCAGTAGGCTCATAGGTGTATTTTATGCTGGGTTAACATGGGGCTTTTCCACATTGTGGAGCTTCTATTTCTTTGCACCAATTTGAATTGAGACAATAGCAGTGGCAAAGGATTTTCATGCTGGCAATTTGTATTTTAAAAATGTTGCATTCAAGTGCACAGACATGGAGGTAATTTATCATCTAGTTTGGCCTATAGACTCCTGAGGAGATGTAGAATAGTTACCTGGAAAATCTGGATTGTCTGGGAAGTAGTACTCAGTGAATTCAATATGAATGGCTGAGGTATGATCAGGAAGATTCAGCAGTTTCCTTCTACATGAGAGCAGGGTTGAGGGTTTCTTACTATGTTGTCCAGCTGTGGAAACCTGAAAAACAAGGAGTTGTAGATTCTCATTCAAGAGTAAAAATAATGACTGTCTGAAGACAATAGAAGACAGTGATTTGGCCTTGTGGTGCCCAAGGTCTAAAAGACAGAAGAACTGTTTCTCTGAAGCACTATTTCAATCTAGAATCTCAAAAATTAAGAGCCCTGAAGCTGAAAAACATGTGAGCACAAACAAGCTGATAGCAAAAAATGATATACTATATGACCATATTACAGTAGTATATTTTCTCCCTTTGAGGCAGAGTAATCATCTATTTGCTTCTTTGAAAAACAAACACCGGAACATGTGGCAACAAAGGCAGCAGCTTAGATTGGAAAATATTTACTAAGAGGCCTACTTTCAGCCAAGGAACAACATTTGTGCTGACATTGTTTAAGATCAAATAAAAAAATGAACATGTATTGGGCATTTGTACTTTAAAAGGCATAAAGAAGTGAGCAAGTGTCTGAACCTATGTTTTGGTTCACAAGTCAGGAAGAATGAGCAAGTAACAATGCGGCAGCAGATACTCTATCAACAACTGTACCTGATGAATATCCAAATCATCAACTCGGACAACCACACAGCTAGATCGGAGTCTATTCCATGCAGGCCGCTGGAGTCCAAATAGGATAGGTGATGGCATGCTTGCTTGAGGTATCCCTTTCTCTGGTGAGCTTGTTTGAGAACTAGAAAGACCATCTTAAAGACATTTTTTAGTCATCAGAACAGGCAAAATTATATTTCAAACACAAAATTTAACAAGGTAGTCCTCCTCCCACCAATTCTGTATTGATATGGAACATTGGACTCAAAGCAGATAACACAGCATGGAAAAAATGTAATACTTTGAGAAAACATAGTAGGCTCTTCCAATCAATAATTTGTACTTAAAAAAGGAAACCAATCATGGTTCTTGGAAACCCTGCCCACTACTCTAGATTCAGGGACTTTGGTGAAAACTCAAAAGCAGGGAGCCACAGATTGTGGCTTGACTTCCCAGCTATTATTTATCATGGCCACTGACTACTACCATTAAGGAAAGCCCTGCTATGTAGCATTTGGGGAGGGAGAAAAACAGAGAGGCAGGAATTGGTGTCTGAGCGATGCAACAAAACTTTTTTAAGTGTTGGCCCTAGCCAGGGAGGACCATTTGCATCCTACTTCAGGCAGCAAAGCATCTTTGACCAGCGCAGTCACCCCTCTCATTTTCAGTACATGCCAGAGGTTTCAGAGAAAGGGCAGAAACTTTGCTCTCATTTTGCACTACAATTTGTAGAAAGAAAAACAATGGAGTTCCTTGCACCACTTCCCCCTTTCCCAATGCCTGCACAGGTGCTGGGGAAGCCCTAATTTTCTCCTCAAGTGGTCTAGAGCAGGCGCTCAATGATCACACCATAAATTGCAGCAACAGATTCCCACATCCACAAAAGAATGCTCATTCACCCTAATTATATTCAGGCAGCAGCAGTATACCCTCTGCCCACAATCTCCCTCAGATCCCAGACCCAAGAGGGGGGAAAGTAGGTAGAAATTGAAACCACTCTTTTCCTAGTAAACCTCAAACAAAATACATGGTGGGTCATGAAACTTGGTTTGTTCTCTTTTGCCACAAGGTGGCTAACTCTTCCTTACCCTAAGGCGGTGGATGAAAGACTCCGTGCCAAATCTCTAACATTCCAATATGCTACAATGTTGGTGGAGGGAAGTAAATTTTCCTTCTCCCCTTCCCGAAATGAAATGGCCAACGGCTTGGGGGCAAGAAGAGGTGGTGCAGCTTGGAACAACTGCTGGCCCCATGTCTTATCTTAGATGGTTACTTGGGAAAGGAGGGAGGAGGCTGTTGACACAACTGACCTGGCAAGTTGGTTTGGGGAACTCTATTCAGAAATCTTTCCAGAATTAAACCGGTAAGGACATTATTTTAGGCGTCACCTTTGTTTTATTCTGGTCTCAGACCTAACTTTTACAATGTTCAACATGGCACATTAGTAACTGTAGAACTGTGGCAGGTGGAGGATTCAACAGCAGTTTACAGAACACAGGGTTACCCATATTTTGAGGGTCACATGTCTTCTCAAAAGCCTCCAGAAGTTGGTGAATTCATGATTAAGCAAGTATGAAGGATATGTATTTTGTGTTACCTGGTCTCTTTTTGAAGGGAGAATCTTTTCCAGTGGTTTTGGAGAAGGCAGAGCTTATTTTTTCACCATGTTTTGCCATCTTGCTTTGGAATTCATTCACCAGCTTTTCTGCCCACTGTTCCCGGGTTTCCATGGCCTCACAATACTGCACCCAGTGTTTGCAGCTGTCTCCTGAATAATACAGTAGGTTAATATTGAAAGGACCACTGTCTCTCAACTGCACAATGATCCATTCTGCAAATGCTCTACTGTACTCTGCATAACCTTCCTCAAACAGCCAAAGCATTCGTTTTTCCTTGTTAGTTCAGTTTTCAGATGGGAGAGTTTGTCTGCTTTTAGTACCACTCATCGCACAGGTGAACAAATTTTGCCATTTGGGTTTCAAATTCAAAAGCTTTTCAAAGCTGTATCTCTGCTCATTGTTTTATGTCAGGGAATTTCTGCACAATTTTTAGCACAATGAAAGTACAACCATTACTAACTTGTTGCACTCAGGTCTTTCAAATCTTCCCTTGACAGTGAATTCCTGTACCATAGAAATCATATTTGTTGAACATTGGATTCACTATATTCTGCTCCTTGGTATTATGACTGCTATGAAGAATGTTGTTGCAATTAGTGCAACCTCCGCAATGTTCTGCACATTGAGCCCTGCTAAAAACAACCTATAAACCTCAATCAGAAAGACCATGTATGCCTTTCCACATATCTTTTGTGCACCTTCCCTCCTCTCCCTATCCATTCCATGGTGGTGATAGGATAATGTTGGTACCAGAGAAGTTTATTGCAGCAGCGCACTGACAAAACTAAATTGAGGTAGACTGACTAAAATTCCAGTTCTTAGTCATTAACACTGTTTAAATTACAAATGAGACTCACAGAATGTTCTTACCTGCCCAGTGGAAAGGATAATAGTCAAAGGCCAACCTCCTAAATGTTAGTTGCATTGCACCTCCCATTATTCCATGTTTGGAAGCACCTATGGGAAAATGAAAAAACCAATTTCAGTCTTACATCAGGAGCATCAGAAACCAACTGTGTAGGTGAGCATTCTTCTTTGAGTGATACTTCTTTGAGTCCAGCATTCTCATATAGGCTGAAGATCACAGTGCTGTAGTCACTGCACTGCTTTGGAGAAGACAAGTTCTTCACCAGCAGGGATTCTGTCCTATTTACACTACAAAATTGTCACTCCTTGCGCTTCTGCCTATATTCCGACTGCTTCCAGAGGAGTGGATTAACAGCCAATACAGCAATTCTGGACAAGTTCCAGAGCAGTTCACTGGCCCCTCACATCCTCTGGGATTGTTAATTGGAAATCTATGTGAATCAGTGGCCTGTGTGGACCAGCATTCACCAGCTGTAACTCAAAGGCTTGCTGAGCCCTAAAGATGTGTGGTCCAATACACATTTATATATTTTATTGTAAGCCACCTTAGGTAAGCTTTCTAAAGAATACAGTTCAAACATCTTTTTTAAAAATCTGTCTTACAGATAATATAACCTATTATCACTGGCCCCGACAACAAAATTCCTCCAATATGCAGACACTATGATGTATTAAACATATATACCGGGCCTCTAGTGCCACTGGATAGAGATACTAGTTTCTCAAACATCTACACGGCTGTAGCTAATGAAATTGCTGGAAAATATGCACTAACTGTGGGAAATAAAACAAAGAAAACAAATTGGAATAATGCTGAAGAAATAGCACTCAGGTAAAAGAACTAACTACATATTTTTGAGACATGTTATTCTAATAATAAAGAGTCTGTCAGTGATGTGGGGGAAAGGGATATACAGTGGTACCTTGGTTTAAGAACAGCTTAGTTTATGAACAGCTTGGATTAAGAACGCGGCAAACCCAGAAGTACCGTATTTTTTGCTCTATAAGACGCACCAGACCATAAGATGCACCTAGTTTTTGGAAGAGGAAAACAAGAAAGAAAATATTCTGAATCCCAGAAGCCAGGACAGCCAGCAGGATCGCTACGCAGCGTTCCCGCTGGCTGTCCTGGCTTATGGGATAGTTGCGCGCGGCCTCTCCCGGGCAAGGGGAGCCTTCATCCCCTGCCCGGGGGAGGCTGCACGCGGCTAAGCAAGAAGCCAGGACAGCCAGCGGGATCGCAGCGCAGCGATCCCGCTGGCTGTCCTAGCTTATGGGATAGCCGCACACAGCCTCTCCTGGGCAAGGGAAAAGCCCCAAAGAGCCGCACACATGCTCCACATGGCTCTTTAAAGGTAGTGCTGAGCAGAGCCTCCCGCCTGCATTCGCTCCATAAGACGCACACACTTCCCCTTATTTTTTAGGAGGGGAAAAGTGCGTCTTATAGAGCGAAAAATACGGTAGGTGTTTTGGTTTGTGAACTTTGCCTTGAAAAGCAGAACATGTTCCTGTTGAGTGTGTTCCATTTGTAAACTGAGTCCCCTGCTGCTATGGGGAAACACGCCTTGGTTTAAGAACACTTTGGTTTAAGAACAGACTTATGGAACGAATTAACTTCATAAACCAAGGTACCACTGTATACTAACAATAGCAACCACTGCAGATGAAGAACAGCCACCCGGGAATAGGATTAAAACTAGGACAAACCAAAATAGCAAGATGGTTCCTTAAGGAGGTAAATTTTTTTCAAGTAGAGAAAGATCACCAGAAAACTCAAGAGAAAATTCACCAGATTAATTTAGTTGAATTACTCCAGATTTTCCCAGCCAGGATTCAAAAGTCATAAGAGACCAGATGAATTTGAAAGCAATCAAGTTGTTTTCAATAAGATCAAGTGTCTGTTCTATTTGCTTATGTAAATTGCTTTTCAACTTCCACCAGTGTCCTCAGAAAACCATCCAAACTTCAGCTCAAAATGAAAATGAAAATCTCAGGATAGAACTACATATTACCTCAGCAAAAACAGATCCCCAAGCTCATGTTTACTAACGTAGAAGAAGGGTAATTTGTCAGGAAGCATAATAGGGCAGGAGAGGGGGTGCTTAGATGTTATCTCCACCTTGGTTATTCTTCCTTTAGCCCAAACATACTTATGGTTTCAAAGCCAGGTTTGGGAGTGGATGAGAAATGATTAAAAATATGTGAGGAAGATCACTGGCAGAGAATGATAATAACTGGAGTAAGAGTAAAGCACTTTCTCCCACCCACCAATTTTCTCTGGAAGTGCCTCTTGCATAATTTGCCTTAAGAGAAAAATAAAGGGCTGGGAACCTCATGTTTCTCCTCAAAATATGCAGTTTTCCTCTTAGGCACTTCTGAACCATGATTACTGCCTCACTGATGCCTGTAAGAAGTCTCTCATCATATAGTTTTTTATATAGACTTGTAACCTGCTTTTTTTTTTTTTTACTAGACTCCTCATAACAGCTTACAACATTTATAAAATACAGCTTTTCAATAGCAAAACTTTACAGCTCAAAAATTAAGACCATGCAATGGATAGACACATGAGAAAAGATAGGGTGGGGAGGAAGGGAATAAGGAAAGAGAATTTTAGGTTCTCCTAATCGCAGTTTATGTTTGGGTACCTGTCTCTCGGGTGTGACTGTCATCACAGATGTGAAGGTCTAGACGGGAGATGAGAAGGTGGTAGGAAGACTCTTTCATATCATGTTTCTCGAAGTACTGGCTGATCACTTTGTGGCTGTTCCCAAATGACTGAGGCCAGGACTGTTGAGCACTCGGAGCTGGAGGCGTGATCTATAACAGAGAAATTAAGCCTACGCATATACATATAGAACCAAGGTGAAACAATAGATTTATATTTTACGAGGAAGGAGACAACACAGGTTATACTAAAAGAAAAACCCTAGAGGGTGCTCTACTGAAACAGAAATTTAATATGGGGTGAGTGAGGCTTTGAAAATGTCTAATTAAATGAAGATTGTTCTTTTGCAGCCTTGGCTCTTCCTTTTCACCTGCAGCATGAATTCAAGTGAGGGATACCAATGACGAATCTTCAGGATGGGTAGAAATGTTGCCTTTTAGCCTTACTATTTAAAGATCAGGCAGTATTTCTCTCATCTCTGATCTAAGATCAGAGATGAGAGAAATGAGATGGGTCTAGCTAGGCTCCCAGGCTGGTGGGTCACCACTGCTGGTTTTGACAAATTCATGGAGGATAAAGCTACCAAAGGCTGCTCACCATGATGACTGTATATCACCTCCAGTATTAGAAGGAGTATGACTCAAAATACCACTTGCTGGGAATCACAACTGGAGAGAGGGCTACTTTGCACCGATTCTGCTCGTGGGCTTTCATAGGCATCTGACTGGCCACTGCTAGACCAGGATGCTGGACTAGATGGGCCTTTGGTCTGATCCAGCAGGGATCTTCTATATATATTTATTTTCCATTTAATAATATACGTTCACATCATTACACTCCACTTTAAGTCCCTGGCTCTTTAGAGCCTGTCAACTTCCTTCCCTTCCACCTCCTGGCTTTCAAAATTAACCTTTATATCATTGTATTTTGTATGTTTTCCAATTACACACATTACAAAATAACTCAAATTTTAAATAAATATAGAAAGGTAGAAAGTTTATCATTACACGTCTTCAAACAACCCTGCTAGTGATGTTAATTGCTTACAATAATCTTTCAAATATCATATAAATTGAGTCCAGTCCTTTTGGAATACTTCATCTTGCTGGTTTCGGATTTTTTCTGTCAGCGTCGCCAGTTCTGCCAAGTCCATCATCTTTATCTGCCACTCTTCTTTTGTTGGTACTTCTTGTTGTTTCCATTTTTGGGCTAAAAGAATTCTTGCTGCAGTTGTTGCATACATAAACAGTCTTTTATCTTCCCTTGGTATCTCTTCACCCACTATACCCATTAAAAAGGCTTCTGGTTTTTTAACAAAAGTATTTTTAAACATTTTCTTTAACTCATTATATATCATTTTCCAGAAAGCCTTTGCCTCTTTACAAGTCCAGCAGGGATCTTCTTTTATTCTTATGTATATTGTTATTATTACTATCACTCCCCTGAATTTCATCAGTTTTGAGTACAAGGCTGCCCTCTCTAAAGCTCTTCCCATCTCTTCTCTTCACTGACTTTACATCTCCTTATAATTACTGAGCCAAAAATCTGTGGGATGTTTTTTTCAGACTGCATTCCTAGTGAATCTCCTCAGAGGTTTTGAGAAAGGAGGCAGATTGGTGAAGATTAATGACGCTAAGACTGTTTTGATGTATGGAAGTGATGTTATATGGAAAACGTCTGGATATGGCTACTGGATAAAAAAAATATCCACGCAGGATTACAAACTGTTCTAACCAGCTTGCGGAGACTATCAGAGGTCACAAAGAGAAAGGAAAAATATATGAAAATAACAACAAGAGATGTGGAAAAATAATAAGAAAGGACTGGATAGTACTGTGAACATCATAAGGTTAGATTTGTGGACATTAAAATAGCAGTAAGAAGCAAGAAGTTGATTGGATCCCTTCGGAACTTGAAATATGGGTACCCCCAACAAAAATTTAAAATTCAGCTGTGTAATTTGGAATTTATGTAATTTGGTTTGATTTGATGTGATTGGTCGGTTAATAAAAAAATATTCTTAAAAAAAATAAAAATCTGTGGGATGTTCTTTAGGAAGTCAGTTTGAAAGTTACTATGGAAAATAAAACTGGATCATCTTAAGCACCGACTGCTTATGCAATCTCAACACCAAGTTAATAAAGATTTTAAAAGGCAATTAGTGTAATTTAATGGGTGGTTTAAAGAGAGAACATGAGGGAAGGGGCATAAGAGGCATACCAATGCATGAAACATTTGAAGAAGAGGTCTTAAGAGGGTTTTAAAAAAAACAGTGGCAGAAAAGAGATGGTAGAACTGTCCATTTCTATTTAATATGTTTTGTTCCTCAGCAAGCAAAATCTCTGCAGTGGCCACTATGTGAAAGACAAAAGGGCAGCCATCTGACAGTGACAGAAAATTCTATACCCAGTAAAAGCTTCTTCACTAATGTCTTTGCTATTTACTTTTAATGTTTAACTGATTACTGTATTTTAATACTTTGTTGGAAGCCGCCCAGAGTGGCTGGGGAAACCCAGCCAGATGGGCGGGGTATAAATAATAAATTCTATTTATTCTACCGAACACCATCATAGCATGTAAGGAAGAGCTGCTTACATGGACAGGTTCAGGAGCCAAACTTTTCCTTTGCTGAGCTGACTTCTCCATGGCTTCACTCAAGGACTCTGCATACTTCATCATTGCCTTCAGCTGAGAATCAGTCAGCACCCACAGCAAGTCATCAAGAAGGAACATGAGCTTGGATGCCACCACATTACAATCCTTTGTCTGTCTCATAAACAGAAAAAAAGTTTAGCATAAACATCTGGTCCAAAAACATTTACTCTATTTGCTGATGGGACTTCACAGAACTAATTAACTGAATTTCAGTGGACCTGTGCAACCACAGCAAAGTGAGAAGTAGGCAACGCCTCTGGCTGATTGCAGATATCTAGTTCGGGTATCTGATGGAAGTTACATTTGCCGGCATGCTCATAGCTCAGCATTTATCACTTTTATCTGAAGAAGAAAGGAACAGGCTGCGTTGTTAAACTTGCTAGAGCATGAAAACGAACAGATTATGCTGTGTGGGTGTTTCAAGCACTCATCTCACTGTGGGAATTTGTATATAATAATCAAGTTATCATATGTGAAGATTGATGTACTTCTGTAGGGTGCTTGGTATCTGCACAGCCATGGGCGTTACCACAGTGTCTAAAGGAGGGCATGCAATCTGGAGAACATGACAGAAATTGGACAAGCTGAAGTTTTTTTTTTTAAAAAATAATATTTTCTTTTGGAGGGGGGGAGGAAACTTGAGATGGCCCTAAATCGGGAGTTTGATTTCTTTTTCGAGCATAGTTTCCAGTACCTTGACCTCTGCTTTTATACACCTATTACACACCCTAATGTTAACTATGAATTCCCACTCCTCTCTATTACTGTTTGAGACAAAACATACTGCAAGAAGAAGAAGAAGAAGGGTTTGGATTTGATATCCTGCTTTATCACTACCCGGAGGAGTCTCAAAGTGGCCACCATTCGCCTTTCCCTTCCTCCCCCACAACAAACACTCTGAGGTGAGTGGGGCTGAGACTTCAAAGAAGCGTGACTAGCCCAAGGTCACCCAGCAGCTGCATGTGGAGGAGCAGAGACGTGAACCCGGTTCACCAGATTACTGGTCTACCGCTCTTAACCACTACACCACACTGCAATGCCACACAATGTCCCTCATAAAAACCTTACGAAATAAAAATAAAATAAAATGCAAATTTTAATAATTCATTACAGCTACAGAACACAGACTTTCTAATTGAATGCAGAATGACTGCGTAAGCAAAGAATATCAGATCTCCAATATTCAGTAGAAGACCAAAGGATGTTATCTGAACACACTTGTGGGGCCTACTAAGTATTTCATCCAACTGCGCTTTCCATACTTGCCTTTCTCTTAAGAGATATTTGGATTCTGCCCTGGTTCGTAATAAGTCTTAGCGGGGTGGTGACAGGATCTTGATCTCCATTTTCTGTAGCATCTGCCTCTATGCGAAGCGTTTGCCAGGTGAGTTCCTTAAATGTTAGAACCTATGCAGAGGGGAGAGAGAACACAAAGACAAAAAGGGAAGAATGCTGAACTTTTACAGATGGATACAATGTATTGTAGCAAATTAGGAAACATACTTTACTGAAACAGGAAGAAAATGTGTGATTGCACTCTAGGGGAAACAATAGAACTCTTCAGCATCCCACCTTGTTTCAGAATGAGATGTGGCCAACAGCAGCCTTAGAGCATCCTCTATCCTTTGGGTCTAATTAGGCCCGGCACAGGTTGCAATTTGAGCCATAAGGCTGTTTCCCACAAACCATGGCCACCTGCCCCATACATGACAACCAGAAGGTTAAGATGAGCTCCCAATTACTCCTTTGCAAACAGGGCTCCCTGCCAGCAGAAATAAGCACAGACAGGGAACCCCAACAAGATTGGCAGCACTAGGTAGTTCCCTACTTTCTTAGTGTGTGAAGGTTCGCTTTCTCAGTGTGTGGGAAGCTGGTTTAGATTCAAACCCCTTGAAAGTATAGCTTCAAAGGAGGTTGCTGTAACCAGCTGGAGAGGTAGCAGATTATTAAAGGGGGGCGTGGGGGTGTCATTGAATGTCTATACATTGGTACCTCAGGTTACATACGCCTCAGGTTACATACGCTTCAGGTTACAGACTCCGCTAACCCAGAAATAGTTCTTCAGGTTAAGAACTTTGCTTCAGGATGAGAACAGAAATTGTGCTCCGGCGGTGCGGCAGCAGCAGGAGGCCCCATTAGCTAAAGTGGTGCTTCAGGTTAAGAACAGTTTCAGGTTAAGAAGAGACCTCCAGAACAAATTAAGTACTTAACCTGAAGTACCACTGTATTGCAAATCCTTGTGAGTCAGCAGAAGAGATTTCAAATAAGAGACTATTTAATTAGGGTCTTACCTCTCCCCTGTTTGGATCAGTGATGCGGGTGAAGCGGAGGTCACTTTGCTGCCAGTTGGGGTTGACACTGTATCCTTGAAGCTGCCACAGTTCAAAAGAAGCATGGAAGGCCTTGGAGTGGATCTTGATGGTGATGGAATTGACAGCAATGAACATACCCTCTACTACCTTCTCAGCAAAGCCATATTCACTGCAAGGAGGGAAAGGGCTTTTAAAAGGGCAGGAAATCTGATCATTGCAGCATGACATAACATTGTTACAAGACAAGTTTCTGCTAGGCTGGTATTAAACACAGCAGATTCACAAGCTAGATGTGACCTCCATGCTTATACTCTCCAACCCTTCTTCAGTATCAAGGAGCACTGTAGTAATGAAATGTCTCTCTGCTCGTGAATGTGAAATTCTGATGTTTCAGGATATTATAATGTATTCAGTAATTGAATTCAATTTATAAACTGAAACACTCATGAGCAATTATGATCCTACAGTAATAAACAAAGAGGAGCAAGTTATATTTGGTGCAATGGAACACCGTAATGGAAACCAGAGCGCATGGAAACACTGTTTACCTTCCCGCCACAATGGTACCTATTTATCTATTTGCACTGGTGTGCTTTCAAACTGCTAGATAGGCAGGAGTTGGGACAGAGCAACAGGAGCTCACCCCATTGTGGGGATTCGAACCGCCAAGCTTCTGACTGGCAAGCCCAAGAGGCTCAGTGGGTTAGACCACAGCGCCACCTGCACCCCTTACTATTTATCATTAACAACAAGAAACACAGTAGCAGTTGCTGGGGCAGCATGGGCTCTTGCCACTGCACCACACTACTTCTCAGTTACTGGCAGCAACATATGGCATTCGGAATCTAGGTAAGCAATGCCACCCTGCCTGTACTACTCTGGTGGCTGCAACTAATTAAACAGAGTATACATGCAGGGTCCACTATCTGCCCACTCTGAAAATTCACTTATCCAAACATAAAAAATTATTCCTAAATTTTACTATATACTCTGCATATTCAGATATCCAAACATCTGGAGTTTGCCTGCTTCCTTATTTCCTTGCTTGTTTGTGCTTTTCTGGTTGGTAACAGCCATTTTCAGATGAAAACCATGCAGGGAGGTATGGAGGTAGTGAGATCAGAAAAATCAAAGAGCAGGAGAGATCAGACAAACTAGGGAACAGGAGAGATCAGAGAAGTCAGTATTTTCTTTGTCTTACTTTTGCTGGTTAGCTGCAACCATTTCAAGAAGAAACCATGGAGAGAGGGGAAAGAGACACATCCCCAATTAGAAATGTTCCCATAAGAATCAATGGAAATTGTGGACTCATTATGTGAATGCTTGCCTGACAAACAATTTCCATTGTTTTCAGTAAGTGGGACCTGTGTACAATATGTATAGTGCCACATAACAATTCTTTCCACATTAACAAAAATACTCATTTACAGAGTCCCATCCAGCAGAGAAGCCAGAAATGTTGTAGCAGGGGGTAAGGAACCTCCAGGCTGCAAATAAAAAATAAAAATTAAAAAGGTCCCCCATCTAGATCCTACAGTGCAAAGAAGAAAAAGAAAAGAAAAACCTGTAACTTTTCTTAGTGGGATTATTAAGCAGGGAAAAGGTTAAGAATCATTTCCCCAGGTTTCTGCAAAAGAATGTAGCCTCCCTGGTTGCATTTTGTAAAAGAAAGAAAAGGATCAAGGAAAAACTACACAAGACTCACAGGGGGGTTGCTATTACACCAAAGCCATATAAAAGCAGGATTTGTTGTGGTTTTGAGTCTAAACGTATAATACTTTATTTGTCAATACAGAAGTCAGGCTCTGTATCCTGTAGTACAGGCTCAACATAAGTGTCCAGATTTTCAGTAAAATCTCAAGCAGCAGGAATTGAAAAGTAGAAAACTTGGATTACAAAGTCAGACCCAACACATCATTTGGGAACAGGGAAAGCAGAAGTAATATAAAACACTGCAATGACAAATGTTGGTTACAAGCAATATTAACCTTTGTCCTGAAGCAAGGGCAATAGGAGACTGTCCATTGGGTGGCCGGGGCTCTTCACATGTCCGCATCTCCACTTCAACTTTATCCAACAACTGTGAACATAGCAAGGAAACAAGACATGGAAAAGTTACCTAAGAAAAAAGTGTTCATTAGCTATCCTAAAGGTTTGGGTTTAAGATATTCAGGCTCCTTCTGAAACTGCAGGATTAATTACTAGCACAAATGAGAGGCTAGGCAAACAAGTCTGGTAAGCCCAATAGGTTTCAAGTATCAAAACCTTCCTGGGGCAAATCTCCTTATACAATTATTTACACAGCAATGTTTTCTGTATGATCTACTTGGCTGTTCTCTGTTTTGAATGTTGTTCCTCATTTTTCTTCTCTCTTTCATATGCTTCCCAAATCTATATCGTCCTTTATAAAATTGTATTAATACTGGTAAATTATCATGAGACCCATTGAAATAGACTTTTGAGTAAACCTTAGTTGGCTACCACCCTTTAATATAATTATTATTACTATTATTATTTTATATCCTGCCTACTCAAGCTTTGAAACTGTAAGTAAATTTAGCTAGGGGGAAAACAACCTTGAGATTGGGGGAATCTCCAGTTAAGTACTGGCAAACAAGTGGGATTAAATACCTTTTCGTCCTACTAAATTATTTACCCTTGTAACTGTTGGCAACTCCCACCATTACTTTATTCCAGAAAAGGCAAATTAGGGAACACTTGTCTGCAAGAAAACATATAGTTCCACAATAATTTATTTTATTTATTTTATTTCATAACATTTATACACCGCTTGATTATTTTAAAAACCCTTAAAGAGATTTACAAAATCTAAAATAGTAAAATCAAGGCGGGGGGAGAATCACAACTGTACTATAAAGCACACAAAAATTAAATACTAAAACATATTAAAAGGTATGCCTAGATTCAGGGCAAATTTATGTTTACGTTACATATTGCAACATTTCTATATGACAGACATTTCTAGGTAAGGAATTGACATATTGTCCATGTGCGTCAAATGCCCCTCAAAATCCCAACAGTATTCTCATCCCCTCAAAAGGAACAATAAGCTACTAAAAGAAAAAGAAAAAGAAAAATTGCAATACAAAAGACATTTTTCTGTTAGATCTGAAAAGAAAAGACCTTTACTTAGCCTATTACAACCATGTTAAAAAAAATATTTCATTCTCACAAGTCACTACTCTAAAAAACACAAAGCTGTGCATTTGTGTATAATTTTTGAGTATACACAGGTAAGGCAATAATCTCAGAAGTGACTTAACACAACTGAATCACAACTGAATCAAAACTAGATGTTTGCCTTGGAAGCAACTAGTAAAATGCAAGAAGGAACATTATAATATAAAACATGGCTAATATACACAGAAATGCATATATGGAAAAGTCAGTGTATTTCACTAGTTAGGTATCAGTTCTTTCCTTCCCACATTTTAATTTTAATCATTGGAATTATACAGGACTATACCTCTCAATGAAAGTTGCAATATTGGAAATAGCCCTATGCTGCCACCAATTTGATCAACAGTAGAAGTATATAGCCTTAAGTTCCAGCATTGAAAACACATGCTCTCTCTTTTTCTGAAACAATCTAGAGTTACAAGTTCTCACTAACAGGTAAGCAAGGCCATTACCAGACAGATTGGGTGAGTCTTCAGCTTTGTCCACTGGATCTGTAACAAGAAAGCAGATGTAAAATAAACACGAACTGTCACAAGGGCTAAATAGATTCAGGGTGACAGTAATAAGATCAGTTCCAGCAAACTGCTGCTCTGAAAAGTGACACTGTAAAAGCAGCTCTATGGAAATACAAGCTGTTTGAGGACAATACTATTTCTTGTACCCTTGCATGCAGAAGACATTTGATAAAGAACAAAGAGTGCTTTGGGTCTTTAGATTTATTGTGTCATGAACCTTCATGCCTACTTTATCAGATGCCCAAGTACAATATACAGCCAAACAGGAAACAATGGCTTGGATCCAAAGATCCCGCTGCACCAGCCAAAGGCATTTCCACCCATTTAGGAAAGTTACCAGTTCCACCTCTCTGTAATCTCCCATACCCATGAAAGGAGGCTCCAGGGAATTGGAAGACCCTCCAGACTGCAGGGGTCAGCAACCTTTTTCAGCCGTGGGCCAATCCACTGCCCCTCAGACCATGTGGTGAGCCGAATTATATTTTTTTGCGGGGGGCGGGGGGGGGAATGAACGAATTCCTATGTCCCACAAATAACCCAGAGATGCATTTTAAATAAAAGCACACATTCTACTCATGTAAAAACACCAGACAGACCCCACAAATAACCCAGAGATGCATTTTAAATAAAACGACACATTCTATTCATGTAAAAACATGCTGATTCCTGGACCGTCCGTGGGCTGGATTGAGAAGGCGATTGGGCAGTATCTGGCTCATGGGCCTTAGGTTGCCTACCCCTACTCCAGAGCATCTGAGGATTCCCCAATCAGTTATCCCCCTTGCATAATTGTTATGTTAACTTCATCTTTGTATCCCAATCAATGTACAATGGTACCTCAGGATGCAAACGGGATCCGTTCCGGAGCCCCGTTCGCATCCTGAAAGCAACGTAAGACGCGATGATGCGCCTGCGTAGGTTGCGTTTTGCTGCTTCTGCGCATGCGCGTGACGTCATTTTGAGCGCCTGCGCATGCGCGAGCGGCAAAACCCGGAAGTAACCCGCTCCGTTACTTCCGGGTTGCCGCGGAGCGCAACTCAAACACGCTCAACCCGAAGCACATTCAACCCGAGGTATGACTGTAATTACTGTAATGAGCTCCTCATAACCCTTATTCAAAACCTGAAATGCTGTTAAATGTTAGTGAATTGCTACAAAGCCCCCTTTCCAGCTATCTTTTAAAACACTTATCCAGTACCGAGACCCTGAAGTATGAGATGGTCTTTCTAGAGACAATGAAACGAAACCTTCACCTCGCTAGTTTCTGTAATTTCTGTTTTTTATGTAACTTTCCATTAACCTGAAAAAGATTGGGCCTGTTACATTTTTCATAACCAAGCTTGCCAATGCGCATGCAGATCAAATCCTGAGTCATGTTACACATGAGAAATCTTGCTGTTTGCATTAGTTATACAGTCTCATATTTGGGAGTATAACAAACAGTCCACTCCCTTATTGTGTTTGCTTTGCATTTCTTGCAAGGGCTGCTTCTCATGTTAATTTATCAACAAGCATATTAATACATATGTCAGAAAAAAATTTAAATGTATTGGCAAAAGGAGGATCAGTAATTTCAACTCTCCAGTGGTTTTTCCATACATGTACTGAGAAGGAACAGACATTTCTGGTGTTTCAGCCGATAAAATGTTCCTAAAATGTTGCAAGTATTAACATCCCTATCAAAAAGCAGTAACATGAAAAGCAGCTCTGAGTATTAAACAAAGAAGGCAAAGGAGCCGATGGGGTCATTACTCTGGGAACAGTTCAAATCAAAGCTGCACTTTTTATTAACAATCTCCTAAACCATTTTGCACGGGGTTTGTGTCACTATGGGTAATCCTAATGGAGCTTAAACGATTACTCGCTTACATCAACTGAAAAATCAATTTCCTGCTTCAAAAAGAGCTTGGGGCAACATTTTCAAGAGGAGAACATTGCGCTCTGTGTGTAAATGTTCAGTTGCAACTACTAAATACAATCCTTGCAATTATGCATTTAAACAGAACAAATTCAGATGAAACAGAACAATCAATTTAAAACTGAATTTAACCAGTCTGCTTGTAATTTCTGCAGCGTCTCTTGGTTCAAAACTTGATCCTCTTGTGCCAGTTATTGGAGCAGATTTCATAGCACACGTATGGGAAGATTAGCGATTTGGGTACAAAGCCAGAGCAGCTTGGAGTGAGGGTTGCACTTGTTTAGTACGAAAGTAGGAAGAATGGCATGTAATCAGGACAGGAAATACTTTCAGTACTGCAAAAGCTTTTGCTGATAATTTAACTCACCCTGATGGAAGCCTTGTTACAAAAGACCCGAGTAATGGCAAGCCAGGTGGGCAATTCCAATACATTCTGCAGGACCTCTTCATCTAGTTCAAGGTTAGTCAGCTGCCCCTGTCCTTTGAGTGTGCTCAGGTTGATCTTATCAGGAGAGAGGTTCTTTGTAAACCTGTTGCCAAGGGAAAAAAGAGAAAAAGCTAAAGCTTGCATGGATCAGTGGACAGAGCAACCTTTCATCTCAGTTTCAGCTCATTCACCATAATTCTTGTTGTAAAGTAAGAATTATGTCATGAAATTGTCTACTTCTTGCAGTGTCCTCCTTTGCAAGATTATATAGTGAGAAATATGAACATTTTAAGATCCGTCTTACATTTAAAATGCTGCAAAAAATAATACAGACAGCAACCTTTATCTGGATAAAATTCAGCTGGAGCATATTAAGTTCTCTTGTTGCTAGTAACTATAATTATTAGCTGTTAATTCCTCCTCTTAGAAAACACATATATCTTTCAGTACACTTGCCTGCCGAGTAGGTCTCAGATATTAGAGTCAATATGATGACTGAGGATAGTTCTAATGCTGAATAAAAACTGTAAAGGCTTTCAGGGTAAAATGACAGGTAGAAGAATGGAGTGGAATGGAAAGTAGAATAGACTTTGGTATGAATACATCAAGCAGTGGGAAAGCAAAGATGGCAGTGAAACTATGAAGTGCATTTCTTTTAAATTTATACTTGGGACTTCTCTTTTGACACTCAGCCCTTTTAATCCCTGGCTGCAATTCTCTGCCCATTTATGAGTTAATATACTTAGGCTCAGCTGTGAACCTGTTTTCCTCTATGCTGGAAAATCTTGTCCTGTCCTTTCAAGTAACTTACACCAGCCATCTCCTTGTTATCCACTGCAAAAGAGAATTGCTGTACTTTTTCAAACCCAGTTAATTGTGTGTTCCCTATTCAGAAATATTACACTGCATAATTAATGTTTGTTCAGATATTTTCACTATATCGTCACCATAATGTGAAGTTACCACAAGCTTTCTGTAAGCAACCATTTAGCATGAGGCAGGACTTAAGCAGCAAAAAGAAAGGAGTTTATCACAATCTGAGGTTAACAGCAAGCTTGCTGTGGGATTGTGCAGGATTGCCTGATACCCTCTCCCTTGTGAATCACTCATACCAAAACTATCTCTTAGAATTGCCCAATCCCAGAAAACTCCCAGCTCTTGTTGATACTGGGAACATTATGAGGAGGGGTGAAAATACCAAGTTCAGATACACAATGACAGAAATTTGCTAGTGTATGTTTTCACTTTCTTCCTCTGGCCTGATATAGATGTAACATTCCTGATTTGCTTAAAATGACAGGGATATCATGAATGTTCTGCAAGCTCACATTCTCCCACCCTCGGCAGTGTAACATTACATCTGCAAATTAACAGTAGCCAGGATTGCTGCTGTAATCAGATCTAGAACCAGGACTTGAAGTGGTTATTCAACTCTGAGTACAAGGGCAATCCTGATTAGCCACAATTCTGGTTAGTACTGATGCACAGGAAAAATTATACCCAGGTTAAAGCAAACCTTGGGAGGGAGTACGAAGGAATACAAAAGTTAACTTTATCTTGCTCTTAGTCTCTTAACCACCACCCCCAGGAAGTTTCTTTATACAGCGTCAAACCATTTGTCATCTACCTCAACAATGTCTACACTAGGGACGAGCAGACCTCTGACTTGTGGGATGTAATTTTTTTTTAACAGCAAAAACCCTGAGATCTACCAACTGGAGCCAGGTGCAAAATGGTGGCTCAGTTGGGCAGATATATGTAGGCATTGCTTTAGCAAAGCTAGGCCAAGGGCCCCCACACCATCAGCCTAATTTAGAAAGTGAAAACATTTTAGTTGTTGCTATTTTCAGACAATTGGAAATCAGAAGCACTTGCTGATCTACTGAAAATCACCTAGAGATCTACCAGTGGACCCTGATCTACCTTCTGCCTACCTCTGGACTGGACTATTTGGCAGTAACTCTCCAATGTTTCAGACAGAAGTCTTTTCCAGTCATATCAGGAGATACCAGGAATTGAACCTGGGAACTTTTGCATGCAAAAGATGTGCTTTACCACTGAGCGGTCCTTCTCCCCAACACAAGGAAGAGGATACTACCATGTACATGAGTTGTGTCTTTTTGCTAAAACTGGAAATTCAAGGAAGAGAAATTAGCATACACTCCTGAGGTGGTCAAGCTTTTACTGATTCAGAGTGCCTGATTTAATTAGTTATATTCAATGAGGTAGCAGTGGCTGGGGTTGTTTTCTCCCTGATGTATACAATGAAGATGTGAATAGGGCCATGAGAGAACAATTTAAGCCTTTATTTCTCTCTAGACACACGAATCCCTAGGCTGTATCTAATCTGCAACTAGTAGAGTACTATATCACTCTGCAAAAAATTAGTTCTATTTAAAGCACATAACATTAACATGATTCAACATCACTCTGGGTTGGTGCAATAAGGCTGTAACCAGGTCTCTCAGTGTGGTCACAGGCCACAGGGACTGTCAAGGGAAAAACAGATCAAGTTATCCTGCCCATTCCTCTCTCCAAAGGACCTAGCTCCATAGAAAAATGTTCTCAACAAGAAACAATCTGAACTGAAACTGTGTGATAATGTATCTTCATCCTTTCTGGATCCCAGTTCATTGAGATTATCCGCCTGATAATTTGCTAATTATTGAAAACCCAAAAGCATTTCACACACATTCCTCTTTACTAATTCTAATTCTTCACAGCAGCCCAGCAGGTGGAGAAGAAAAGACCCCATTGTTGGCAAGAGTAAGATTAGATTCCAGTGTTAATCACACCCTGTGGTTCTCTCATTTCCTTTTGCCTGAAAAAGCACTACTTCATTGTGCCTTTCACAAAGACTTCAGCAAAACTCTGCCAGAAACTCAGCGGGGAAAAGAAGAGTGAACAAGGGCTATTCTGGTCACAAGTAGAATCAGTTCCAGGTTTGGCTGTGACTCTGCAAGAAACAGATGCTGAACAGACAGCTGAGAACCTGGTGAACCCAATTTATGGCTAATTCATACATTCCACTGGCCTCTCTATCTGCATTTAGTAGCATAGACAATGATCTAATCATATGAGCAGTATAATTAGGCAGATACTCTTCAGTACTACAGAAGGAACTTCCATGAAAGGGGTGGCTGAATATGTATTTCCTTGTCCACAAAAGTGGCTGCCACAGTACTGCAAGAGTTGCCATCTTCACACATTACATTGCTCATAGGAATTGGCTACTTTCCTGATCTCCTAATGTATAACTAATATACAAGTTGGCTTCTAGGTGGCTAGGATTTTATTTTTGTTAGGCATGCTGATTCAGAGTGCCTGATGCTTGCATGCTACACATAGACACTGTGAAGCCTCCATCTATCTCTGCTAATGCAAATCCCAGGCTAAAGTCTAACAGTAGAACCACAGGAAGCACAGTCCACAACAGTAGCTACTCAAATTCCTTGTACTAGTTAATACCTTTTTCTTGCAACACCTTTTCTTGCACTTTCAGGCAGGTGCTACCAGCTGTAGGAAAAGGTATCACCTGGACAATCCTCTGCCTTCTGATTCTCTTCTAAGCTATTATTCAGTGCATGAAATTATTGTTAGATATTCTCTCTGTGTGTGAGAGAATCATTTGTTCCAGAAACAGAGAAGCACAGAGAAGAAGTCTCAAGAAGCAGCAGAAGGCTGAGATTGTTTTGTCTATGCAAGGACATTTTCTGTGGGAACTGTTCTTTGGACATGCACAGTGTGACAGGAAGTATTGATACCAATAGTTCTGTATAACTTGTGAGTCTCTTGCTTGTGTCTTGTGGTAAGAGAAACAGAGAGTCTTGGACTCTTGCTGGACTCTAAGCATGCCTTGACCATGGCAGTGGTGAATGTCTGTATATATTTGCTACCAATACGCTTTTATGCCTGTCAAGTAAAGTTCTACACTTGACTGAATCTTTATGGCATCCATAAGTGTTTATTGCCTACTGTGTGTACCTCCAACCCCAAAGACGCTACCAAGGAAGGAGCTGCGTTGAGATGTAACTCTGCTGAGTATGGATACTGGCACACAAGCACAGCGAAAGTGATGCTGGACCCAATCCTTCTAAATCATCCATCAGAGGTTGATGGATTGATCCAACAGTAATATCAGTGAACAGTGAAACCATGTTATATTCCCAGAGCCATGACTTTCATGCCATTCTGCAGTGCAACAGTCAGTAACAATGAACTCTACAACATACCTAAAAATATCTTGAGTTCACAAAAAGAGATAGTCATATTTGCATTAATGTGTGGCTGCTCCTGTGGCAAACAAGAGATCACCCTGCCTCAAACAGCCAAGGGCAGGCAGGCTAAGCAACATTTTCTAATGTTATCACAGTATATACAAAATGAGAAGTGAGAAAAGTAACTTGTTCCAGCTCACATCATCTGTTTCTGCGGGCAACAGACAGAAATGTTAATTTAACAATTGAGAGGAAGGAGGGCGACTTGGCTGTCTGTTAGTTTCTCAGGCTCACGAAGTAGACAGGAAGCAAATAGTTCCCTGTAGCCTGTCCAAAAAAGATTTTCCTTTTAGATTTGAACTGTGAAACTGCAGGAAGATTACCAGTAGGAAACTAGAACAGGAAACACTGGAGAATATGGAGTATATCACATACCTTCATTAATTAAACCCAGTTTGCATGTAACATTAAGCCATGCCATGGCTTAGCATGAAGACATGGGTTCCCAGAGAGAAGACTGTAACCACTGCACTTATTTCCTAGTCTGACTGCAGCTGCACTACCTGGTGCTAAACCATGGTTTGGGTTTATGATGTCAACCAAACACAGGCTCATGATTTGTCTGGAGGCGACAAACCACAGCCTGAGTTCTTAGCCCTGGATAGTATATCTGCAGAAGCAGCAGCAGGAGTACCAGGGGAAGAGTTTAGCCACCACAGTCTCCTATCTGGGATCACATTAAGCCATAGTTTGGCTTGGCATTATGTGTACACTGAGCCTTAGAATGAAGAGGCAGAAAAGAAGTTTCTCTTTTCCATATATCAATAAAGGTAGGCAACTTTCATAATTGCATTGTGGTTACCACGGGGATATACAGCTGATGAGCACTTCACATGAGGGTTCTATTCCCGACCCCTGCACATGTTGGCAGAACGCATATAAGCATGCTCTGACCTTTTATGGCCCCATTTCATTCTGCTCCATCCCCGTTCCACCCTTTTTGTGTCATGTTATATTATATTATTGGGTCACATCCTGGTTCGGTGCTGTGCACAATTGTGCATTTTTGGGGTGTGCATTAATCGGTTGTTGCCTGTATGTACATGACCAAAGGAGCAATACACCAGTAGATTCTAACTTGGCTAACTCATTTTAGCTAATCCTGGCTCAGTTGCACTAGCAATACTTTATAAGACGGGGCAGAGGTGGGATATTAATCAGACCACACTGGGACCTGTTATCCACACAATTAGGTCTGAAGGTGATTAGAATTTCCTGTAATAGTCACTCAACCCCTTAACAAAACTACAAATTCCAGAGTTAACTGAAGCATGTGTGTGGAACCTCTGGGCCTCCAGAAATCATTGAACTCAATTTTCATTAGCCCAGAGATATCATGGTCAAGAGATACCACTGATATCATGGCCAATGGTCAAGGAAGGAGGCCATTGCAGTCCAACATCATTCATTTGGAGGGCCTCACCTTGTAAGGACAATGTGTCCTGAAAAGCACGTAATAAATAAATAAATGAAAAAAATTGAGGACCGAATATTTTATAAAAGCAGTAAATAACCTATTGGTTAGCAACTCTACCAGAATTTCCACAAAAAGGCATTGCTAACAAGCCTTTCTACAACTAAATCAAATATAGTCCTTCATTGAGTTTTAAAGTTCTGATTATTGTTTTAGGTTTGTAAATCCTAAACCTTCAAAACTTCTCTAGTGATATATAAAACAATCCAAACCCTTGATTTGTCATGCTAGAAAGGGGCTGGATGAGGCAGACGTGTTTCTTTCTCCCAGCTTAGTATAAACAGTGTAGGGCTGCCATATTTCAAAAATTAAAAACCATGACACCCCAAAATTGTTACACCTTTTTTTTAGGAAAACCCAAAAGTTGGTGAGCTTTTTTTTTAGATAAATTGCAAATTTGTTGAGAAAATCTAGACACATGGCCTGGTGGAGCTGTAGACTCAGCAGTGGCAGTGTTGCTCCAATGGGTCTTGGTTTGAGTGGCACTCTAAGGCTTCTGCTTCTACTCGATCCACCTTGACACAATTAACTTCAGCTGGATGGCTTAACTCTTACAAATAACTAAGTGAGACTGCTAATTCTAATGGATTAGATTTTCCTGACCTATGAGAGTGATACAGGACTTGTTCACTGTAACATCCGATTATGGAAGATGGTTACCCTATTAATGAAACTTCAGGTAAAGAACTGCCCTTATTTACAGGCATCGCAATCTGAAATTGCTACTTGTTATCAGCAACAACCTATTCAAGCCAGAAACAGATCAAGAAACAGAACCTGGCAAACAGCCCAGTATGTTCTCTATACATTCATCTTTTTTGACAATTCTATTACTGGACCTCATTGTAACATCAGCCACACTATTTAGAAGTAACTTGAGTGGTGGCTTCCGTATATATGTGGGATCTGCTATTGGAATTGAAGCCATTTACACAGTGGACTTTTGAAATGCCAAACCTATTTCTGTGTTTTCTTAAAAATCCTTACTGATGTAAGGAGTCTACATTTTTAGGTACACTTTAAAATTGAATCTAAGTTCATGTCTGAACACCCTGAATTTCAAAATTTAATATCCATTCCAAAAAAAATTTCCTAGTTAGCCAAACATTTATGATAAATATCAAATAACATTCTAGCGTTCTATAATCTCCTTTAGGTCAGCTATCGAAAAAATTGAGGGTAAAGAAGAGTTGTTTGCTACACACAGCCTACATAGATATTAATTGCAGTGGCTTCCCCATGCTCCTACTGTGGTACTATTGTGATTCAGCAGTGGCAGCATAACTGTTTTTATGAAATGGCACTGGGGGAGAGGTAGAGGCCTCTTTTGAGAAAATTTCTCTTTGCTCCATCTTCCTTGATCTTTTAGTGTGGCAGCATCTACACTTCGGAACTCCCTGCCTGTTTGGCGCCTGCTAAAACATTTTTGTTTAGACAAGCCTACAGAGATATTTAGAAGTTGATGTGAGTTTTAATCTGCTTCGTTTATTGTTATTTTAACTATTCAAAGGTCTTAAATTACTGCTCTTAATTCTTAGTGATAATTTTATTTGACCTTTTTTGTACATCACTTGGAGGTTTGTTTGTTGTTGTTTTTACAATCAAGTGGTGTAAAATTTTTATGAAATAAAATAAATAATAAAATGTTCCTTGAGTAGCCAGTCATGTAAATGACTGCTTTGCATTGCTTTTATGTTGTTGTATAGCACTCTGGTGTTTTGCAAGAGGGAGGTGTATAAACACTTCTATAAATACATACAAAGTTTTAAAAAATCTGGACACTTTATAATATTTCCTGGTTACCTTACTTAACAGACATAAATCATTTTGGTTGCCAGATATTGGATATTTGCTTTATTTTGTGACCTTCAGTACTTCCATAGCAGTGTTTATTGTGGAGTCAGTGCTCCTCAGGCATACCAGTTTCCTTCAGCACCCACATGATACTTTTGGCATCAAAAAGCCAACCCACATTTCCCCCAATCTTGTATGGATTTACGCTTTCAGGGACAAATTCACTAATTAAAAAAAAAACACAAAACTGTTGCCAAAGCAACACATTTGCAAATTAAACTCCCATTTGGAAATATCCCATGTGCCATTTAGCTAAGATTAACCCAACTAGATTTTCATAGTATGTAAAAAAAGATACATTTTCCACTTGTACTCAGCTAAGTGAGTCTCAAGGGGTTGCTGTAAAGATAAATGAAGGAACCTCATGACAGCTATGTTGACCTCCTTAAAAGAAGGACAGTACCCAAATGAGATGATTAATAATACTAAGACATCAAAAAGTCTTCATTTTTATGAATTAAATGCAGACCATGGTGGGAATTTTAATACGTGTGTGGCAGGTAGAGCTGTAATTCTTTGAATTTACTTTTTGGAAGTGTTCATATATCCAATGAAGCAGATTTACTACCAGACACATTCAGCTATTTAATAAGAGCCTTGGAATATACACCGCAAAATTATGAATGACGCTCAGGCAAATCCATAGCCTTAAAAGCCAAGAGTTCCTTTGGTTTAGCTAAGAATCAATCAGGGGTTGAAGAAAAGATCAATGATTTCTGAACACTGACAAACATTTAAGGAGTATTGCAGGGTAGCTTCAGATTCAGTAATAAGATGATCTTGGGAAGGCATCAGAGTAGAGAACTAAAAATAGCTCTGTTTGGAAAAGAAATAGAACCGAGCGAGTACCAAACATGTATTCTACAAAAAAAAAAAAAAAAGTAGCAGCTTGGATGACACTCTAGTACACACACACAGAGAGAGAGAATAAAAAGGCACAGTTTAAGGAGGGAAACCACATGTTAAGAACTCGGGCTGCTAGTGTACTTGTGCAGCCAACAGTTCAATTAGGAAATAACACTGAAGAACAGAGAAGTATTGCCAACTACCACCAGGATGCTCTTATTAATACAGTAAAGCCTGAAACTTGATCACACCTAAAGCCAAAATCGCATGTAGTCAAAACACACTGGGTTCAATGGCAGGTGGAATTGCCAAAGTCCTTTTCCCAGAACCCTGCCCACTCTTCTTTCTTCCCTCCTTCCTTCCTTTCTCGGCCACATGTGTAAAGCTGAATACGCACAAGTTTAAAAATGCATAAGTTGTGGGCTTAGTGTACTAGATTGTGAGAGTTCATGGTATCTCACTTCAGAACAATGTAGTTAAATCTATCTTGGTCTATTTTCTTGCATGCAGAAGTTCTTGACCAACGGCAAAGATTTTGGTCGGTTCCTTTCTTCCACACTCAAACTAATGGATTGGGTCCCACTTTGAATCAATAATGTAATGTTATTGCTTATACATGCAAGTTCCATTCAAATATAGGTTCAGGGGAGATACTGCATGACAAACAGATAAAACTCTCAATTTTTGCTGAATAAAAAGTACTCTATATTGAGCATTTATGTGCCCCCTCCCATTAGCTGATCTAATAAAACGTAAGAAAACAAATGATTAAAGCATACAAACCAAGCAAAAAGTGTGCATAAGTACGTAAAATAATGAGTACACACAGATTATTCCCTAACAGGATCACCAAGAGTTCTGATCTTACCAAGTAGAACTGATAGCCACAACCTAAACCATTTCCATCTCTACACTTGTGACTATATGTTTTTTGTCTATGTTAATCATACAAGCATTAAGTCTTGGCAATACCAAGATATTTGAGCCTTATCCCCATTTTATTTCTAAAGAAAGAGGAGGGTGGTCCCATGGAAGATAGAGAAGGTTTGTTTTCTCCTGCTCTGGAGGACTCAAACCAATGGCTTCAAGTTACAAGAGAGGAGATTCCGACTTAAACATCAGGAAGAACTTTCTGACAGTAAGAACTGTTCAACAGTGAAACGGAGGTGGTGGACTCTCCTTCCTCAGAGGTTTTAAAGCAGAGGTTGGATGGCCATCTGTCATGAATGCTTTGGTTGAGATTCCTGGATGGCAGGGGGTTGGACTAGATGACTTCCAACTCTATGATTCTATATGCCTTACGAGTATGCTTCCTGTCATACCTTTAGCTGGGGAGGCTAAAGAAAGGTTTCACCTTTGTCTCTATGGTTTAATCTTCAGGCTCGAGACAAAGTGCACTTGATTTTAGGCATTACATGGTTAAATTCAAGCACCAGGAGTGTACTGCTGGCTGGTTTACTTTCAAACACACAGCACTTTTAGGGGGTGCATCTTTATGCTAAAAGTTCCATTCCACTAAAAGATCATCCATTTTTAACAGTTTGAAGTTTTGTGGTTTCACACTTCCTTTCAGCTGCAACAGATATTTTAGGCAACCACAGTCACTAGTTTAACGAAGTCTTGCAAATTATCCAGCTACATGTAGGAGGTTATGATCTAAACCAAGGGTGGGGAAACTTTTTTACTTTCAAGAGACACTTTCCTGGGGAGTAATATCTCAGGGAGTGCATGCCAGGAATATACAAAGTTTTTTTAAAAAATTTTTAAATCTATTTATTAAATTTGTATACCAACCTTCATCTGAAAGCAGTATACAGTGGTACCTCGGGTTAAGTACTTAATTCATTCCAGAGGTCCGTACTTAACCTGAAACTGTTCTTAACCTGAAGCACCACTTTAGCTAATGGGGCCTCCTGCTGCTGCCGCGTCGCCGGAGCCTGATTTCTGTTCTTATCCTGAAGCAAAGTTCTTAACCTGAAGCACTATTTCTAGGTTAGCGGAGTGTGTAACCTGAAGCGTATGTAACCTGAAGCGTATGTAACCTGAGGTACCACTGTATAAGGTTAAAGAACAAAGTGAATCTTTCGTTCTGGAACCTTCTGCCTGCCCCTTGCCAACTGCATGAAATTAGGCCAAGGACCCCACTTGGTATAAAACAGTCATGAATGCAAAGCTGCTCTTCTTAGGAACAAAGGAAGCTTCCTAATACCGTTGGTTCATCTAGCACAGTACTGTCTACACTGACAGGCAGCAGTGCTAGGGCTTCAAAAATGCATCTTTCCCAGTCCAAATTGTAGAAGTGGGGCAGAGGTTTTCAACCTTTTTGGGTCCACAGCTCCTTCGACCAACTACATTCTTTCTGCAGCACCCCTGTGGGGATCAGGAGCCCAGTTATATCACCCCTTGCCTGCAGAGCAGGCAGTCCCTCACCCCTTTCAAACACCCTCCCTTGTGGAGTGTTCCCTCAGCCTCCTTTCTTCTCCGCTCTCCTTAGGAATCCTCTGAGCAGCTGCTGCCCCTGGTTTCTGAGCTGCCCCCGCCCCAAAGAGAGGTGCCTCCTCACACTGCCCCACAGGGACCTGGGAAGCACCCCTTGGCCAGCCCCAGAAGCACCATTCACCTAGGGAGCTTGTAGCCAGGACTGCTGCAACAAACAGCTGTGCAAGCCTTTGGGAGGCAGAGACCTGAGAGGGCATCAGAGGAGGGAGCGAAGGAAAGAGGGACAGAGGCCAGTGTTGCCTGCGGCATCCCTGACCATCATTCGTGGCATCCCAGGGTGCCACGGCACACTGATTGAAAACCACAGGTGCAGGAAAACCACTGACTGCAGGGACCTTATGCATGCAAACCGGATGCTCTGCCATTGCTTGGCTTCCCATCAGCGCGGCTCAGAGGAGGGAGTGTTTTGTCATCTGGGCAGCCCAGGACCTCCACACACACTGCCCGGGCTTTGTGCCATTGAGCTATTGCAATCTTCAATAATATTGTGTGGATGTATGGGCATTGGAGAGCCAGTGATAGTCAAAGAATTAATAAGAAATACAAATTTGTCCAAACCAAGGCAATTTGCAGACGGGGAATAAATAATTTTTCCTAATTTCTAGCTTATCTAGAAGATACCTAAAGACTATCTATGTTCTCCTCCTACTCCATTTAAATAGTATACTTTTAACTAGCTAAACACACCCATACCCTCCATTTCTTCGAGAGAATACAACTGCTGACTAATTGCTCAATAAGTTGATGCTATCCTCAATGGAAGAGATATGAGACCATGATGCATCTTCCCTCCCCCCAAGGATGATGTAATCTAGGTCTGTTTGAAAGAGAACAGTAGAAGCCAGTTTTGCAACACTAAAGAATAAAAAAACCTGCTGTTGAGGCTGACAGAGGAGGGAGAGAGTGAACTTCCACCTCTGGAAGGCAAAAGGGACCTCAGGATCCCTCTCTGGGGGCTTCATGTGCGTCAGTGTATTTGCTGCACGTACAAGTGCTGTGCTGTCTTTTCCAACTTGTGGTGTTGTTGGCAGTCGTCTGTCTTGAGAGACAACGGAGTACGCCTGTGGGGTGAAGTCAAACTGCAGCGTAAGCAGCACTGTAGTGACCTCCCCAGGGTGCAAGCCTGGGCAGTATGTCCTGGGTTGCCCAGATAACAAAGTAAAGATAAAAGGTAAAGGACCCCAGAACGGTTAAGTCCAGTCGAAGGTGACTATGGGGTGCGGCGCTCATCTCGCTTTTCAGGTCGAGGGAGCCGGGGTTTGTCCAAAACAGGTTTCCAGGTCATGTGGCCAGCATGACTAAACCGCTTCTGGCACAGCAGGACACCATGATGAGTGCCTTCCCGCCACAGTGGTACCTTTTTATCTACTTTCGCTGGTGTGTTTTTGAACTGGGAAGAATTGGCAGAAGCTGGGACAGAGCAACAGCAGCTCACCACCGTTGCACAGATTCGAACCACTGACCTTCTGATCAGCAAGCCCAAGAGGCGCAGTGGTTTAGACTGCAATACGTTTGGCACCAGCTTAACTGCAGGAGTTGCTGGAAGGAGGTGTACAAGGCACCATCCAACTGTTTTAAGGACTCCACTCCAGATTTGTGTAGAGTTTACTCCCTAGCCTTTTCTTCTCCCCAAGATACCCTGCAAGGCAGCAGAGGTTTGGGAGTTTTCCTTCTTCTGGATGGGCTACCTTCCCAGATTAGCGAGCCCCTTCTGCCCCTCATTTTCCTCTACAGCATGTGCAGAAACTGCCTTCTTGACCACTAGCCCCACTATTGGTCTCATCTGCTCAACCCTCGTTAGGTTAACTTGAAGATTTATAGGGACTGGGGAATGCTGGCAGCCAGCCAGCCCCATCACCTGCTCCCACTTTGGGGACTAATTGTTACCACCTACCTGAGGGGCCCCACTCAGCGATACTTGCTCACAGAATCACTACTTCATGACAGGTATCACACCAAGGACCTAGGTATGGAAACTCCAGAAAATTTGCTTTCACTTTTTGAACTTCAGCCTGTGACCTTCACTTGTACTTCCCCTTCCCTCTTCAGTTTTGTTTCCATCAACCCACCAAAGCAGACTAAACACTTCCTTTTTCTATTTCACTCACTCCAAATATTTCCTATGAGCCTTCTGGGTTTTGGAAAGATCGTCTTCAGAAATCATTGAGGTCTCATGATTAACCAGGATGTTTATTAACTACACATTATATTATAGACGACAAGAATCAAGGTACAGTTTTAGCCTATTACAAAATATTGCATAAAATCTAAATAGGACATTCTCATAATCTACTATCTATTCTGGAAAGTGGTTTGTTTGTCCATTTGTTTCCCATAGGTTCAGATGACTCTTGAGATATCGTTGCCAAACTCAGCATGAGGGTTCCTGAAGTTGGAGCTTGCAGCAGAGGTGAAGCTGCATGCTCTGGCACTGGGGGCGGAGAGCAGGCGGGGGAGCGTGGCTGGCACATGTACCCCACTCCCTGATGGTGCCTGGGGCGGTGTGCTCCCCCTGCCCCCCCCATTCCTCCGCCAGTGGCTCGCAGGACACCATTCTTTATCCAGATGGTGGACAATACTGTCACTTAGATTTTTTTGGTGTAATGGATTCCCGAGCAAGAGGCAGGAGTCTTCATCTATATTTGGACGCTGGGCACCATTTTGACACAAGATAGCATGCCAAATTAACCCCAATTCAACACTAGCTCCCCTCCAAATTGATTTGGAACCAACTCAGATTCTCCCTAGGTCAGATTAAAGTATTGAGTTAGTGTGTGTGCACACACAGTCTCTAAACACAGTACCTGATTTCCCCAGTAGCACTGGGTACTCCACACTAGGCCAATGAAACAGCCAACTTAAAATCCCAACAATGTCCTAAATAGGGAAGAATTTAATAGAATTCTTTCCTAGGCTCAATATGAATTCATTGCAGTGGTTCCACTCCTACTTTGTCAAGTTCAGAAGCTGACGCTATGGGATTATTGATTGGGCTGACCGAATCAACAAGTTGGGGTTCTTCTTGTTACAATTTCATTTTCACTTTTACCAAGACAATATAGCGAATGACTGAAACCTTTACAGGTATTTCTTTGAAAAACATTTCTTGCTTTGCTTACTGGAATGAGCCAAGCATTTCTGATGGGGGGAAAATCAATCACACTTCATTCATCCTGTGAAATGTAATTCTCTGGAAATGACAAATTAGCCCTGTTTAATTCATTTAGTTTTTTCTTCATCTGTGAAATGCAGTTTGTATATGGGATCAAAGGAAAGTCAGGAGAAGCAGAACTAGCAATTCCATCATCTTTCTTCCTGGTCCTCTTCTGCAGCAACGGAATATGAAAATCAAGCCACAGAATCATAGAGTTGTAAAGTTATAAGTGAATCCCTCCAACCCCCTGCAATATAGGAATATGCAGCTATCTCATACGGGGATCGAACCTGCAACCTTGGCATTACCAGCACCACACTCTAACCAACTGAGCTATCCAACAATAGTCACTTATTTTAAGGAAGTTTACATTCCTAAGACCCACAATAAAACTTCAGTACAAGCAGAATCCTAAAAGAAATGTGGTCACTATTCAATAGAAATGTTTGAAATTTTAAACACAGACTAAAATTAAGTCATTCTATTCAAGAGATCACAATTCAAATATTTTTCAAGCCAGGGCAGAGAAGTTCATTCTTTAAGAAAATCTTTAGAGGGGAAAATGGTCTTAGCACAGTAAGCCACTCAAACACTGAGGTATTACATGAACTGAAAAAAGAGGAAATTAATCTAACCAGACTATTTCTCATCCTTAGGCTAAATACTGTATGCCACTGATCATGAGATCATGTATCATTTGATACTCCAAAGCCTGCAAGCAAACTATTGGTGAGAGTCAGTAAGTGACAAAGCAGCAATTCCTTCACATGCACATTGTGCAACCCCCATGCCAAAAAAACCCCAACCAACCACCACCACCCTCGGGAGTTAAGTGATTCAACAGCAGAAAAGACTGACCCAGAAGGAAACAACCTGGGAGCCTGAATACTAAAAACAAAGTAAATCACTGCAACGGCCTGTGTTTCTATAGCAACTCTCCAATCCTGGTTTGCGCAACACAGTAGGCCAAGCAAATGCACAGCCCCCCCCCCCCCGAAAAAAGCTCACAGCTGCGTTGCTCCTTCCTGGTCCATTTTATTTCTGTGCCACACTGAACTAAACCAAGGTTTGGCTTGTGTGTGGTCCAAACCCAGTCTCACAGTTAAGTTCTCTCCATACTAACCATGGCAGCCCCTGCCTAGAAGAAAGTGCTACACAGAAGCAGCTTATCAACTCATTGGATGGATGAGGTCCCTTGGAGTGCAGGACAGGTGATTGAGAGCCTTCTGATCTCTACCAGCTGTCCAGGATGCAGAGTTGTAAAGGGGAGGAAGAATGGCCAGTGCAACTAGGAATCTGAAAACAATAGTTTGATCAAGTCTTAATCTTTAGTAAAATATTGTTATGGTGATCAGCTTATGTTGGGTAGGAAGTAATTTTGATTCTGCCAGAGCAAAAAAATAAATGCTTGGCTGGCTCTGCCTTCTCAGTGCACATCTGTCTTATCCCTAAATTGACCAGGCTCCTTCCACGTAGGAAGATCCAGTCAAAGGGTGTTTTCTGTCTTTCTGCTTGATCACAAGAGGCCCTCATCCTGCGGCGAAACACTGGCCTGTGAAAAGCATGGCAGACACCGGGAAGACTTCTTAAATCATCTTATATCTAGTTATATGCTGCCTGCAACCAACTAAACCCTCTGTTTGCTGTCATCAGTGTTACTCCTTCATGATAAACCTTCTCCTATCCCATTCTTTCACCATTAAATAGTTTCTAAACTGCAGACATTGGCAACTTCAGCTTTAGGTTTTGTATTTTACCTAAGATAACTGCAGTCACAGAAAAAAATAGATACACAGTTTGCCTTATGGCAGGGAATATGTGTTTTGCAAGCCTACCAGCTATTTTAATATATTATGACAGTTTTGATGCATTTTCCTTCATTCACTACCAAAATAAGAGCAGATGGAGAAACGAGAATTCCTAACTTAACAAGAGTGTACTTCTGTTTTGGTACCATTCCTTTAAAAGCAGCCCTATTAGTAATTGGTGAGTCACTGAATATATTTACAGGCTTGCTACAGACCAGGAACTTTAGTTCAAGTCTTTCTGTGTTATTCTGCTAGATGTCAAATCTATATTACTTTCAGTTCAGTCATATAAAAAGCTTCAAAATATCAGGATTAGCAGCTGAGGGCCAGTGCTGCAAACCATGGCTCAAGATATTCACTGAGCTTTATGCTGGATTTTCATAGACTACTTTTTTCCCCTACATAATAAAAGTGTCCGAATGATTTTTCCACACATTTATGCAGTTGCCATCATTATTCATTCGTTGTAAGGGCTCTACACACTTCTTTAACAAGAATATCACATTTTCACAGTGCTTGAACTGCAATATTTTTTACCTGGGAAAGGAAAATTAACATTTTAGCTAGCAGAATTACAATAGATATTATATGGCTTATGGCTGTACAGTTGTCATATTTCTGTAATTTGTTCTTCTTGGCTCTTTCGCTGTTTGGAAGTTTTACTTCATTTTAGAAATAACTTTATGTAAGTTACCTTTTGGGCTCTTGGACAGGGAGAGGCATGGGAATTTACTTTAAAAACAAACATGCACCTACTATCAATGACAGCCAGGAGTTCTCATTTGCACCCACGGTACAACTATACCCATCCACCTATGCTACTCTGTGAATTTTTCAGTTTAATGTTGTTACAGTTCTTTATCAGACAAGGGCTACCATGTCTCATAGCACCACCACATGCCCTTTCTCCAAAAATACTTAAAAGGAAGAAGTGGATTGGGGTGGGGGAAATGCATATAGCATCCTGCAGGTAGTCTCAGCTCTAAGCTGCCTTGTTTCACACTGATGGCCCCCTTGCTCTTTGGAACCTGAGGCAAGAAGCCATAGCAAGCAGTCTTCCCTCCAGCTTCCCCCAGTATTTGTACATTCTCTTTTACCTGCCCCAGAATGCATAGCCATAGTTAAGAAGGGAAGGAGCGAAGGGACGGCAACATGGTTACAGCAATGCTATCCTTTCCCCCACAATGTGCAGGCTGGATAATGAGGAACGGAGAGACTACTGGAGTAAGGGGAAATAATGTGACCGGGGCACGTGTTAACTGATCATGTGGAAAAGCTTTAATTTAACGGACAGGCTCTTGCAAGTTGTTTCACGTCTCAGTTTTTGGTCAGTATTATAAACAAAAGGCACCTTCTTAAAGCCCCAAATGGGTAGGATTCTCAAATGAAAACTAGCACACCATATTTTGAATTAGCACAGTTTGTCCTATGTTTTCCAACTTAGGCGTTTTCTATGTTAGTGACAGCCAGAAATATCATCAGCTTGCTAACAAATAATGATGACACAAGTGAAATGTGGCATGAATATGTACTGTGTACAAACAACACAGATGGTGAATTTAGTGTTGGGCATGAGCCCAGATTTCCAGAGTTTCAACTGTATGCACCAGTAATTTGTTACTGTTCTTCCCTCAATATATTGAGGGAATATATATGGACTGCTCATCCTAGCATATGCTTCTCCTCAGATTTGCTATATTACTTGTGCTGTCCTTGCCCTCCCCACACTCTAAAACACTAACTACCTTGAAACAGATGTCTCCCTCTCTCATGTTACTAATCCCAAACGCAAAGGGAAAAAACTAACTCATGCAACGGTCCTTCAATTGTTTAAGACTCCGGTCGCCAGCGGGAGAATTATTTTCATTTTTTTACTTATTTCAAACAAGCAAGCCAGAAAGATGCAAGCTTCGGAACTATAAGCAGCCCTTAAGAGAAGATGTTCAGCCTTCACTGTGCAAAATTTAAACTAATCTGGAAGAGGAGGAAGCCAAAGGAACAGATTTTTAGCACACACACAATATAAAACAGTCGGGGGGGGGGTCATCTCCAACATCATTACGGCCAGAGCTGAAGGATTAAATGGCAACATTCAAAAGCAGGATTTCTTCTGTTGCCAAGGAAGGGGCAGGGCAGAGGGCAGAAGAGACAGAAAACGGGCAAGGCAGAAGAAGGGGGCAGACCCAATGGAAGAACAGACGGCAACAAATGGAATTGGGGGCTGGGGAAGGGAAAGAAGTGCACAAGAAAACAAGCATTTTGTGGGAGGCAGATAATTGGGGGGGGGTTCCGTCTGGTGAACCTTTTCCCTTTTCCCTCGTGGCTTCTGCTGTCGCAAAGACCCTTGCCACAGAGGAAGGTTTCTCGGGGACCCGCACCCCCATTCGCCTCTGCCCCCCTCAAGGGCTCCTTTCCCCCCTTTTTGCCTCCGCGCCACTCGAAGAGGGAGACCTGCAGGGCGTCCCCTGCCGACGCTCACCTGGACAGGTGCTTCAGGATCTGCTTCTTGAAGAGGCCAGCCATGCCGGGGCCCTGGACAGGACGAGGCTCCTCTTAGCGCCCCAGGTGCTCCATCACAGCCTCCCTCGCCGCCCGGCGCCTCCGCCGCTCCGGCCGCCTCCTGCCATCGCCAGTCCCCTCCCTCCTTCCCTCCCGGCCTCAGACGCCGACGGAATCCCGGCCACCACCGCGGCCAAGTCCGGCAGAGCCGCCTTCAGCCCCCGCCCGCCGGAGAGAGGCGGGACGAACACGGCGGCGTGGCAGCGCCCTCTGTTGGCTCACAGGGAGAGCAGCAGCAGACGCAGCCCCAGCAACCTCCTCCTCTCCCTGCATGGTACCGAAGCTGCAGCCAAAGCACAACATGCCCGCGGTTTCTGTCGTTGTGGGCAATATGGTGTCTTGTTGTTTAATTCTTGTTATTGTTGGAGGAGGACTACCAGGAGGAATGGATGCAATTTAAAAACTATTTAGTTAACTATGTTAAGTTAACTTAATTGGAAAAGCTTGCAAATATCAGATAGGCTTAGGCTTTAAGTATGTAATGTGATTAATATGTTTAATGCCAAATTTGAAAGAAAGACAGATGTTAAGTGATTAAGTTAATTATATAAGAATATTGGTTTTGGAAAACTGTTAAAATGATATACATTGAAATTCAACCAGGGGGGTACGAGGAAGTCACTTAACAATGTTACTAAGACTGGTTTAAATAAGGCTGAGATTTTTGTTTGTTTGTCTAAAAAACTTTTTGGAACATTAATAAAAAATAATTCTTGTTATTGTTTTAAATTGGCCTTTGTCTGATGGGGAAGATGGATTTCTAAAATGCTCGAGGTTCCAAGGGCCACTTCGGCTGCTTGCCAGGCGGAGTATAAATAAATAGATAATAAACATCATAGTGGGGCACTCATGCAAGGCTGGCCCAAGACATCTTGCTGCCTGAATCAAAAGTCAAGGTGGCACCGCCTCCCGTGCCATTTACAAACGCCAACCAGGCTGTCAAATGCCTTCTACTTCAACGCTACTGCCTTCCACTGCAAAGGAGGGCAGTTGTTTAGTCGTGTCCGACTCTTCGTGACCCCATGGACCAGAGCATGTCAGGCACTTCTGTCTTCCACTGCCTCCCACAGTTTGGTCATACTCATTCTGGTAGCTTCAATAACACTGTCCAACCACCTCGTCCTCTGTCATCCCCTTCTCCTTGTGCCCTCCATCTTTCCCAACATCAGGGTCTTTTCCAGGGAGTCTTCTCTTCTCATGAAGTGGCCAAAGTATTGGAGCCTCAGCTTCAGGATCTGTCCTTCCAGTGAGCACTCAGGGCTGATTTCCTTCAAAATGGATAGGTTTGATCTTCTTGCAGTCCATGGGACTCTCAGGAGTCTCCTCCAGCACCTTAATTCAAAAGCATCAATTCTTCGGCGATCAGCCTTCTTTATGGTCCAGCTCTCACTTCCATACTTCACTACTGGGAAAACCATAGCTTTAACTATACGGACCTTTGTTGGCAGGGCAGTAGGCTGGCTTAAGAGCAGGCACACATTCCTGCACTTTATCCTGTCACCATCCTGCTGCTGCTCTCAGATCTCCAGTGTTTGCAGCCCAATGCAGCTGCCTCACTCCGCCTAAGGATAGAGCCAGCACCCGCTAAAACCCTTTTGGTTTAGGCAAGCCTACCCAGCTAGCTCAGTGTAATATTTAGGTTTACTTTGAAGCTGCTGATTTTATAGCAGCTTGTTTTGAAAATCATATAGCTGTCGTCTCCTGGTTTGGAGTATGTCGGATGTAGTTTTGTAACTGAATACGCAGATCATTTTGGTAAATGGCTCATGGGGTGCAGCTGATATGGGAGTGCTTGTGGGATGCTCCACCCCCTTCTCCACAATTTTGCTCTGGTTGGTGAATCTCAAATTTTAGTGAACAAAAAGCAAAGCAGATCCCACAAGTCCGCTCATGCTGCCCTAAGCAACTGTACTGCCTTAACCAATTAACAGAGCAATGTCAACTTGCATACACAGTTTTGCTCACCAAGCTTTTAATGGTGCAAGATGCCAACTCCCAATTGGATTTCAAATTCTGCAAGTATGGCAGGAATTCTCTAGGAAAAAGTGAAGGCTACACTGCTGAAAACACACTTCAACACTTACAAAAAGCAAACATGACTCATTTTAGTCACATGCTATTTTCATGAAGCAATTATCCACAACAAAAGGGTGTATAGTTGCCCACAATTGCTAGCTCAGCAGCCCTGGTGACTCCATATGTCCACATAAAAAAGCATAGGTTGTATCATAGCAATCTGCTTCTTGCACAACCAGAAGCTGTTAATGAAGTCATAAATACCCAACCCCAAACCAGAGATCACTGGTCTTTCACGTTTCAAGTAGTGTTAGGATTGCAGACAAATTTTCCATGAAGGTTCCCTTTAGGTTACAGAAGCAAATTGCTGATAACAAGAAGAATCAGGCTTAATATTTTACAGAATGCTGTTTTTAAATAGTTTTCCATTTCATAGTTTATTTTAATTGTATTATCTACTTGTCAGCCACCTTGCAAGGCTTTTCCCCTGAAAGGCAGGATGTGGATGTGGATGTGTGTGTATATATACATTGCAGAAAAATAAATAAATAATAGTAAGTTTCTACTTGTTGGGAAATTTGATTTTATTGAAACCAAATGGTTTCACAGAGTGCTGTTATACGTTTTTCCAAAAGGTTAAATAACACATTTATTTACAAATAGCATGTATTCTTCTGCAGCATCAAACTTTTTTTGAGTGTGCCATATGCAGAAAGCTTTTTTTATTAAACTAAAATCTCATATCTGCATTACGCATTTAAGGAATATAAAACTTTGACTGTTTTTCCATTCTATACAGCGTGAGTGGTCACTGTGCTCAGGAATTATTTGCATCTCTCAGACTCAAACTGTTCAGAAGCACAACTCCCCAGCAGTGCTGTCTCAAGGGTTTCTGCTGCTAGAAGACTTGCCGCTTCATACCATCCCAACCAAAAACAAATGTGATGGTAGGAACGCATACCGAAAGAAACCTCTAAGGCAGATCACCAGGAAGCATGGGGAAGGGTAGCTAGGAACACTGAGGTGGAGAGAGCAACAGTGTGTGTGTGTGTGAGAGAGAGGGGGGGAGGGGAGAGATCCAAGAGCAGGGAGGGTGAGAGGATACCATGTGCAGCTCTTGGGGAGAGAGGGAGAACAACACTACCTTCACCAGAGGCAGGGAAGGTGGGAGAATGGCAGTAGTGGCAGCATCATGAATTGTGCCTCAACCATATGAGCAATCTGGTTTATGACTTATTTGTCCTACTGAACCATGTACGTGGGATGAACAACACAAAGACAATGTGTCTAACAAGTATCAAAGGTTTATTCCAATAATGAACAAGGACATGTGTCTGATAAATGTTACAAACCTCTAGTCCAGTCTTCTGTTTCTCCCCTCCCTCCTTCACCCATTTAAGTTTGGAAACTGAAAAACCAGGTGGTTTGTTGCTGCTTGGGACAATGGAACTCCCAGGGCTTTTGTTCACAGATAGGTGTACATAAAACACAGGCAGAATGGTCAGTCCACTTCCACTTTATCTGTCTGGACGAGCCATTCCTGGTCTGGTTGGCACCATCATGGGTCTGGATGGAGGTCTCATCATAGGTGGCCCTGGCATCATTGGCATATGTCCTCCCATGGGCGGCCTCATTCCTGGAGCTACAGCAAAGTAAATTTAAAGCATAAGAAATGTACTAACCAATTTCTAGTCAAAGGCACCACAATGTCTATTAAAAGTGTCCTGAAAAGACCACCTAGATTTCTAGGAAGAAGCTTCCACGTTTTCAGTATGGAAAGAGAAAACTTTCCTAGACTAGTGGTTCTTTGGAAATGTTTTGTCATTTCTTCACTGCAGATCACATTGGTTTAGATACTAAATTGTTCTTCCATTTACACAGGAGGATGACTTGCTTCCATTCTGTATACCAATCCCCCATACCATTCCCAAAGGCCTCCCATCTTCCAGGAGCATATTTCAAGTGGTACAGGAAAGTCCTGTTCCATGAAATGAAGTTTCCTGGAAAGAAAGTTGATATCCAGTTCCATTGTTTTACCTGTCTATGATAGTGCTATGATAGTATATACTTCAAAAACAAATGCTAGATTAGATAGCTTCCAAATGCCGATAGTGCCCACAAACACTGATAATGCCTTCAAAGTTCCAGAATTGGGCAAGAACTTATACAGCATACTTACACAACCAGGTCTTTCAAGGTATCATACATTGCTGTTTTGTACTGCATTATATATTTGGTATTTCATATGGAAGACATTTAGGAGACTCACTTAACACAGACTAAATTATTTGGGCGTACTTAATGGTCACACAGGGGACGCGGGTGGCGCTGTGGGTTAAACCACAGAGCCTAGGACTTGCCGAGCAGAAGGTCGACAGTTCGAATCCCCATGACGGGGTGAGCTCCCATTGCTCGGTCCCTGCTCCTGCCAACCTAGCAGTTCGAAAGCACGTCAAAGTGCAAGTAGATAAATAGGTACCGCTCCAGCAGGAAGTTAAACGGCGTTTCCGTGCGCTGCTCTGGCTTGCCAGAAGCGGCTTAGTCATGCTGGCCACATGACCCGGAAGCTGTACGCCGGCTCCCTTGGCCAATAAAGCGAGATGAGCGCCACAACCCCAGAGTCGGCCACGACTGGAACTAATGGTCAGGGGTCCCTTTACCTTTACCTAATGGTCACACGGTAAAGAGCATGCCCAACACTTTGCTTACTGCTAAGAGTGCTTCCTGTTTTACACACTTTTAATGGTGGCAAAGGGTATTAGTAATATTGTTCCAGCACTGCTTGATGAACAATTGCCTGTTTTAGGTGTTGTGGTCAAACCATGATTTGGGGATTGAGAGCACCTCCGTCCCTTGTTTGCTTAACCATGGGATGATGTGACATCTGAATCAGACAAAGAATGGTTAATGCTAACTAGGACAACTTCTGAATCACAGTTTGCAAACCCACTTCAAGCCATGGATTGAAGGCAATTTTTAGTTGGCTAAGTGTGGACTTCACAGCAGGCTATGGCATAAGAAAATCAAGAAAGGAAAATGGAATCTTGCACGAGACTGGAGAAGAGACTGAGCCCGAAGTGTATTCATCATGGCTAAACCATAATTTTCCTAGAGGAAAGGTTGGGAATTTTGGTGACACTGAAAAAAGCTTTCTTTTGGAATCAGTGAAATGCTTTTTAAGATAAGGTTTTATTCACTCCAGATGTATAGTATGATCTTTTAAATGCATAACAGTCTATGCAACAGCACTACAGAATAATTCCTGGCACCTTTTGATCACTCCAAATTGCACAATGAAACAAAACCAACAAGCGTTAGAATTCTTAACAAACTTGTAATCTAACTGTACCATTGAGGGTTAGGGAGGTGGGAGGAAGAAGAATATGGAATGTCTCTTCTCTGTTATTATGCTTTACTTATTGTTTTCATTTTTAGTTTTGTAAAATTATATAAAAAGCCAATGAAAATAATATAAAATATTTTAATAAATCGTAACAAGGTTAAATATGCTAAAGTATAAATGTATTTTAAAAGTAAAGAAAAATAAAAAAATGTGACAGAAATAAGTTTAAGAATTATACAGAGAAACATCTCAGCTACCACTTTAATCAGTAAATATTAATATATATTTTTCAGATCTTTATCTATACATAGAAACATGAGATCTTAAGGATGGCAGCTCCCAAGATTCCTATGAAACAGGCAAGACCAAATTTTAAATGAATGTTGATTATAATCCAGCAAGAGGTTTATCCCAAGGGGAGAAAACTGGGTTAACCCAGACACTAGAGAGATGGGAGAACTTCCTAGACAATGAAGGTTTTAGGGAAACTCACAACATATAGGAGCTCAAGCTCTAGTTAAGGACCTATGCACATGCACATACAAATGTATCTTCAGAATATAAGGAATTAAAGCAAAAGGGCAAATATTTATGTCATCCAGAACTTACCAGGGCCAACTGGCATCATTCCTGGGGGTGGTGGGCCCATCATTGGCATCATTGGAGGGCCACCCATGTGGGGTGCTGGCATCATACCAGGCCGTGGAGGACCCGCTCAAGTATGAAAACAATGGACAAATGTCAAAATAAGTTTGCACACCAACCTAACATCTCAGAAACACGATGTTTTTGAAGATTGCCAACAATCTTTTTGCATCCCAACTGTCTGTTAGTTCTTCACCGTAAGAAGGTAGGAGTTGGTGAAATATCTTATCTATTCACCATTACAACCAGTTGTTGTAATGGTGAATAGGTAATATTGTAATGAACATCAGCTGTTCATCATCCATAGCTCTTCTTCTTCTTCGGCGATCACTCCTAGCAGGGTAAGATTGCAATGTTATTCGTAATTAATAAATGGCTACTACAGTAGTACATCAGGTTAAGAACATAATTCATTCTGGAGGTCCGTTCTTAACTATTAAACTATGCTTAATAGGTTATTGTATTTTAGTGTTTTGTTGGAAGCTGCCCAGAGTGTCTGGGGAAACCCAGCCAGATGGGCGGGGTATAAATAATAAATTATTATTATTATTATTATTATTAATTATCCTGAAATGTTCTTAACCTGAGGTACGACTTTAGCTAATGGGGACTCCTGCTGCCGCCGTGCCCGTGCAATTTCTGTTCTCATTCTGAAGCAAAGTTCTTAACCTGAGGTACTATTTCTGGGTTAGTGGAGTCTGTAACCTGAAGCTTCTGTAACCTGAAGCGTCTGTAACCTGAAGCGTCTGTAACCCGAGGTACCACTGTATTCTTTTTAAAGTACAGTGGTACCTCTTGTTGTGGACTGGATCCATTCCAGAGCTCCAGTTGGATCCCGAGGTTTCTGCAACCAGAGGGACTGCTTCTGCGCACTGTCGTGTGGCAAAACCCCAGAAATATACTTCCGGGTTTGCCACTTACGTATCCCGAAGTTTGTGTAAGCGGAGGGATACATAAGCGGAGGTACAACTGTACTACCCAAATAACCACCTAAAGTTTTCCCTGTAACACATACCAAAGTTTTGCCATGCTAGCCAGAGATAAAACATCAATATTCATACTTACGGATATTAGGTGGTGGTGGTATCATAGCTCCTCCTGGAGGTGGCGCAGAGAATGGAGTAGGTGGAATTTTGCCTTGCTGAAATGCAGCCGCTACATTAATGCAAATAAATAAAAGCCGAACATAATTAGTTACTGAAGTTTTCCTATACATTTCTGATTCTTTTTAGTGACCAAATGCATACTTTCCATGTGGAACTGCCTCAAGTTCTCTAGTCATGCAATCTCTTCATTTCTGCAGCTGCCTGGATTTATTCCTTCCAGCCAATTTATCTAACCCCACAAGCAGGAAAGCTTAATCCATTTCACTAAACCATATTTTCAAATAATTATAAGAGCGAGAGAACATTGACAAACACATTTACTGTTAAAACGTGACTAATGTAAGGAACTTGGAAACATTTACAGTAAATTACCACGCATGTCTCCTCAGAAGTAAAACCCACTGAGTTCAACTGAACTTAATTCCAGGTAAATTTGCTATTTTAAACACACTGACCCAAGTAAACCTCAGTGAGCACATTGGGACATTAAAGTAAGCATGCATAGGATCCTACAGTAAGGCCATTAAGATGTGCAGATGAAACTGAAGTGCTTTCAAAAGTTTCAAAACTAGGTTCTAAACTGGGGCTATATTCCTATCACCATTTACCTTAGGGTAAGACCTACAGAACTCAATATGACTTACATCTGAGTAAATGTGCATAGGATTGCTCCATAAAACATCCACATTTATTTATTTAAAGTTGAAAACATTTTCAAACCACCAAACCAAGATTTAAAAAAAGTATCAGTGGTGAAGAGCATGAAACTAACAATAAAACTAAGTTTACAAAGAAAAAGTAGAAAGGATACCACAAAACAATAGATCTGCTCAATACATCAAGCAAGCTTGATCTTCCCTCAGGGAAAGCCTGGACAAACAGATGAGTTTTAAGCAAGCACCAAAATATCAATACTGAAAGCCTGCCTGGTGTTTGTTGGAAGCACATTCCAAAGGGCAAAGGCCCTTAGTGGACACAAGATTAAAAACAAGAGCATATGGCACTCCTAAGAGTCTCCCGTAGAAATGTTTGTCAATGTGCTGGACAAAGATACTTAAAGGAACCATTTCCCCAATATTTTAAGAGAAACACCACCAAATATGGTCCCTTCAGCTCAACAAGAAAACAACTGAATAATAGGTTATAATTTTTTGTTGTTGTTAAGGGCTTGAATGTGGTAACATAGGACACAAATTCCACAATTCTTCAACAGGGAGTTCTTATAAACGTCTGCATTCATTATTACATGACACAGCCTTTAAGTCCAGCAGTTCTGCAACTTTCCAATAAAGGAGCTGAAGGAGGCAGAGCTTCAACTGGAAACATGTTGTGGAAAAAGGATTGAACTAATTCTCTAGGTAAGTGTAAACTTCAATCAAATAAACAAATATGTGAAACAGCCATTGCATTGATATGACTTACTTGTTTTGTCAATCAGGCTCTGTGCTTGTTCTTCCATCCATTTTTGATAGTAGTCTTTCACATTTTCTTTATGTTTCCTACCACTGCAATGGGTTTTCCTCACAGATGGCTGCAAGACATAAAACTTTTGCTCTCCAAGCACCAAACATCCCCATGTGTCTAAAATATTGATAAATTTCACCTTCCTGTACCAATATAGGAAGAGAACCTTTACATGTAGTCTCCAATACAGTAATTGTGATTTTATCTCAAACTAGTAAACTACTGAGTAGACCTGAGAATCTAGTGAGTTTGCTCACTGAGTCATCATCTTTCAGTATTTGTGATGACATAAAGTAAAATTGACATTTCTCTTTAGAAAGAAAATTGTCAGGACAACAAGTAAAGGTAAAGGACCCCTGGATGGTTAAGTCCAGTCAAAGGTGACTATGGGGTTGCAGTGCTCATCTTGCTTTCAGGCCAAGGGAGTCAGTGCTTGTCCGCAGACAACTTTCCAGGTCATGTGGTGAGCATTACTAAACTGCTTCTGGTACAACAGAACACTGTGATGGAAACCAGAGCTCACTGAAATGCCATTTACCTTCCTGCTGCAGTCGTACCTATTTATTTACTTGCACTGGTGTGCTTTCAAACTGCTATGTTGGCAAAAGCTGGGACAGAGCAACGGGAGCTCACCCCATCGCACTGATTTGAACCACCAACTTTAAGCAGCACCACCCGCTTTTACCTACCTCAGGATAACAATGAACAGTCAGCATAGTGATTTTATTAAGGTCATGGTTGGTCACTAAATATTTACCCAAGCAACCATCCTGCAGCCAACCAGTAGTCTTCAACTCACATCCATATTGAGCTCAGGCATATTTAACTTCTACCCTGACCTGTCTCATTCATTTAATAATTAATCATGTATATAAATTATAATGAAATTAATCATGACTATAAATATTTGCAGCATGGCATAGAAAACTATTGAAGTTCACCACACAATTTCACACTGAAGGTGTTTTTAGAATGACATTCTATCTATCTAGATGAAAGTGATAGGCTTGCGTATTAGATTTTATTTAGGAAATGTATTCAGAAGTAATCCTCTGAAGAACTGTTTTAACTTTCATACTGTAACATTGTGAAATGTCCTACTTACAGAGTCATGGGTGAGGTAAGTATCACAGTAATCACAATAAAACCTGGAACGAGAGACAAATATGCACTGGAAGTAGGGTAATGATTGTTTGCTTCTTAAAATATTAGTGTTTTCAAAAGTTTAATATGCTTTTTAGTTAAGACTAGTAATTTAGTTTTGTTGCTTTTACAAGAAGCTATTTCACTATATTTTCCTCAAAAAACCATTCACCTGTTTTATGCAATGGCATCCTTCAGATTTACTTATCTTTATCTATGTGCAAAGATAGATTCTATCTAGTCACTCTCATTGATACAGTGGTACCTCGGGTTAAGAACTTAATTCGTTCTGGAGGTCTGTTCTCAACCCGAAACTGAGGTACCACTTTAGCTAATGGGGCCTCCCACTGCCGCTGCGCTGCGTGATTTCTGTTCTCATCCTGAAGCAAAGTTCTTAACCTGAGGTACTATTTCTGGGTTAGCGGAGTCTATAACCTGAAGCGTCTGTAACCCGAGGTCCCACTGTAATAATTCTTCCCCCCTACAGCATCCTCAAAATCTGCTCCAGAGGCTTGGAGGACTAGATTTTGGATGTGTGCTAGGGTAGCAGAGGCTGTCCTCTTGTAAAAGCAAAAGTCCACTGATGCAATACTGTATTCAGCTCATTCTTTTCTTTCTTAAGTGACAGAAGAACAAAATGCACTGGTTAACAGTGATGTGTCAATCACAGCTAACATCAGAATATGTTAGAACTGTATCAGCCTAGATAGTTCAGTTGGTTAGAGTGTGGTGCTGACAATGCAAGGTTACAGGTCTGATCCCCTTATGGGACAGCTGAATATTCCTTTATTGCAGGGGGTAGGACTATACAACCCTAGGGGTCCCTTCCAACTCTACAATTATATGATCCTATGAATAGCTTGTCCCCGCATACAGGGCAGTTAAGTCTGTGAGCCACCAAATATTTTAATTATTCACAATGCCTCAAATATTCCCTGGCATGGTGTGAAGTCTAAATGGGTTCTTCCCAGAGGGCAGTTTACCAGGAGGCAGCACAAGTTGTCAGCAAAATATGCAGTCAAATCTCATGATCAGTGGGACATAGTTGGAAGTAAGAAGAAGGGTCACAGCTCAGGCGTAGTATCTACTGTTTTGATCCCCATAATCTCCTGGTAGGGCTGGGAAAGCCTCTGAAATATGGAGAGTGGCTACCACTCAGTACACTGGCAGCAGTAATGAGCTAGATGGACCAATGATCTGAGCGGATATAAGGCACTTTCTCTATGTTCTTGCGAGGACCTCAGCCTTAAGGCCTCTGCACGCATGCACACAAAAATGGTGTGTGGGTGTGTTATTTGAATTCACGAATATTTGTGAGTAAGCCCGACCAAGCATTAAGAGCCACAATTCTCTTTAGTGAAGCTATTAGGAAGCCCACTTAAAAGAATTACGGACATGTGTACAAACCGGAACCAGCACAGAGAACGTACACAAAAAATATACGTAAATATATGGGACAAGCCACCTGTCCCCACCCCCTTCCACAGAACATTGTTCTACTCAGTCTGTACGCACTTTTCACCCTTCCCAGTTCCCACCAGAGCTTTTTATACGAAGGCTCTCCAGTTTACTCACTTGGGCATGTTGCTCGCTAGCGATGCGCTACCGGCCGCGCAAATGTGTAAAGGAAATGGCGCAATTATTATGCGACAACCGTTCCCGGTTGTTGTTGTTTTACCATAGAGATTTAAAAAATCGGACTTCCGGCAAAAAATAAAAAGCGCCCTTGTATTGCGTCTCTATGGTCAATGCAGAACAGAGGCGCTCCTAAGCCTTAGGCATTTCTATGGTAACCCCCCCACTCTATATTCCTCGCCTTGGAGATTAAGAGAGCAAAACCATATACATTTCAGGCCGGAAGTGATAATAACCGGTTATTACTGTGATCATCGTTACCTTATGAATGGCGCCGTACAAAACACGGGAGATAGATTCCTGCCTGAGGGGCTTACAATCTGCAAATCAACAGAGAGGAACGAAAGGAAAATGGAAGTACCTGTAGGGTAAAGAGGGCTAGATCTTCTGTCGGTTGCGCATTTAGGTTAGTTGTTGTATGAGGTGGGGTTGTGTCAAACGGATTCATCGAAAAGGTTGTTCTTATTTCTTTTTAACAACTGGAAAAGTCCATAACTTTCAGATTTTACATCTATATGATGACTTATTCCCCTCCCCTCATCTGTGTTAATTAGAAATTAATGACAAATTAGAACATCTAATTTACACCTTTGATAATATTAAGACTGCATCTTTTTTATATTCCTGTTTTTGACCTATCAATGAACCTGTGTATATGGATGGAGACAGACCTGGCTAACAAGAAGCTTTTGTATTTTCAGAGATGGAGAATTAGCCATGGTTAGGCTTGCTGTTTCCCAGTAAACCTTGGTGCAACCGGATACCCGCACAACACCCAGAGCTTTTCTTTTTAAAGCCAGAAATCACTGTAAATAGTTTATAGGAAAGCTTGGGGTTGATGACTCTGGATTCAGCAACATTGTTTGATAGTACTTCCTGTTCAGTATCGTTTTAGACTTTAGGTGAGGGAGTCATACAGGCAACCCTCCCCCCAATTTACATGGGGGTTATGTTCTGGGTCGTCACACGTGCCAGTGGAGCACACGTAAGCCTGTCCCCATTCCAACCCTGCCCTCTTCCGGTGCCAAACACAGTGCGTGCGTGCGCGCAGTTGCACGTGCATCAAATATGCACAAATTGAGAGTTGCCTGTATTTTAAAATTCTCCTTCATATAGAATATTCTCATTGCATGCAGAAAATTAGAATAACATGACTAATGGGGAGGAAATTGCTGGCACCTGCAGATTGAAATGGTACAGTTCATAAAGGATGGTATCATGTGATTCTGCTGACAATGTGTCTGGTAATACTAGAGACCTTCAAGTTCAAGTAGTTTTTTTATTCACCATGGGGACAGTGGGGTCATTGAGCAAGGCAGCAAAATGGGTAGACTTACTCTAACATTCATCCCTAACACATGATAAGAGATATAGGTCCAACAAAGTTCCAATTGTCTTGGGAAAGGCATTCAGCAGTCTTTAGAGACCTTAAATTGAAGCAATTCCCATTCGTGCAACTTACTTAGTATAAAGTATATATGACAGAATTCAAAATCCATGAGCCAGAAAGAAAAACCGTCAGATTCCCAGAATATTCCATCCATTACTCGGGACCAGTGTCATCCTTTCTTTCTCCATGTTGATGTATAGCACAATTGGTCTGTTCTTCCTTTAACATACTGCCCTGATTTCACCCTAAATTTGTGTTTCAATACTCTCTGTAAAAATATTGAAAAACAAAACACTGGTGTCAATATTACATATCAGCTTTTGAACAATCTTGTGTTTCAAACAGTACAGTTCTTCCAGCTTGCTACCTACTTTAAGTCAAGGCTAACCTGATTATAGGGCAGGTTGGAGGCTTCATATTGGGTGGCGGATTCAAGCAGAATTTTGGACAAAATATGTGATCTGTAGTTCTCAGGCTTCCAGCAGCAGTAGTTGGGAAAGCGGCTCCAAAATGTAACCAGGCATACATATTGTGCCCAGGCCCCTGAAACATCTCGTCTTCCTCATCTTCAAGTAGTGAAAATATTAAAACTAGACATGATCTGATTCTAATCCTGCCTAAGGTTCTTTTCCCCACATAATAGATAAAACCTTCTCCAAAGAGATGGACTACTACAATTGACTTGGTTATCAAATGCTTCCTTTTTATGCTGGATGGCATATGATTGGCACTGTCATTCTAAACACTTGGGGCACAATCCAAAGGACAGTTGGCTTTAAATAGTAATAGAATGAATGCACATTATTAAAAATAATACACCTACTTTTTAGATCTAAAGAATTAGTTAAATGAATTACCATTTATTAGTGGCCATTTAACTTATTTTTATCATTGGCTATATAACAATTTAGATATATGAGTCAGGTTAATTAATTTTCTATAATTGCATGACAAAGATTTTGTCAAATGATTACTTGTATTTAAATTGAGAACTTCCGCAGTTACCCAGCACAATGAAATGCACAGATATGTTGTGTATATTTAATGTTTTCATAGCTGCATACCTCTTTTGTTTTTATGTTGTTTTTTTGCCTTTGAAAATACCTACAGCTATGTTGTGAAATGCAGTGAACTGTATTTGCATCAGTGTTTCTTTTTGAAACTGAAAATGCTTTGTCTCTATCAGATCTGTAAAAACCGGCCCTTCTGGCAAAACCAGATTAGCAAATTTACATAAACTGTGGTGAGAATGTTCTGGCTTGCCTACTTTAAACAACCAGGGCTGCAGTTTTAGGCATATTTAGACTGTAATCCTAACCAGATCTACTCAGAAGTAAATCCTATTGGAGTCAATGGGGGCTTTCTACCAAGTCAGTGGGTTTAGGATTGCAGTCTTACCTAGGGGCAAGCAAGCTCCATTGAATTCAGTGTGACTTCTGAGTAGACATGGTTAGGATTGTAGCCTTAGGCTATGAGCCTACACACACTTACCAAGGAGTAAACTCCATTGAATTTAGTGTGGCTTACTTCTGTGTAGACATGTACTTCTGTGTTACACGGTATTGTATGTGTGAAGGCTTACTGAACTCAGCGGGATTTATTTACGAATATACATGCCTAGCAATTGCACGTGTTTCTTAAAAGCATCGCGATCAGCTTTCACTTGTTTTTATTTTCTCGTCACTTTTAAATTTTATTTTTGCTTTCAGTGCCCAAGCTGGATACCAGTGTCAGAAATCTCATTTAAAAAACAACACCCAAAACACCCGGTGTTTATTAAGAGTATTTTAGGGTATACAACGTCGTTAACAGTATAGAGGGTTAAATCCCCTCCGTATTACGACAAGAGAAAGAAAAGGACAGCAGCCGAACAAAACGAACAGAAATGTCGCTTCTACAAAGGATGCAATCTGATGCACACTTATTTGGAAGCAAGGAGCCCAATGGGGCTCAATGGCACTTACTTCCGAGTAAATACGCGTAGGATCGGGTTATACAAGCCTCGCTGCCCAAATTAAAAAGAATAATAACCCGAAGGCGCTCAATCTACTTTAAGCGCGGCTTATTTGCATCCAGAAACCGCCCCCTCCCCTCTACTGCATTGGGCTGTTTGTGTTTTGGTACCCTCTGCTATGATGTCATCACGTCTGTGAGGTCACGGTGCGCGGTGACGCTGGCAACGTCGGCGTGCCCTGCGTGCTACTCGCCCGCTTGCTTTTCTCGCTCGCTCCCCCCTCCCCCCCATGCAGCTCTGAGGAGGCGGTAGTGGCGGCTCACGGGCAGCCCGGGGCCTAGTGGAAGGGGCCGGGCTGGCGCGGGCAGAGGGGCTCCCGTCGCCATGGAGGGGATGGAAGTGGACCTGGACGCCGAGTTGATGCAGAAGTTCAGCTGCCTGGGAACCACCGACAAGGACGTGCTCATTGGCGAGTTCCAGCGGCTTCTCGGCTTTCAGCTCAGCCCCGCCGGCTGCGCCTTCTTCCTGGACATGACGAACTGGTACAAGCCCTGAGGGGAAGCAGGGGAGGCGGGTGGGCAAGGTGGGCCGCGGCTGCGGGGGGGGGGGGAGCGGCGCGTGGGTTGACGGTGTGGGTCTTGGCCGTGTCTTCTCGGGAGGGCTGAGCGGAGGAGGCCCTGGCGGGGCTGACTTCGCCAGGCCCAGCTCGCTCTCCCGGTCCTGGGGAAGTTGCCCCGCCAAGGAAGTCCGGGCGAGGGCTGGATCCCGAACGCGCTGGCGGCGGGGGAGCAGCGTCGCGTCTCTCCTCCTTTCTATGGTGGACCAGCTCCGTCCAATGTAAACAACCTCAGTGTGACGCGTCTTCACTCGCGGAGCATGTCATACAAGTGCCGCCAAAATATAAAGGAGCAGTAGTCGCTTCTACCCCCCCTCCCGTCTGTAAAGGTAGTTGGATGAGGCCCTCTTTCGACAGGAGTAGGCGTCATCTTGGGTCCAAATCCGTGGGTCGTCTTGTTCTCCTTAAAGGCTTCGTGCTTCGTGACAGGTTCCGTCATGTTATGGTTTCGTTTCTAATTGTGTCTCTATATATTCAGCAATGCAAAAAGGGTGTCTGTTCGTTAGAGTGAAAGCCAGAGTGCAAGTTCACAGGCCAGATGTTTTCTTCTTAGTTGGAATACAGTTCATATAATCTCAGTGGTTGGATTGCATAGTGGGAATGTGGAATATTAGCTCTTACAGGTTCAGAGTTTGGGAAAACATCTTCTCTTGGGATTGTTTACTAGTTTCATCTGCCAGGCTTATAATTAAAAGTTGACAGTGTCTGAAATCTGTGGTCAGCTGTCATGGATTTATGTACAATCAGATATTGATTTGTTCTCTTTTTGAGTGTTTTACTTCACAGCTACCCTGTGAGGTTGGCTAGTCATGTTATTATTATTTTTTCTCTGTTGGGGATTTCAAGCTCAGGGGCTGTGCAGTGAGTCCATGACAGAAGCAAGGCTTGGATTTCTAGATCCAATCCCAGTTCTCTATCAGTAGGATCACACTGTAAACATTGGAGGTCAAATAATTTATGGGCAACTGTAGACCATGGGTTGGGCCAATCACATCTGTATGGACCACAGTTGAAAAGGCTGGAATCATACCCAATCACAACTTTAATTACTTCCTAAAGAGTGTCGAATTCTCAGGTTTGTAAACTAAAGGTTCTAAAAAGCCATGCCTGCAGCGTGTTTGAATGTGGTGGAGAGGTGTGGTGTTGGAGCATGTTTTCAGTGGCTAGCTCTTCCTGTGTCTTTCTCATACTTTTTCCCGCTATCACTCTACTACATGCATAACTTTCCTCAATCCCATCACCCACCAATTTTGCTTTACAAAAATGCCACTCTATTAAAAATATTATATTTGGAAATAAATGCAAAAATGTGTGTACACATATAAAGTTACTTTGAGCATGGGGTATCCAACACAATAGCAAATTGAAGCTCAAACAGCTGAACAAGGGAACATGAAAAATATATTCTTGCCACATTTCAACCATACATGGAAATCCAGTTGAAATTAATGAAGTAAACATGATTAGGATTGGACTGATAAATAAGACACCAGTAACTGGTTTTCTGTCTGGTGTATCATTTCTTTATTTTATTTGTCAGGTATGTATTTTACACTTTTTCCAAGGATCTCAACTTGGTGTGCATAAGTGTTTCATTTTATCCCAAGAAAAATAAGAGGTAGGTATGGTTATGCCTAGACTAGAACCTGGTCTCTGTAGATGAGAGAAGCTAGTGTCTGGAATATACAATTTCAAAATGTAGGTAGGGACTTGCATAATTGCATGCTTCATTGTGGGCGGAGAATGATTCCTACAGAAAGCAAGTAAGTCAAGAAGAAGAAACCTATGATGGCACTCTCTACCTTTACATCAAGGTTAACTGTGTGAAGGGTTTTATTTTGGTGTGCAGCAACATTTTTTGGGAGCCCCCACTTGCTGTCTGATGTTGTGACCCTTGGAAAAGGGTGTGGCCCAGATGTAGAGTGCAGAGGTGCTAAAAATAATTGGTTTATTTCATTACACTTCCAGTTAAAAGATCCCTGGTATCAATATTCATAAAGATCCTCTCTTAGAGATACTGGAGATCTGCATCTAATTTGTGTCACAGATAGTAGGTTAAATTAACTAGTCTTCTACATAGGGCATGTAAAGCCATACTATAGGAGGAGATCAAATGCTTCTTTTTAAATTTTAAAATAACCAAAGTTCCATGTTATGTCTGAACTTTGGCTAGTTCAATATTTATGCAATGATTTGTGAACAATTTAGGATCATCAGCCATGGTTTGACCTGTTGGAACTAACCATAATCTAAACTAACTAGAGTTCCCAGAGTTTAAACACAACATAGGAGAGTATGCAGGAAAGTATGCAAGACTGACATTTATTGTAGCTTGTGCACATAATGCTAAATTATGGTTTAGGACAGGGGTCAGCAACCTAAGGCCCATGGGCCGGAAGTGGCCTGCAGAGGTCATTTGACTGGCCCATGAGCCGCCCCCGAACTGAGTTTCTCTCACACGCGCTGCGCTAAACCAGCACAGCGCGCCAGGGAAAATCGCGTCTGTACATGCGCAGAGGCTGAAAATCATGGGCACGGGCGCTCACGCCGGTGCACAATCCGGCCCAGGCAAGATAAACCTTGCTAACCCCTGGTTTAGGACATGTTGTTCTGTCCAAACTGACCTTTATTGTTACATTATCCAGCTTGCTACAACTTTCAGTTTCTCCCCCCCCCCCTGGCCATGTTCCCATCTTTTGTCTGTTTACTAGTAGGTAAGTACAGTCATACCTCAGGATGAATACGCTTCAGGTTAAGCATTTTCGGATTGCGCTCTGTGGCGACCCGGAAGTAATGGAACATGTTACTTCGGAGTTTCGCCGCATGCGCAGACGCTCAAAATGACATAACGTGCATGCACGGAAGCAGCGAAACGCGACCCGCACAGTCGCGTGTTACGTTTGCTTCAGGATGCGAACGGGGCTCTGGAACGGATCCCGTTCGCATCCAGAGGTACAACTGTAGTATTTTCATGCCAACAATTGCTGAAAGCACTGTCAAGAGTGGCTGTTTGGGGAGATGTTGAACGCTTCCTCTAGTAATAAGTGAAGTGGCCAGACTTGAGCATAGTTCTCATAGTTAAGTCTGAGAGCAGATTCTAATGTTGTATGAGCAGAGGGTTCCCCAACCTTTGGGAGCAGATCTTGAGGATGAATGGAGAGCTGTGAAGGGGAGGGAGAGGAAATCTAATTGAATGAAATGTGTTTTCTCTGATCACATTTGGATAGTCCTGGATACAACCTGAAGGGTGAGGTGGGGGACTGCCTACACCCAGAACTACTTATCAAACCAGATATGTAGCTGAATTATGTAGGACTTCTGTTGAACAATGTTGGTGTGTGTTGTAATAGTATCAAATAAAACAAACAAACATGTTTTTGACTGCCCATATCTGCCGCCTGCCTGTTGGTTGAGGAAAAGATTAGGTCAGAAGTGGAAAACCTTGGATAGGGGGTGGGGTGGGGGCAAATGTGGCCTTCTAGTCCTCTCTGTCTGACAGTTGGGGCCCATCTTAGATTATTCCCCCTACTCAGGCTATGCCTCTCTCCAGCACTGTTCCATACTCTCCTCAGGTTTTTTTTGCCTGCCTGGAATGTGTTCGTGAACAATAATGTCTCTTGTTTTCCTGGATGGAGGGGTGTGGGGTGTGTGTATTTATGTATGTATGTGTTATTGTATGTGTGTGTATAGAAACCTCTGACCTTTGTATGGCTGGCATGTAGCCTACCTAAGAGTCATAACTGTTGCTGCATAACACTTTTGCCTCTGGCTCTGTCATTCCTTGTGGCCCACTGAAGGTTCCTCAAAGGGATTGTGACCCTGGGGCTGAAAAGTTTCTCACTGCTGAGTTATGTGCTCCTCTCACTAGTTCAGTATCTATAGCCATTGGCATATCAGTGTCCAGATTCCCATCTCTGTCCTGGTAAAGGAGATGAAGGGGTAGTCTTGTAAGGGTTGAAGGGTATATTCTGCTCTGCTCCTTCTAATTTGCTCCCCCCGCCCCATTTTGGGTCCCTACATTATCTGTGGAGTATTCTGTCCTTGCATTCCTGTCCTTGCATCCCTGTTAAAACTTGTGGAGTAGAATTCCTGGTAGATGTCTTGTGTTCAGAGGCCTGTAGTAAGACTCCTGTGAGGAGGCTGAAAAAATAGGTATTGTACAGGTGCCATTCATGCTTTTCTGTTTGAGTCTGTTAATCTTGAGAACGTGTGTAGTTTACCCAAATGGCCTTTTTTGAGCTTCAAATGCAATTTCCCATCTTTTTCAATCTTATTTATGTACTGAAGAGTTCCATAGGTTTGTAGCTGAATTTTCCTCAGGAATACTATTTGATGCATGAGCTGACTTGTCTTGCTGTATCATACGTATCTAATGTTATGATGTGTTACTAGGTAAATATGGCCATGCATGAAACTAGTCACGATCTTATTCTCTAGCCTAGTTAGTCAGTGGGATACATCAGTATATGCTATTTTCTGCTGCTGACGATTGTAACACTGATGCAAGAAGGATAGACACTCTGCAGGTAAACATTAAATTGGCACTCATGAAATTGTTCTCCCCCTTACTTTTGGCCCTCTGGTAGTGCCAGCATAGTTGAGTTGCTGTACCTGTGTAACTTCGGTCCTCTTCCTGTGTTTTTAGTAGCTTGGGAGCTGCTAAAGAATGGCACCTTTCACCATTGCTCAGTACTACAAAAAAAAGAAGAAGAAGAAGAAAAAGAAAAAGAAGAAGAAGCCAAGTTTACATGAGAGCTGCTTGCCATGGCTTCTTGCCTCACCACTATCATTCCTCCATACACTTGAAATAATGATGGAAGGGGAAAGAGCTGTAGTATAGATTCCTTCCACATGACCCTGAACTTTGGCTATTGAATAATGTTCAAAGGAGTCATGCTGCAAATCTTATTGCACCACTGTGGCTATATTACCCAGGAGAGCAGATCTGATGTGGCAAGGAATCATGGGGTAGGCTTCTTTTGAGAAACCACTAAAAGTAACAGTGAAAGAGATCTTCTCTTGTTCTGACTTCACTTTCATTCCTCTTAGCTGCACCAGAATGTCCTGTTGACGATCTTACCTGCAAAAGACCTTAATTGCTGTAATGTTTATAGACTCTGAACAGTACAATATATGATAGGATTGTGTTTAGATTTAAAATATTTTTTTTAAAGTACTATAGTGTTTTGTCCTTTGAGTTACATAATTTCACTTGGTCTGAAAATATATGACATTGCACTTTGTAGGATAACTCCCCCCCCCCTTTACTGTAAACTACCCTGTGATTCTCGGATGAAGGGTGGTATTGAAATTTAATAAATAATAATAATAACTTGTGGTCACTAATATGTCCATAGGAACAGTATTCCATTGCTTTGCAACAAAAATGTTATTATTTGATATTGGATAGTACTTTACAAAGAGCCTGGTTGTTTTTTTTTTTTTTTTAAAAGGTTACTCAGTCTGAATATTTGATATTTGGGTGTATAGCGAAGATATTTTACTGCCAGTTCATCTATGAGAAGTTCTGCTGTTTATTAAATGATATGCTTAAAATGCTGAGCATGCATTCCATTCTTCTCTTCTCCACTAGGTGATACATAATCTAGAAAGCCTGCTGACTTTGAAAACACATCTAGCACTTTAAGTTTAGATACTGCGATTAGTGAGCTGTCTTGAGCCAATTTAGCATTTAACATTTTCTAACTCCTTTAACATTATGCTTTAACTTGTTTGAACATGTTCTAGTTCTTTAATGGTGTAGAGTTGCCATCTGTCTGGTTTTAAACTGGCCTAATTGTAGGTTTCACCTCTCTTTTTCCTTGGGTGGTGATTGTTTTATTTTTAGCTCATTCTCAGTGGCCAGTAAAATTTGCATTTCTTTAAATGAATTGTATACATACACACATGAGTGGGCTCTTCTGTTTTGAAGTTGAACAACCTCCCTGCAGTAAAGTTTACTGTAATTTAAAGATACTGGACTGCAGTGGTTTTGAAAAAGTGTATATTCTAAGCAAATACCTGCTTTTTAGAGACTGTGATAGAGTTGGGGCATGACTCTGGGATGAAACAGTTTATCCTGACACATTTCAATCTGGATTCAGACCTGGTTATGGGACTGAATCACTCTTGCTCACCGTGATAGATGACCTTTATCTTGAGAAGCGCAAGGAATATGACCCTGTTATTCTTGTTTGATTTCTCAGTGGTTTTAGATGTTATTAAGCATGGCAACCTTCTGAGCCCACTTAGTGTGGTAAGTATTGGAGAAGTATTGGAGGCAGGGTTGGATTAAAAGAATAGCGTTGGATGATTGTCTTTCAGTCACCTGGCAATGGTGCTGTAAGGTGGCATAGGATACTATCTTGTCTCCAAGGCTGTTTAATATTTATATGAAGCCATTGGAGATTTGGAGTGAGGTGTCATTATTACACTGATACCCAGCTCTATTTCTCTGTAACATCTGAATCAGGGGAACTCATGGACATCCAATGAGCCTGCATGTTGGAAAATTAAGATAAAGACGGTATTTCTTCACGCAGTGCATAACTGTGGAACTTGCTCCCACAGGAGGTGGTGTCCCTTCCAACTCTACAACTCTATGATTCTTTGATCTAGTTGAGATTCCTGCATTGCAGGGATTGGACTAGATGCCCCTCAGGATCCCTTTGAACTCTGCAATTCTCAGATTCTGTGTAAGTCCTGAACTGGTGCCTAGACTCAGTAGTGTGCTAGATGAGGGACAATTAACTGAATTTGGCAAGATGGAAGCACTGTGGGTGGGTGGTTCCTGAATCTGGATAATTGGTCAGTTGCCTGCTTTGGACAGGGTCATACTCCCCCTGAAAGATCAGATTCATGGTCTGGGTGTGCTTCTGGATCCATCTGCCACTATTGGAGTATCTTCTAAGAGCTACAGCTGATATGACAACTGTGTCTATTTCTGGACCAGGATAGCCTGACCGCTGTCATCCATGTGCTGGTAACTCACAGGCTAGATTACTGCACGGTTCTCTATGTAGGGCTTCCCTTGAGGTTGGTCTGCAAGCTACAGCTGATGCAAAATGTGACTGCTCAACTGCTTGCTGGGGCAGCATATCGCCAACATGTTGCCTCTCTGTTGAAAGAATCAGACTGGCTGCCAGTTAACTACCAGGCTATGTTTATCAGGCTGGTTTATAAAGTCCTATACAGCTAGGGATCATGATACCTGAAAGAGCATATCACTTGTTATATATCCAATAAATCACTGTAGTTTGAAAGTCAGGGCTTCCTGCAGATACCATCTTATCAGGAAGTCTGTTCCATATAATGTAGTAATTGTGCTGTTCATGTGGTGGTACCTATCCTTTGGAATTCTCCCCTTAAATGTGCTGTCTTTATTTTTTTTGGCACCTACTAAAGACCTTCCTCTTTCAGCAAGCCTTTTAAACAGAGATCTTTCCCAGTCTGCATCTGTACTGAGATTGTTTTAAATATGTTTGTATTGGTTTATCACTTACTACTTGCAGCCCTGTGCTCCTATGGTAAGAAAGGCAGAACATAAAGTAAATAAATATACTTTTGGGGGGTATTGGGTAAGAGCGATTGGTAAAAATATGAAGCACTTCTGCTGGCCCTGAGCAGCTATTGAATACAACACATTGATTGTTTGACATATATGGTATTGATTAGATCCAGGCTACTAGCTAAACCTATTTCTCACTGAAATCACTGTGACAAGTTAGTGGTGACTTGAGTCCTGTTGATTCAGTGGGGCATAAGTGCAACTAACTTAGTCTGGATCCAGTCCAATGAACCTAATGTCTAGGCTTGCTGCTGTTGATCCTTTCATTTCACTTTCACTATAGGATCTGCTCTGGACCCACCATAAGTGCTTTGCCTGGCTAGAATGTCCTTTAAAAAATAGGGGCATTTTTGCCATTCAAGTATTTTATTGTTTTTTCACATAAAATAAACATAATTTGAAATATAAGCAACAACAATAGCAGCTAGTCTCTTGCTTGCTTGGATAGAGGAGAATAAGGGAGGTAGCATGGAAAAACATGGCTTTTGGGTGGCTGGCTGGAATGTTGTACAAAATGTTTATTCTGCCTGTTTGTCCTTCCGACTTGCTCCTTTGCTAGGGGGTAAGTATCCTGTCTTTAATTGAGGTAGTGGTGGGGGAAAACCACCACAGACACTGTAAACATGAAGCTGCTTGTGTTCCCTTTCCTGGACAAAAAACCAGCATCCTCATTCAAAGATGCAAATTCTCTGCTTGCACCCACATTGGGGGATGTTGTCATCAGCCAAACCTGCCAGGTGAAAGGGGAAGAGAGACAGGGTATGTGTTTTTAAAAAGTGCCAAACTTTTATCAGATCATCCTAGAAGAGGGAAGGTGGGGGGCAAAGCTAGGTCAGATTCCTCTAGACATGTCAACGCAGACAGAGAAGAGTTGCGGGCGGGATCACAGTTCCAGATTAAAATTGTAACCCCACAAAAATATTTCCTTAAAAATGTTTGGTGCTGGTAGCGTGGAAGTGACATCTCCCACTCCACTTAATATCTCCAGTCCAGCATGTGGAGAGGCACAGGTTCCCTATCCCAGATCTAGACATTATGAACCTGGTTGGGTCTGGAAATTTCAAGGTGGGTGATACACTGAAGCAGTTATTTGTTAAAATAGTTAAGAGATTTTTGCAGGATTTTAGAATTTGAGCAGCAGTGAAGGTAAAGTGTAGTCTTGGTGCTTTGAAGTGCTATACAGGTTGACTCAGGTCCTGACCTTGCACCATTTTCAGATTTTTCTCTGCTAATGTGAGAACTAGAAATTTATCTCTTCTGGAATAAAAACTGGGGTTCTTGGGAAACTAGATACATCATGCTACAGTGCTTATACATGAAAAATGCACCCATATCTATTGCAAGCATTTTCTATGCAGATATTCAAACAACAAAATTCAAATACATTTTATTTCTAAATATTTTTGCTAGATTCCTAACAGGCAGGAGTCAAAAATATTGATATGTTGTAAGCGCTAGCATATTTTTTTGCCCCGCAATCCGGATTTGGTGTCTAGAGAAAAGTGGCAGGTGATCAGTGAGAGAGTGCATCCAGTGTTCTCTGTGTGCATGCTCCCCTGCATCCAGGAGGCATCTGTTGCAATGATGGCATTGCATTTTATGCAATACTACAGCGGTAGTATCTGTTTCCTCCCACCCACCACCCAGCCTTTCCAAGCTTGGAAACACTGATATATCACAGGTAGCTGTATCCTGCTTTTTTTAGTTGAGGCGGAGCAGGGGGATAACGGCAAACAGAATATGTTTTGTCCCCAGACAGAAAGAAGGTGAGCAGTGTTGGTGGCTGACTATGGGGTATTTAATAGGGCTTCTGAGGTTTTTTCCAGTTTAGTATTTTCAATTATTTTGTATAATGCCTCTCTCTGACACTCTTCTGAAGAGCTAAGTAGCTTCATTTAAAAGGAGTATCAACAGAGACTTTTTCTACAGACCATGTGGTGAATCATAGTTAGTGTTGTACAAATAAACCTAACTTCTGTAATATAACTAAATTATAAGAAAAGACGCTAGAGTAACTAACCTAGGCTGAAGAGGGCAGGTAAGGAGAAGACGCTTGAGGCAACTAACCATACTAATCAAAGGACTGTTTCTGGTCCCTTGGACAAGACTAGGATGCACAATAAATGGGTTATTTGAAATGAATATGTGTATGTAGAATTTGTAAAGAGATGTTTTCAGTAAGATTTTTTTACATGGATACAAATAAACTTGGGAAGGCGTGCGGGCAGGCAGGGGTTAGGTGACAGAATTCCCAGATGCTTTAAATAGCCCTGAAGCACAAAAGCTCATTTTATAGTATATCAGTTTCATTTCTGCTACAAACTCTGATAGGCAGCCCTGTGGAAATTTTGCTCTTCAAAGTTCATGCTTGACTGTGAACATACCTTTTGTATTGCTACTGCTGGTGGGAGGTGAAAGATTATCTTGCCATTCCCAAGGGTTTCATTGAAAAGGTTTGAAAGTGTATCTAGTCATAGAATAATAGAAACTGAGAATTGTAGAGTTGGAAGGGCCCCCGAGGGTCATCTAGTCAGTTTCCTGAAATAGGGTGCAGTTCCAAAGTGGATGTTTACACTGATTGTCTTCGCTTAAAATCGAATGAACTAAGAAAAAATGCTGTTTGAATTGTTACTGGTTCTTTAATCATATGACTTTGAAGGTATTCACCATTATTGTCTTCTCTCTCAGGTTTCTGTACAGACTCTGTGGGCGTATCCTAGAATAGCTCTGTGGCAATGAGCACTTGTTCAGTTGAACTTCAGTCAGACATTTGCTTTGTCATCCTGACTCTGCTGGTGTTTCTTCTCCACCCTTGCTCTTTTCTAATATTTCCATTTTTAAAAATGAACTCTAGAATTCACCAACCTCTTCTTATTGAAAAAGTCAAAGACTGAAACTAACTAGTGCACTCATTTTGTTTCTGATATAGCAATGTATAGACAAATATGCTTAAAATACATTAAGAGAATGAGATAGCAAGTCTGCTTTTCAGTTTGCATTGCCTTCAGTTAGATTTTAACAGGAACAGACATTGAAACCATTCCAAGTGGCAAAGCTGGGTGATGAAATATGACACATGGAGGGGAGGAGAATTGGCAATGAGCCCTGATGCACAAATAGCCCTTTCCCCTTTGAAGCATATTTACAAGATGGAAAATAAAAACATTGCCAGCTGTGGGGTTTTCTGTTTTTTTGTTGAGAGAAATATTTTGAGAAATGTTCCGCAATATGTATTGTGTGGCTGTCATCCCTATATCAACATGGAATAATTTTGTTAGCATTTATGCACTTTACATGTACAGCATGGGGCATCTGAAAGCATCTGCATTTTTAATAGGCTGCAGGAAGGTGGTGGGGGGTTGGCTGGTGGGGGGCACTGTGCAGCATGAATTACTTTCTTCTTTTTCACCTCTAGTGAGTTCCATCTCTGGTCAGAACAAAAGGGAAGATATTTCAGTGAAACAAATTAGCATATTTACTGACTGATTTGAACAGGAGTTTCTTGACATATCCCCATTATGAGTTACATAAAGCTCATTTTGTATAGAAGCAGCTAGCAGCTGGTGACATAAAGCATTTGTTTCCACTTAGTGGTTAATGTGACATGCACCTATCCCATACCATTTGACTGAGCTGGCAGTTTTAAATATAGCCCTGTGGTGCAGGATTAGTCAAAGCCTAGATCTCTGATTGCCCAAGCACCTGAAATATGATGTTGTAACTTACAGCTTGGAAACATTTTTTTTCAATAATGTATAATGACATTATTGATTGTGTGCAATATACACGCTCTCTGTGAGCTGAATGGAACTGTGTGGATGAGCTTTTAGGATATTTGTCGAGTGGGAAATTTCTGCAACCCATGCATATCATGTTTATAAAGCATGCATAGAAATCCATTGCTCACTAGCCCCTGTTTTCACATAAAGGTAAAGGTAAAGGGACCCCTGACCATTAGGTCCAGTCGTGGACGATTCTGGGGTTGCAGTGCTCACCTCGCTTTACTGGCCAAGGGACTTGGCCTACGGCTTCCGGGTCACGTGGCCAGCATGACTAAGCTGCTTCTGGCGAAGCAAAGCAGCGCACGGAAACACTGTTTACCTTCCCGCTGGAGCAGTACCTATTTATCTAGTTGCACTTTGTGCTTTTGAACTGCTAGGTTGGTAGGAGCAGGGACCAAGCAACGGGAGCTCACCCCATTGCGGGGATTCGAACCGCTGACTTTCTGATTGGCAAGCCCTAGGCTCTGTGGTTTAACCCACAGCGCCACCTGCGTCCTTTTGTTTTCACATAGCTGCCAATAGTAACGACAACAGAGCCACCACCTCCTCCTTGTGTGCTTCCTTCACATAACAGTCTGCATTCTAGGAAATCGTATTATCTGGAAAAATCAGGGTAGTACTGGCGTGGTCCTTCTGCCTTTTATCCGTTCTTTAAACTTTTGTTCAGCAAACAAAGAATTCAATGTGTTCAGTCCAGTCCACCCTGTGTACAGTGCCCATATGGAATAATGTCCATAAGGTATAGCAGAGCACTGTGTATTCTTCTCCAAGTGGTCATTCAGCATGCTAGGCTGATTCAGGAAAGGGAGGTCTGTGTGTGCCCTTAAATCCCCATCCAACTGTCCCTCTCAGCTTGGTCAAGAAACCAGCTTTCATGTTATTTGTTTGGCAGCTGAATGAGGAGATGGGAGATCACACAGGCTGACTGTTCCATGTAACAGCATGGTATAATGTCTGTATACATGCTTACACTGCAGAGGTGTGGCAAACAGGGTTTCTGCATAATTGCTGCTGCTGGATTTGATTAAGTCTATGGCTTGTTACAGTTTTCTGTTTTGTTTGTTTTGTTTAAACATATTTTTTCTTAAAGATTTCTTGGTTTACAAAAGTATGTTACATTTTCTACATAGCAGTTTCATTTGTTCAAACATTAGTGTTACATTTGGAAGAAAAGGGGGAAAGAGGGGGGCATGGTGAGTGGGGTTGGGGTCGGGTGGCAATGCTTCTGTTCTGCTTAATGTATGTGTGGGGTTTTGTGTCAGCTTCGTCTGTGCAGGTTCTCTTTACTATTTGCTTGTGTTCCTTTGGTGGTGAGAGAGGTTGGGGTTGGCCTAGGGTGTGGCTGTTTGTTTGTGATTGGCTGTGGTGAACTTTGTTTTCATCTGTGAGTGGGGTGGGTGGGTGTTTTTGTATCAGGTTAGCCATATTGATTCGTATGCTGCTGGCAGATTCTTGGCGTTGTTGCGTTGGGCTGTGTATGTGATATAGGGGAGCCATACCGGGGTGAAGGCATCTTTTTCTATTTGTTGCCGTATCAGTTTCAGTTTATTGGTTAGTTTTTTTAATAAGGCTGTTTCCCATACTATTTGATACCATTGATCCATGCTTACTGCTGACAGGTCTCTCCAGTGTCTGGCTATGATGTTTCTGGCTGCTGAGAGTAGGTGGGTTATGAGCTCTTTATGATGTGACTGGGCATTATTATCTTGGAAGATGTTTAGTAGGGCCAGTTCTGGGGTGACTTCTAATAATTGCTTAGTTATTTTGCATATTTCTTGTATGATTGTTGTCCAGAATAGTTGGATTTTGGGGCATTCCCAACACATGTGGAGGTATGTGCCTGTGGATGTGCATCCTCTCCAGCATTTTGGTGAGGTTCCTTGGGCATATTAGCGCTAGTCTTGGTGTTACGTACTATCTGTAAGTGAGTTTCTATGGTTTGTTACAGTTTTCAGTTTTGTACTTAAACATTGCTAATTCTAATGTCACAAACAAGCCAATTGTAATATGATTCGTATTCAGGTTTTTCTTCAATATACTATATCTTAATTTATTCCACAAGTCATGATAAGTATGTAATGTCTACTGCTTTTTTAGCATAATTTTGCTGACAGCAATTATTTGATGAGAAGCTTTTTGCTTTTTGTCAGAGTGTAAATGTAAATTGTGAAACCCTGTCTCCAAAAAACCCCAAAATCTTAGATTTCTAAATTTATTATGGGATAAACTTTTCTGGCTTGAAATCCACTTCATCAGATACATGAAGTGTAATCCTCAGATGCGTGAAGTATAATCCCCAGTTGGCAGGTATATATATACAGATGACTGGAAAGGAAAAAATGTAGAAGTTGAAGCTGAATGGCAACGAAATATACAAAAAGTACAAATATCACACTGTACTTTTTGCATTCCATTGTCAGTTAGCTCCAACTATATCTGCCAACTAAGCATTATACTTTGTGTATCTATTGAATATGTTTCATGTATCTTATGGACTTAAGCCCACAAAAGTTTACGCCATAATAAATGTGTTACCTTAAAGTCTCATAGTCTTATTTTGCTGCAACAAACTTAACAACGCTATCACTTAATAAATTACTTCCCCCTTCAGTTTGTGTTTAAACTTTTAGAGACTCAAATGTCTTTGTCCAAAACATTCACTAATGTCTCTTTATCCATTTTGTGCCAGCACACTGCTCACTTCATACCCACAAGACTCACAAGTCCCATTCACAGGAGCTTTTCACATTTGTGCTATATGTGCAGAGAAGTAACAGTAGTATTATATTGGCTGGCCCTACCTTTGACATTCTGATGATGGACATGATGTTTGCACATCTGCAACGGGGTGCTTATGCATATGCAGCTTTTTGCAGATACCCCATCTCCATGGTGGACATTGGGGATGGGACCTATAGGAACAATCCCATTCTTCCTCCAGATGTATAGTCTGCACAAGAACACTATCTTTGAGAAGGGCTTTAGTCACAAATCTGAGAAAGTAATGTTCTCATGTTTTAAATGGGATACATTGTTATTTTATTAAGGGGTTATCCCTATTGCAGTATGGTTAAACAAACCTTTTATTCTCTTTCCAGGAACTTACAAGCAGCCATTGGAGCCTACTATGATTTTGAGAGTCCGAACATCAATGTGCCCTCCATGTCATTTGTTGAAGATGTGACCATAGGAGAAGGAGAATCCATCCCTCCTGACACTCAGTTTACAAAAACATGGAGGATACAAAACACAGGTAAAACAACTCTTCCTGGCTTCTTCTTGCTACTGGTTGATGATTCCCCTCCTAATTATAATACAATACAATACAATACAATACAATAATAATAACTGTTTTCTGTAAGGTTATTCATGAGAATTTTTAAAAGCAAATATGCAAGAATGTTTTATTGTATTTTCCTTAACAATATTTTTCATAGCAGACAGTAACAAGGTAAGAATTGTTCTGTAGGAGTTGAAAATGTTTCTTTGATTTGCATGTGAATACCAGTGTCTGCAAATCAGCTTGCCATGGCAAGTATCCTTTTCCTCTAGCAAACATAATGATCCTCTGCCCTCAAGCTTGGAGTGCAGGAGATCATCTTTGCCATTGTGCTGCATTACAGAGTTTTTCCAAGTACTTTAGCAAACATGGTGCAGTGGAGCTCTGCGTTAGATTGAGTGGGGGCTGTCTTTAATCTTATGATGTTCCTTTGGAGATGCTTGAAGCCCCACTGTTTTACTGAATCAGAAATACAGGGTAATGGTGACCACAATTTTTTGTTGGCTAACAAGGCCAGCCAAATTTATGGATTCCTGTTCCTTGGAGCCCTATTCAGACATTCAGCCAAATGTGTGAGAGGCATGACTGTTAAATACAGTCATTGACAATCCAAGTCTGGTAGTTCTAACATATGTGGCTGAACAATGGGTTTTCCCAGGTCTTTATTTTTATGTCCCAAATGCTGGAAATGCGCTATTTTTGTTGCATGTCTTAAATGCTATGTATCCAGAGAGATATGGATGTCTCGTACACCCCAGGTAGTGTGGTTGCTGACCTTGAGCCAGACATCCTGGAGAGTGAAGTCAAATGGGCCTTAGAAAGCACTGCAAATAACAAGGCCAGTGGAAGTGATGATATTCCAGCTGAACTATTTAAAATTTTAAAAGATGATGCTGTTAAGGTGCTACACTCAATATGCCAGCAAGTTTGGAAAACTCAGCAGTGGCCAGAGGATTGGAGAAGATTAGTCTACATCCCAATCCCAAAGAAGGGCAGTGCCAAAGAATGCTCCAACTACCGCACAATTGCACTCATTTCACACGCTAAGAAGGTTATACTTAAAATTCTACAAGGCAGGCTTAAACAGTATGTGGACCGAGAACTCCCAGGAGTGCAAGCTGGATTTTGAAGGGGCAGAGGAACCAGAGACCAAATTGCAAACATGCGCTGGATTATGGAGAAAGCTAGAGAGTTCCAGAAAGACATCTACTTCTGCTTCATTGACTATGGAAAAGCCTTTGACTGTGCCAACCACAGCAAACTATGGCAAGTTCTTAAAGAAATGGGAGTGCCTGATCACCTCATCTGTCTCCTGAGAAATCTCTATGTGGGACAAGAAGCTACAGTTAGAACTGGATATGGAACAACTGATTGGTTCAAAATTGGGAAAGGAGTACGACAAGGCTGTATATTGTCTCCCTGCTTATTTAACTTATATGCAGAATTCATCATGCGAAAGGCTGGGCTGGATGAATTCCAAACTGGAATTAAGATTGCTGGAAGAAATATCAACAACCTCAGATATGCAGATGACACAACTTTGATGGCAGAAAGTGAGGAGGAATTAGAGAACCTTTTAATGAGGGTGAAAGAGGAAAGCGCAAAATATGGTCTGAAGCTCAACATCAAAAAAACGGAGATCATGGCCACTGGGCCCATCACCTCCTGGCAAATAGAAGGGGAAGAAATGGAGGCAGTGAGAGATTTTACTTTCTTGGGCTCCATGATCACTGCAGATGGTGACAGCAGTCACGAAATTAAAAGACACCTGCAAGAAGATCAAACCTATGCACTCTTAAGGAAATCAGCCCTAAATGCTCACTGGAAGGACAGATCTTGAAGCTGAGGCTCCAATACTTTGGCCACGTCATGAGAAGAGAAGACTCCCTGGAAAAGACCCTGACGTTGGGAAAGATTGAGGGCACAAGGAGAAGGGGATGACAGAGGACGAGATGGTTGGACAGTGTTCTCAAAGCTACCAGCATGAGTTTGACCAAACTGCGGGAGACAGGAGTGCCTGACGTGCTGTGGTCCATGGGGTCACGAAGAGTTGGACACGACTAAACAACTAAACAACAACATCCAGAGCTGGAAAGTAATAAAACTTCTGCAGAATTTTAGCACTTCAGTGTGTTCAGCTTCCTGACACGTTCGTACTTCGGTGTGAATTACTTGTAAAATTTTAAGTGATGTAAATATTTTATTACATGTCCAAGTCACCAGCACAACAGATTTTGGCTGCTGTTCTAGAGTTCAGATGAACCCTGGAAGTTGATATAGTTGACTCTTTAGCTGCAATTAGAAACAGATTGGTGAAACTGTTGGGCAATGGCATAGGCTATCTTGTTCAATAACCATTTTTTAAGGATTAGAAAGGAAGAATAAAAAGAAGTGTGGGATATGCTTGATTTTATTTCCCTTGTCTGTTTGGAAAGCAGTTTATGGTGGGGGAGGTAAACACTGAAAGCAATGGCAAGGGGACTCTTAAAATATTTTAGTTGCAATAGCCATTCAGAAATAGCCTTATCTCATGAGTTTAAATAATAATACTATGATGAAACTTTGAGAAGGGATGAAATGAGGTGAGATGAACAACCCTTGGCACTAATCTACTGGGATATAATTATGAGAGGGAAATGAGATCTGATGCAAGGAAATAGTTCTGCGAACAAATATTGCAATGACAGGATATAATCTGTATTGTTGACCTATGTATCAGTGCTTTGATTATACACACAACTTTTGTTCAAAATAATTCCAATAGAAAAAGTCTTGTCATTATATTTTCACACAAAATGCAGTTTTATCTTTATGGTGTCTGCTATGGGGATTAGATTTGGCATAGTAGGAAAAAAATCTCAAACTATTCAGGTATTTCACAGATTCCCAGAGCAACAAAATGTTCCAGAATTAACATTCAGAATAAATGGACAAAGACATTAATGGCTCTTTTTCTAACAACTCGTTTGATAATTTTCCTTCTTTTAAAAAAACCCAAAACAACACATCCCCAATCAGATTCTCATGAAGTATTTTATGCGTGTTAGTGTCTGATTTACCAGAAAAAATGAGTGTTGAAATGTTTCCCCCTTTGACATTGGGATTGGGGATTTTGATAGGGGAAACAAAATAATAAACTCATAGCTTAAATCAGTTGATGTCTATTTTTGGGCACTGTATACGGAGATGGGGCCTTAAGGAGGGTAATTTCTGATTTCTGTGTGGACTAAACATTACTCTTTTTCTGAAATAGTTGTTCTTTTTCCAAATGTCTTCCCACTTGTTAATCTTGCTTAGTGGCAACCCAGTTTATTCAGTTTTGATGCTTAGGTTTCTGGAGAAGATATCATTGTTTCAATGTATGAATTCAGCATGTCAAAGGACTGAAATGGTTCAAGATTATGTCTTCTTGCCAGGTGAAGCAATGAATCTTAATGGCACTTGAATAATCCTTGTTTTAAATGAGTTATTTCTGGTTATGAATGAATTCATTCAAGAGTTTACTTGAAGATTTTTGTTGCCTTAAATAGCAAACTGTTGGATACTTCATCCAGTTGATGAACAGAAATTCATAATATCGAAAAAAATTCTGACAAGTTTTTTCTTTCCCTCTATAAAATACTAGTTATGTGCCTGGTTTGTATAATAACATTCTCCTCTAAAAAGCAGTAGATGGGGGAAATATCTATGCTTCTCTACAGTGCTTTTACTTTTTTTTGTTACCCTCCTGGAGATCAGTATGCCAATACAGAATTGCTTTCTATCTTCTTTACCCACATCCTTCCATTAACATCCAGTTTAAAGCCATTTGCACACTAAAATTCCTTCTGGTGTTAAAGAAAATCAAATAGATTTTTAAATGGAGAATTTTTTTGTTACTTTGTTTCTCTGAGAATACAGTGGTACCTCGGGTTAAGAACTTAATTCGTTCTGGAGGTCCGTTCTTAACCTGAGGTACCACTTTAGCTAATGGGGCCTCCCGCTGCGCGATTTCTGTTCTCATCCTGAAGCAAAGTTCTTAACTCGAGGTACTTTTTCTGGGTTAGCAGAGTCTGTAACCTGAAGCATCTATAACCTGAAGCGTCTGTAACCTGAGGCACCACTGTATATTAGTATACAGACATAATTTAAACTATGCCATGCTACTTACTGATTAAAGTAGCATGATTACTGATTAAAGGATATCAAATGATTATCCTTATACATTGTAGCTCATGAAGCACATTGTATACACGTGTTACTCAAATATATTTTAATACTAATGATAATAATAATAATAATTTTTATATTTATACCCAGCCACTCGGAAAAGCACTAAAAACAATAAAACTTCAGACATTAAAAACTTCCCTAAACAGAGCTGCCTTCAGATGAATCAAGAGCTACTGTGTGTCTTTTCTAGGATCTAATCTTAACGTACATTGTTGATGCATTGTACTGTTTTGTTCCATAATTACTTAGAGCTGGGAATTATCCTTAATGGAGTTAAACTCAGAGCACATCAATAAATTTCGAAAATATATTTTTTATTCAGTAAACTAGTGGAATTAAGAACTTGGGCTTTCAGTCATCTAGTTGTTTCTATGTAATACATAAAGTCTATCCAGTCTATTTTGTGCCATCAGTGTGGTGAAATGGCTGGAATTTAAATAGTCTGCCCATGCCATTATTCTATTAGTTGTTAGGATCTCTTCCTTAACTTTTTCAAAGTCATTCTCAAGATAAGCTGAAGCATTTGTTTTCAGTTCCACTGTGATGGGTCAGGTGCAGGTCCAGTTGTGACCACGTGGAGGTCTCTGGATGCCAGGTTGGCAACTTGGGAAAGCAAAATGTCACCTGTAGAAGAATGAGACATATTTTAGTTGAAGCTTGAATTTGTTTGATTCTGCATTGTATTATTTGATGTTTTAATGTATTATGAACCTCACTGAGATTTGTTCTTTAAAATATAATGCAGTATAGAAATGAAATGAACAACAGCAAGCATCACTGGAGGGAAAATGGCACCTAGACATTCCATGGTGGCAACCATAACCCAGGTTTAAGGTGCCATTTAGCAATTGGATTATGTATCTGAGTTTCTAACACTGGGTGGGATAAATGCCACTTTTTCAGCTTGTAATTGCTACTGTATTGCTACATTCCTTTCTTTAGTTGTTGTCTTTTAAATTTGAGTCTTGAGCAATCTGTTACGAGTTGCAGAAAACAATGGTAAAAGGAAAACGAGACAACATAGTCTTAAAGTTAAAACTGAGAATTAATACATTATTTTAGAGCTACAGGTCTCTGTATGTAAGTTCAATTCATGTGAATATGCTACAGGTTCCCTTCCTTCCCACTTGTATGTTCCCAGTATTTCCTTGTCTGATGTCCTCCAATCATACTTTGCCACAGTATCTGAAGTGTCAGATTATTGTTAGTGCTAACCAGAGTGAGCATTACTGCCAACCAAAATTGCCCCCAAACTAGTTTTTGGAAATTCATTTCAAGCCATGCTTTCAAAACATGTTATTGTTCATGCTAATCACAAAATGAAGTTCATGGTATTTTCCTGGTTTTCCAAATCACTTTGTGCAGTGTCAGAAAGTGATGTTTGAGCCATAGTGCTTACTATTTAGAATCAGTATTTTTTATTGTTGGACTACTATTCTTAAAACTGAGACTTTGAGAGCAACAGCAACAAAAGCTTTGTTCAATGGTTAATGGAGACAGTCAATACACCACATAGACTTGCATGCTCTTAAATTATAGCTGTTGGAATGCTGATTTAAATTCTTCAGAGAGCCTTGGGGTTTGTGTGACAATTCATGTTAGAATTTGAGCAGAATTTTCTTTCTGCTCCTGAAAGTAAGGGTGAATTTAGACACATGTATTTCTCAACAAAGCAGCTTTTTCTGAATTCATGAATATGTAATTCATGTCCCTACCATATATTAATGTGTATGTACCAGTAGTTAATGTGCATAACAGAAACATGCCTTTGACTGCTGCACAGAAGGAACTTTCACCTGTTGCATTGGTGACATGTCGTGTTCATGGACATGTGTATCAATCAGTTCATGATTGTATGCATCCGAGTCAGTCATTACACTTAGCAATGAAGATGTGCAATACAACTTCCTTTTACTAAGTGTTTACAGATGTTTACACTTGTTTGATGGGACGACACACATTTTAATGATAAATGTACTATCTGTTAATGACCATTAAAGTAATGCTTTAATGTAATCTTCACTGAATCTCAGGGACAGAAGCATGGCCTCCAGGTGTTTGTCTTAAATATGTCGGCGGAGACCAGTTTGGCCATGTGAACATGGTGATGGTCCGATCATTGGAGCCCCAGGAGATTGCAGATGTCAGCGTACAGATGTGCAGCCCTAGTACTGCAGGAATGTATCAAGGACAGTGGCGAATGTGCACTGCCACAGGACTTTATTATGGAGGTAAGTGCCACCTTCTCATAAGACTTTTTCTTACTTGCGACATTTGAGCAGCCTTCTGTGTTGCTGGGACTGTTGTGAGAATAATATCTGCTAACTATTGCAACTCTACTTGTTAAGAGAATTCCAGAACCGAGTTCAAACAAGTGTTCCTTTCCATATAACATTTTGGACCTCACAAAAACCCCTTCACATTGTAGCTATCTTTCACAAAACAGACAAATGAATGTAAATGTTTCCTTTAAAGGTGGCAATGGCCACTGGCCTTTTGAAGTGCTGTCTGCTGTATGATCCTCCCCACCTTTTGGCAGGTGTGAGACAAAGATCACTGTCAGTGTGTTGCTGAAGATTGCTTCCCTTAAAGAGGCCACTGCAGCCCCTTTTAGGGGGGCAATGCACAACATGAATGTTTTATTTTTATTTTTCAAAACTCAGATCCTACCAACCTACTGAGGAACTCAATATCATTAACAAACTATTTCAAAATATAGAATAACTTCTAAGTTATGGGAAACTTTGCACATCTTAAAAAGTTACCTTTCATGGCAAAGCAGCAACAACCGCAAACAAACCCTGAACCCAACAAAAATTCCATGTAATTCCAATACTCTTTTATAATCCAGGACACAAATCATTTCAAGTGTTTGAAAAGTGGCATGTTACAACTTCAGGTATTAATTGTTAGGTTGATTCACTTGTCTGTTTTACTGTGTAACTAACATAGGAGAGATGGAACGAAATATATTGAAATAACACTGAACAGAAGCACTTTAAACTGCAACATTAGTTGTAGATCCTACTTGTGAGATTTGATTGCCAATTTTTCTGTTAATTTTTATTTCCTGTTGATGATTGGCATGTTTAACAACTTTCACCCCCAAATGATGGTATTTCTTTCAAGTGAAAGATGTGACTTCCACTGAATTTTCTTTTTTGGAGTCTTTTTGTATAATTATTTTCATGCTTGAGAATGACTAGAATAAATACCAAGATTAACAGAAGGTGGCAGTATTTCACTATCTTCAAACTTTCAGAATGCCGGATACTAAAACATTCAGGCTGGCTTTGAGCAAACAACGAGCCCTGTTGTAATACCTCCCATGTATCTGAAATGTGGTCCATATTGATATTACAAGGATTTGGCATTTTCGTTTCTTAATGTTTGATAATATAAGCATCATGTTGTTTGAGAGGTATTGAAATTAAGTAAAATTGCAAATTGTATTTTGTGCTGACCCAGGATTCTCTTTCACAGACATCATCTGGGTGATCCTCAGTGTGGAAGTTGGAGGACTTTTAGGAGTAACGCAGCAACTGTCATCATTTGAAACTGAGTTCAACACACAACCACATCGCAAGGTAGAAGGAAACTTTAACCCGTTCGCCTCTCCGCAGAAGAACAGGCAACCAGATGAAAACAACCTAAAAGACCCTGGGGGTTCTGAGCTAGACACAATCAGCAAAAACACGTGGGGGCCTGCTCCTGACCAAATTGAACAAGATCAGACTGAACTGTCACAAAACTCTGTAAATCTCTCCCCCAGCAGTCACTCGAACAACTTATCAGTAGTGACATACAGTAAGGTAGGTGCCCTGGGGGTACAGGAGAATGGGGAGGTCATGAGTCCATGACCTGTATTGTGATGGTCCTTCCTTGCAAATTGCATGACTCCCCCTTGTGCCTCTGTACACTCCGCTTAAAAGGGCCTGCATTTGGCTATTCATCTTACGAGTCCTTTCACTGAATTAAAAGCAAGCTTAAACAAGACTATTTTCAAATGCTAAAACTATTTTAACATTCTGTTAAAATAATATTCTTCAAATGCTGCTTGCCGGATTTGAGAAGGCAACAATTTACAAAGCTGCTTTTTAAAAGTGCACTTAAAATTGGAAGTATATTAGGTGGTAAGTGCTAAAAATGTAGTCAACCAGATTTGGAAGCTAAAATGTATGGATAAGAGAATATTGATCAGAATATGTTCCAGGTCTGTGCAGAGTGTGGGGTAGCCAGGTACACTTGCCCCAAGCCTTGGAGGGCTACCTTGGCAGGGGGCGGGGCTTTTTTGTTTGAGTTTATAACTTTATTCTAAAAAGACTCCCACCCTGGGCCTCAGACAAGCTCTGCATAGACCTGATGTGTTCACTTTTCATTTCCCTTTTTGTTTCTACTTTACTTCAAATCATTGCTTAAAATGGTTAGATTCACTTGTTGCATTTTGTTCTGATTTCATTGAAAACATTTTGCTGCCTTTTGCATAAAAATATACAGAAGCTTGTGGAATCATAGTTTACATAATCCAGTGTGGTGTAGATGGTGTTTGTTTTTCCATTTTCCACATGGACAGGTCCATTCAACATGTTATTCAGGGCCCTGAGGCAATTGCCAGTTGGTGTAAGGTTTAAAATAGGATGAATAAAATGTATTGAGCAGCTAAGGTAGAAGGAAGACAGTTGAAGCAGATAGTGTACTGGTAGTGTGTGACTAAAGCTACTCTCAAATGGATTGGATAAGGTGAATTCAAGTTATGACGAAGAGAGAACATTTCTTGATGCAAGTGATGATTGTATCTTGGAGTAGTTAGTCATAGAATCAACAAGAGGAGAGCCAGCAATTTAATCCTAAACCATGTCCAGGTTTCTATGGAAGATATAAGTATTGTTGAAATACGTAGGCTGTGGTCACACTTTCTTTCAAACTCAGTGAAAAGTTGCTCCCAAGCTCCAGTACAGTCACATTTACTTTCACAAGGTGGAATTGCTCAGTTGGTTAAAAGGAAGTTAAGCGGTGGAAGGATCACATCTTTTTACCAGGGTGCAACACCCCACCTTCCCCCCAAAGTCCACATTCCTTTTGAGATAATCTGTCAGGAGCAGCGTGTCACTAGTGGCAAGGATCAGAGCTTTGCACTCACTCACACACCACCCATTCATTCAGACATGCATACACTCCATTCACCCATTCAGTCTTTCTCACAGTTGCATGTGCTGCCTGCATTTATCAACAGTCACACCAGCCCCACAGTTGTTCTTTATTCTGTCACTGTGTGCACTTCCTGTAGGAGACACCTGAAACATTTACTAATAGGACATTGAAGACTCAGCTTACTCACAAACCAAACTCAAGCAAAATGGCAAATGGGGTAAGCCTCTAGAGGCCAGCAGACAGATAGGTGCCTGGGGAAAATGAGGGGCATGGAAAACTATCACTGGCTTATACTATATCCAATATCAGAAGCACAGACTCTGAATATCAGTTCCTTATGTTGAATATAGTGATTGGAGGCATTATCAAGTTTATTCAGTACACAAAAATGAAGTTTTTGGTATTTTGTATTCCTTAGAGGCAAAAAGTAGCAACAAAATTGCTTGACAATAAATTCTGCTTTGCAATGCAGGAGTTTGTTATTGAATGCTAACATTTTGAAGAGTGAGTGGGCAAAAATCCCTTCCGGCCTATCCTCTTTTAAATGATATATCCACTAAATAAAACACCCTTCTTTGAACTCAAAGGCACCCTATCATTTCATGCAGAGGGACTAGATAAGCATTTGTTTCTGTGACCTCTCTTACTCTGTAGTGCTTAATATTTTTTCTGTCAAAGCTTAGTGACTGGTCTGGGTCCAGCAAATAAAGCATTATTGAAGATAACCAGATTTCGATTTTATCAGTAATCTGAATGGGAGACTACTTGAAGCCTTGTGTGTGAGAGAAATACTTCATTAAAACCCACATTTTCACCAAAAAAACTCCACAATCAAATCAATTCCATAAAATTTATGTATGCTTAAGTATAAGATGAAAGTTAAATTTGTACAAATATTTACCACATAAGGGAAATTTTCTGAATCTGATCAATATTGCATGTAACATCTCCTTTACATAGTAAATATTTGTCACATTCACTCTTTCTCCCAATAAGCCCAAAATGGAATGGCTTAAGTTTATATAATCTTTTTTAAGCTGCCATTTTTATGCCTGCAGCTGCAAAATTGCTCAGCAAGAACTTATGGGTAATAAAGCATGTTTTTAAAGAAAGTGAGCATGATATATAGAAACTAAAATCTAGCCCTTGAGCGGGAATTATATTTGCTCTGTGTATTCATTTCAATCTTTATTCTAAAATTTTCTTTCTGAAGAATTCCTGCTAGAGTCAACTGGCTGAATTCACTGGCTAGTCCCCACTCATACTGTGTGCTAAGTATAAAGTTCCTACATTGATAAGTGTCTGTATGCAACTTAAGGGGACAACTTTAAAATGTGATTTTTCTCTGCCTACCCCCTAACATTCTGAAGTGGTACAGTACAAAGAGGGAAGTATGTGCTTTTTCTGAACATGTAGATCAGCTCCTTGTTTAAATAGAAGAACAGATGAATAGTGGGAAAGAGCTTTGAGCTACTGCATTATATTTGTGCAGCATGCTTTGAAGGGGGAAAAAACTCTGTTTGTGTTGAGTTTACATAAGTGATTCAAAAGAGCTTTGGATAGTTTGGAGAAGCACTGACCAGGAACGGGCCAGGAAGTGATGAGAAATAGAGGACGATTGAGTAGTTCTATCTGAGGCTGCCATCAGTGTAAACTGGAAGACTTCTGTTTTGTTTTGCAGCCATGCATCAAAAGCTGATGCCTTAAAAAATAAATAAACTGTACTTCTATTTATTCAAATTACACCACAAACTAAATAAAAATAAAGCCAATGATGTTCAACTCCAATCTTTTCTATATTAGATACCTAAACTTGGAGAGAAACTTAAGTTATGTTGGAATTACGTTTCCCAGTTAACATCATTCCCAACAGTAATGTTGAGTTAAGAGCTGGTTCTTACCCAAAAGTTTAATTGGGTAGTGTTATCATTTTTTACTAATTGGGAGGCACATCAGGAAGTCAATAAGAAAACTAATGGGATAATTATTTTTATGAAGAAACTTTTGCACTACTAGAGTAAGCATTCCACAGTAGAAAAAGGAGCAGTATTTTCCAGATTACTGATTACTTCAGAACTTGTTACCATCAAAGCACAGACCACCTAAAGTGAGGGCCACCAGTGTGGTCCATATCAGTGCCCTGGTGCTCACAAAGTCCTTCATTGGCATTGCTGGGCAGGGTCCCCAGACTCTAAGCTTTTATTTTTTTAAAAAAAGAAAAAATGGTAAATCTCTAGTCCTCCTAGAAAGAAAGTTGTAAAGCAAATGTGCAGGTACCATTCTAAGCAATTTACGTATGTGAAATGAGCTCCCATCTGTCATTGTTTTAGCCAAAGGGCAAAGTCAGAGCTGTGGCTGATAGGTAAGCTATTTGGACACCAAGCATTAGGAATCCCTTGAGTCCTAAAGAGTTGCTCTTTTCTCCTCCTTTAGTTCGCTTTTCCAGCTTCTGTCTTATTTTCCAGTCCTTGAAATCTCCATAGTTTGCCTTTTGTTCACCCCTCTAATTTATGCCATGTCCCCCATGGCAGCCATGTTGTGACTAGCAGCCATAGCACTCTCTCAAAAATCAAAATGTGCCCACTGGTCTAAAAAAGTTGGCAATCCCTTGCCTAAAGGATGTATCCTATAGCAAATGAAGCTGCTTATAGCTACAAGAGTCAAGCGTGTAACTGGCTATCCACTTGTTATTGTCTCTGCTATTAATATTTCCTGGGTATATCTAAGAGAGATCTTATTTGCAGAATGCAATGCAACACAACTGATTTCCAGATAATAAGACTGTGCAAGAAAGGTAAAGGAACCCCCTGACCATTAAGCCCAGTCACGGACAACTCTGGGGTTGCGGCACTCATCTCACTTTACTGGCCGAGGGAGCTGGCATTTGTCCGCAGACAGCTTCCGGATCATGTGGCCAGCATGACAAAGCTGCTTCTGGCGAACCACAGCAGCATACGGAAACGCCATTTACTTTCCCGCCAGAGTGGTACCTATTTATCTACTTGCACTTTGATGTGCTGTCGAACTGCTAGGTTGGCAGGAGCAAGGGACTGAGCAACGGGAGCTCACCGCGTCACGGGGATTCGAACCGCTGACCTTCTGATCGGCAAGCCCTAGGCTCTGTGGTTTAGACCACGGCACCACCCGCAGATAATAAGACAGTGCAATAGTGACTGACAAATAATGTGTATGTATATTGCATATAAGAGAAAAGAATATGGTAGTAGAGCAGATACTTTGCATGCAGAAGGTCCCAAGTTCAATCCCTGGCATCTCCAGCTTGGGCTGGGAAGGACTCCCTGCCTGAAATGCTGGAGGACCACTGCCAGTCAGTGTTGCCAATAGTGGGGCTAGGTGGATCAATGGTCTGACTTGATATAAGTCAGCTTCTTATGTTCCTATATTTCTGGAAAGTTTATAAGGCCAACTAAAATATATCACTCTTGGACTTCACTTCCCCACCATCCCTGGTGACCTCTTAAGAAAAAAATGCAGTAGCTTCATATTAGTACTTCAGGGGTTCTGGTAAAAAATATCTATAAATTGCTATTGGGCGCTTGGTCTTTCAGAGCCTAAAAACTGAATGTTGTCCTAGCATTTGAAATGTATGCCAGAGGTGAGTTAAGGTAGAAAACAAATATGATGATGTCATTTGTATTTTAGAGGAGATTTATTTGAAGAATGCACTGTTTTAGAATGATGCTTTGGTAGAGTAAAGAGTGGCTGAAACATTGTGGATTGGAAATGATAGGTTTATATGCCTCTTATTATATATGGTCATAATTTAGAAATTAATTTGTGCCTGTTTTACCAATGGTGGCCAGCTAATGAATAGCCATAATTGAAAACCTGTAGAAGTGTGGCTTATATTAGTGCTGCCTACCTTGGTTTAAGTCATGTGAAGTTGGCTCATTGCAAATAGGCTTTTGAAAGTTTATTGTATGCATGTTTTGGAATTTGAAGAAGGTCAACTCTGCTAATACTGCCAATTCTGGCTTGCCACAAAACATGCATGAGGTCTGCAACTCAATATGGCATCTTTGACTGGGGAGACAGAATCAATCTTTAAGCCTAGTGAGCAGTTTTGTTTGTGCATAAACCGTTGGGGCTAGGACTGTTTTTGGTTCGTGAACATGAGCTTTAAAGATTTAAAGAGCCATGTAGGGAACTTAATTGCATTGTTATAGCATTCCAGGAGTTCATTATACCAAACCTCTTGAAAGTATTTAATATCCCAAACTGGAACTTCACTTCAATGATTTTGTCAGTGTTCTAGATTTTTCTTTGGGCTTAGTATGACAGGTGGCAAGGGAATATGTTTTGACTGTGTAGACATTGAAATGTAGCATTGAAATGCAGAAGAGAATAGAATAAAATGAAATGAATTGTATGACCCTTTGTAAAAAGTGATAAATGGCTTTAGAACATAGGTTGTAGAGGATTTCATACACTTGGGATGTTGTGGTCACATTGGAACAGACATTGCTTAGTTTATTCCCCTTTCTGAAATTAATTTTTGTCTCTAATTCTTTTCCAGGGTTTTCACGGTCCTTATCCCTTTGGACAGTCTTAAAAACAAAAACGGGTATCGTCGAGAAGAGAATTTGACAAAGAATGGACTTGGGAGGGAGGGGGAGTTCTTATGGCTTATAGAAGATACAACATGAACCCCCTTCTTGGTCTCCATATCCTGAGATAAGAAGAAAACAAACAATAACTTAAGACTAGTTGTTTCCAGAAAAAAAACAAAACTAAAGTATGCATGTGTGAATGCTGAATTTCAGGAGTGCTGTTCAGTGCTATGAGAGAGAAAAATACACCAATGTTTTGTTTAGAAGTCATTGTCACAGTTAATTAGGTAGCCTAAAAGAATTTTTTTAAAAAAAGATTAAAATGGAAAAGCCATCTCTTTTTAAAAGAAATTATTTTGCCTACAGAGAGGTTGTAGTCTGAGCAAATGTTAATTTTTCGTTCCTTGTTCATAACTTTTTAAAAAAGGGACAGCGTGCATTTTCATGGAGATGTGCTTGCTATGAAATGGAAGCTTGCTTAGCATTTTCTTGGTTAGTGCAGCTATTTGTTTGTCAGATGGTATTAATTTCTAGCTTGATCAGTATCCAGATCCATAAATTTTAATGACGTCTTTTTCCCCCTTTCTTTCTTTTGGTTATTTGCCTTTATTCTGCTTTTAGTATCATTCTTCTGGGCATGGTGTGCATTAGTCATCTGCTAGTTCTTTTCTGTTTGGTTGCTCAGACCCAGTTTTGCCATTTGTTGTGCAGGGCAAGAATGTCAAGAGGGTAAAAACACTGAGCTGATGCAAGAGGGGTGTCTTGTGCTTTGATTGTGGCACATGCTCTTATTTAAATTCCAAAGTTTGCCCTGGACAGTTAGCATATTGAAATATTCCCATGTTCATTAATGTACGGTAACTGTCTTTGAGACAGCTATGCATGTATATGTCACTTTTGTGCCAAGAAGAAAAATTATTTTTCGGAGTGGTAGAGCACCAATTATTAAATTTCCATGACACTTCTAAGATGTAAATTTCACATCTTCTGTTTTATATTGGAATGATTACTTTGAGTCTTCAGTGATAAAAAAATAACTAGCTTCTTGGCAGAGACCAAATTGCTTTGAACATATGGGAGAAAGAAGAACCATCAGCAGCCATTCACAGCAATTCCTTCTGCTTATCAGCTTGTTTGATCTCTGAACACTTCGATTTATAGACTGGTGTGTGTGTGTGTGTGTGTGTGTGTGTGTGTGTGTGTGAAGGGTGTGGAACTGTTTAAGATCTAACTGCGTATAGCCCATGAAGAATGATAGCCATATAATTGAGGCCAATCTGTCCAATTCCATAGAGAATTAGCAGAGCATGGTCTCTTGAAACTCTTGGGTTTTGCATCGGTTTAAGGAGGAGGGGTTTTTTGTCTAATTCAAAAACTTGAACTAGGCCACAGCAGCCATCTGCCAAAGATAGAATAATATGCAATGCCTCCTTCCTTTCATCTCGCTTAGAAGATCAAACTCCCTGGTCTGAGATAGTGGAAGTATGAGTATGCACTGATGGGGGTGATGTAAGGCCTGAAGTAACATGCATTGAGCTACCTTGTTGGGTTGATTTGCATACGAGGCCTTTATTCTTCTGTATAGCTGACCACAACCCTGTTTCCCATCAGAACATATATATATATAGCACCCAAAGTCTAAATGGATCTGGCTAGGATCCTAGTAGGCAGATGTGTAGGTATTCAGTCTTCTAGGCCAGCTCAGCATCTAATTTGATGTTTTCACTTTTGAAGAATTGTATAATTTTTTTGCATCCCAACTAATTTGAAGAGTGTAGAAACTATGGAATACCTTCCTTTAACTTTCCCCCAGCTTGGCTCCCCAAATTCTTATCTTAATCATCATAAGCAGCATATTATTCAGATGCAAAATAAGGTGTAGAAACTGATTATGTATAGCATTAGTCATGATAATTGGTTTTTATTTATTTTTCCTGCCCTGGGCAAGCAACTTTTTTGATACGCAAAGAAAAGACTGAGTACACTGTATGGTTTTTGAGATGAGTGTGTGTGAGAGAGAGAGTAACCTCTGGTGGCAACATTGGAAGTCAGTGGCAACAACTGGCAGCTACTACAGTAAGCTAAGTTAAAACAGATTCAGTTTTCTCTTTAGACCAAGTTAGGTATTCAGAAACCTCACCATCTAAACTGTCAAACATTGTGGAGACTTTAGTTTTTTCATAGTGCGGAGCAAAAACTGATATTTACTGCCCACTACTGTTCTTTTACAGCAAGTAGGGATGACCATTTCCTGCAAGTCATCTCAAATACTATCTCCTCTTTTGAGTGCTGGTGACTTTTATGAATGAAACAGTCGTTCCACTGAAGAAAGCAGAAATCACAGCCAGGGCCCAGCTTGGTTGCAGTAAAAGTAGTCCTCTTTATTGTTGCTAGTTTCTGAGATCTTTCTGGGGATAAACATTCCTCTCTCGGGGGATGATCTCTGTATAAATAGTTACAAAGGGCTCATACCTGTTTGCAGGTATTTTGATTTGAGTGATAATCCCTTCAGTGATGACAATGGGAGGATGTTTAAAATGCTCACTGTTTTGTGTCTCGTTTCTTTTCTCAAATATTCTTCTCTTTATACAATACCTCCTTTATTATTCATGGAGCTTCTTGGAACTCTGATTTTAAATTCATTAGTTTTTAAGGCGTTTTTGATGATTTTGGAGCCATTGAAATGGCTGAAGCCAAAATCATGTTTGCTTGGGAGCAGCACTTTCAGACAGCTAAGGAGGGCAAGACATTTTTGTGCCTAAGCATAAAGGTTTGATTTTCACAAATGCATAATACTAGCTTCATAATTATCAGGGGAAGCTGCCACCTTTTCCCCCTCCTCAACAGATGACCTATGGCTTCAACAGCATGGGAAGCAGAAACACAGTAGATGTAGCTTTACATAGCATGGAGGTGTAGGAATGGGGGGTGGCTGCACCTGCAGAATAGCTGAATGTCATAAAGGCACAACCCCTTTGTGAGAAAAAGGTGGCAATGCTAACCAGTGCCTAGGTTTAACACACAGCACTTCTGTACAGATATAATCACATGTAGGGGAAACAGTGTAGACTGCTGAGTTTGGAAGTGGCATGGGTATTTAGATTGCTTTGTTGCAATTACAGGAATCAGAGAGCCACTCATAGCTTTAAAATGCATATATTGGCAAACACTCTTACCCACTTCAAATATTATCGTGTATATGCCTCTCGTTCCCTCTTGCATGATCTGTAAAAATACGTTGTGAATAAAATAACCCTTTTTACCAAAGTGATACTGCTTGGACATGGAGGAAGCTAAGCATTGCTTGACCCATATCCCTGTTCCTGAAATGTGACTGATTCTTGCTCCCCCAAATTTAGCTTGCTTCATGTAACAAGTGTGGTTGGCTCTGGCCATTTCCCTAGTGGTTCTCATTCTGGAAGAAATGATGGATTCCCGAGGAGGAAGAAGTAATTTTAATTTAACAAAGGGAAGTTTGGATTTCTCATTTGTTTGCAGCGTTCTTTTTTTATTTTTATTTTAATGCAGATTAAACTGTAACCCAAGCTGTTGGGTTTGAAAATGTGCTGGCAACCTCTGCATCTGAAAATGTGACTGTGCCTGGGAGGCAAGAGCACCCAGTCTTCTCACTAGGAAATTGAGCTGGCTTTGAGCCTTAGTGGGTGCGAGTAAGCTCTGTCTCTGTTTGGGGATGGGTGCTAAGCCTGCACTGTCAGGTTGGGCCTATGTTGTTGCTCCTATTTGGGGCAGGTGAAAGGTGTATCCTAAGGCCTCAGGGATTTGGGAATGTGTATTCATCCCACCCCCCAGCTGCAGATGAGTGCGTCTTGAATCTCTATAGGTACAAGTGTAGCCGGAGAAGCCTGGGGCTAAGAAATGCACGCTGTCCCATGTATGGGTTTCCATTGTTTTTTCTCTTGTGTGAGTGAGTGGTTGATTCTGCAGCCTGTCTTTATTCTCTCTGGGGGGAGTGCATGTGTAGAGCAGGATGTGTGTTGCTTCATTGAGTCTGGGAAGAATCCTGTAATAGCACATTGTGGGGGAAAACAAAGATGCTTTTTCCTTAATGTATAAATGAATATTTGTATGATTAAATTAACACAAAACAATCTTATACTTGAGTTTTTATTGAATGACCAAAGCTTGGACCTACAGTGCCTTTTCGTGGTTTAAATGGTTCCCACTTTACTTTCCTTCTTTCCCATTTGTTGGGGAGTATCATGCAAGCCAGGACTGAGCTGAAAACTCTGTGCTTAATAAATGAAATAAAATGAATTGTGGTTAGGGTGCTGTCTTGTGCCTTCATAGAATCATAGAACTGGAGTTGGAAGGGATCCCAAGGACATCTAGCCCATCCCCTACAGTGCAGGAATCACAGCTAAAGAATCACTGACAGATTGCCATCCAATATGCTTAAAAACCTCCAATGAAGATGCATCTGCCACCTTCCAAGGTAGTCCATTCCACTGTTGAACAGCTCTTACCTTCATAAAGTTCTTCCTAATGTTTAATCAGAATCTTCTTTTTTTTTAAATTGAAACTATTTTTTCAGGTCCTATGCTCTGGAGCAGCAGCAAATAAGTTTGCCCCGTCCTCCATATGACAGCCCTTGAGATATTTGTAGATATCTAGCATATCACCTCTCAGGCTTCTGTCATCTAGGCTTAACATACCCAACTGTGACAACCGTTCCTCATAAGGCTTGGTTTCCAGACCCTTTAACATCTTGGTCCCCTTCTTCTGCACACATTCCAGCTTGTTCTGACTTGAAGATCCAAGTCGGGCTTGTCAAGTTGGCACTGACAGCAAGGGGCATACTTAGTGCTCAAATTGTTCCTTTGTAGCCACATTCTTTACCTGCTCAACACTTGACACTGCATATGATGTCAGGGATGGGGTATGATTTGGGGAAAACATCTTCACAGGATTAATTTGGCCCATGTGCTGGAGGTTCCCCACTGCCAACATAGCACATGGTTCTCACCATTTCTTTGTATACATACATACAGCCTTTCTCTCCACCCCCCAAAAAAGATTGCAAATACATACAAGTGCCATGAAGCACTTGTATTTAAAAAATCTGTGTTGAAACTGATTTCAGCATAAATTAACCTTTTGGATTAGAAATTAAGTTTCTGGAGAAAGTGTTGAATTTTTAGCGAATCCTTGAAGAACCACCTTGAATGGAATGAGGCATGTCCCTGTTCAATGACTGTGTCACACATTTCCACATGTAATTTACAGGAGACTTGGGCCAGGCATGACTCCCTTGCACAACTACTGTACTTAACTTTTCAAAATAGCTGCTCCCTTAGAGCGTGTGATACTAGTATACATAATGTGATCATTGGGGAAGGGCTGTAACCCTTCAGATCTAATGCCTGATCCCCAGCATCTCCAGGTAGAGGTGAGAGATAGACCCTTGCCTGAAGGCCCAGAGAGACAATGGCAATCACTGCAGAATAGGTTTCCCAAACTGTTGCCAATGAACTATCAGTGGTCCATGAGCTTTCTTCGCGTGGTGTGTGGATTTGTACTCCTCAGACTGAGTATTCATACTGATTTTTAATTGTGTTTTATTGCTTTCATTTCAAATATTGTATTTTATTGTATTGCAATGTGAATTCTATGGAATTAGAATTACTACAGCATACAGAAATATCTTTAAGAGGTCTGCCAAGACCCTTAGCCATTTTCAAGTGGTCTGCTGAGAGAGAAGCCTGGGAACAGATGATGTAGACAGTACTGAGATGGATAACTCAGCAACATCAGTCAGCCTACTTTCCTATTATAAAAAGTATTTTTTTTACAGTTGCCTAAATTTGGCTATTTTGTCAGGGAATTAATATCCCTCCCAAATGTATTTTAAATGTGTGGTGGTTGGATTGTTTGAGATTTCTGCTTTCTCTTCCTCCCTTCACATCTACTTGTTGTTTACTTTTGAGGTTGTTTGCCATTGGGGCTGAGACCTGTCAGGAGCTCATCAAGGCAAGGCAATCTGCTCACACCTTCATTATAATGCTATCTTTGAAGCAAGCAAATAAATTGTGCCATCATTATGATGCACTCATTATAAATGAAGCAATGTGCCATGACTTTTTACGTGGTATATGCCATGGGTGTGGTGCAGCAGTCAGAAGCCAAGTCAAATAGTTGTAGAGCTGAACAATGTAAGAACTTTTGCAAACACCTGAGAAAATTTAAATATCAAAATATGGTTCATTCAGTTTTCCGCTTCAAGCAACTTAATGATTGATGCCACCCATGGAGAGGAAGAAATTTAATGTAGCTGGCCTGTATATCTGTTCCTAGAGTTACCTGTGCCAAAATCCAGAACATTGATCAATAAGCAAAGCTTATGCATCCTACAACTTCAATAAGATTTTTAAAAAAACACTGATCTATAAAATTGAGGCTTGCTTTAGATGGTAATTACAGATAAGAACCGTTCAAAAGCAACGTTCCTTTTTCCACCCAAACTGGACTGTGCAGCTTGGATAACTGAACAGAATACACTCCCAGTAGCTATTGTAGAGGAGCCCTATTTCTGCGGGTCGAGATAGAAGGCGTTTTAAATATTGAAGTATCTTGTGCATTTGTTGCTTATTTTCAAAAACCACTTTTAAGTATTCAGAGAGCATGTGGTACATTGTTCCCAGGATTGTACCACTTGGACATATGGAACACATACATAATACATATGGAATATAAAACATATGGAAAATGCATATGGAAATTTGTTGAGTCAGAGTGGAAATCAGGCTAGTGCCTCTTGTCCTAATGTCCTGGTTCTTCATGTGAATGAAACCTTATAGAAGAGCATTCAAAAGCCTTATAGAAGAGCATTCAAAAGCAACTTAACCCCTTCTTGTGGGTTAGCTAGAGGAGGATCAAATGACCTGGCCCAGTCTAGGTAGAATGGTGCTGGTTGAATTGCTGTGGTCCCTGCTGTTCTTAAGTAATCAGGATGCTTTTCCTAGACTCAAAAGTCTTCTGGGTAAAGGTGTGTTCTACAAGAATCATTGTTAGGAACATTGTTGAGTAGAGCAAGGGTTAGGATATTTAAACTCCATATACTCCCTGAAATGTCGGAATGGAACAGATTTCCACAACAAACAAGCCCACAGGGTCCTTTGATCCTCCTCTAGCTGACCCACAAGAAGTGCATCATAGTGGCTACTGCAAGTAGTAGTACACTTTAAGGAACTTCTCTACAGGCAACATGGTTTACTATGTGTGCCCTTTCTACTCTGACAAGTAGACTAGACTGAGATAATAGGCAAGGCACTAAGGTCACTCACTAAACTTCATGACCAAGGAAGGTTTTTAACCTCATCTGCATCTGGGGCAGGCAATCTTTTCTTTTTGGCAGACCAGATCCTCCTTTTCCCACCTCTAGACAGAAGAATTTGACAGGGAGGTGAGGTCACCAATCTGCCAGTCACATGACATCATAGTGATGTAAGGTGACACCATACCTTGAAACTTAGGTCTTAGAAGCGCAGCATGGGGCTGTGTGAAAGCACTGCAATATATTGCATGTCACAGCAGAATATTGAGTGGGGGCTGGCCCCATCCTTGAAAATGTTGGGAGTACCCTTGTTCCCCACCCAATCGTGCCTCTGGGTCTGCAGGTTGCACACCAGTGGTGTGTCTTGCTCACTATTGTCTCTGCTCACTGTCTGGTAGCAGCTCATCAGGGTTTTCAAGACAGAAGCCTTTTGCAGCCCTTCCAAAAATGCCAAGGATTGAATCTGGGACCCTTTGCATAAAAAAAACACGTGCCTTACCACAGAGCTTTTAGCATTTCTCAAATTTCTAAAGGTATGACCTTCCTTTCTTCCACCTCAGGGGCTCATCTGGAAGTTGAACTCAGGATCCCTCTGCACCCAAGGCACTAATTCTGCCACTAAATCAACAAGCTAGGCACAATTTAAGTGTGCTTTCTCCAACCTAAGTAAATTGAAAAGCTATTTTGGTCAGTCTTGTCAAGAGTTGATAGAAAAGCCTATGTTTGTTTGCTTTACTACCTGCCCTTCAACAAAGGTCTCGGGGCAGGTTACAAAATGATAAAAGAATAGAATACAACAGATAATAAGTGATGAAGATAACCAACTGATAAAATCATAAGTAGAGAGTAGACAATAACTGCATATCCCAAAAGCCTGGGTAAAAAGATGAATCTGCATGTTTTCTGAAAATCACCAGGTAGACATCAGGCAATGGGGAATTTCAGGGCGGGGGGCACCACAGAAAAGGTTGTCTCATGTGCCACTGGATGTCTGAGGGTGGTGGAATCACCAAAGAAGTCTTTTCCTTGTGGTTTTTAGTCCTGAATCTCTTTATAAAGGAGAGAATCTTTCAGGTAGCTGGGACCTAAGCTGTTTAGAGCTTTATGTGTCAAAAACAAACGTTTGTCTTGGACTGACTCAGAAGCAAATAGGCAACCAGAGCAATTCTAGCAGAACTGGTGTAATATGAGACCCACCAGTTATGGTGGTTAGTCTAGCTACTACATTTTGCACTAGTTCCAGCATCCAAGATGTCTTCAAGTCCCATGGAGAGTACCTTGCAATAATTCAATCTGGAGGTTACCAGAGCATGACTCACTGTTGCTAGGGCACCTCATCTCAGGAAGGGCTGTAGCTGGTACACCAGTCAAAGCTGGAAGTTAAGTACCCCTAGCCACTGAGGACACCTGGACCTTAAATGAGAGTATTGGATCAAGTAGCACCCTCAAACTATGGACCTGCTCTTTACAGGGGCTGCAACCTTATTCAGGACACACATCTTGCCACTTCTTGTACTCAGTCACCTAATGCACACAACACCTTGGTCTTGCCTAGATTCAGTTTCAGTTGACTGGCTCTCATCAATATGATAAACCGCATCATGCACCTGTCCAGAAGCTTTGTACATATATATACGTTGAACAACGTGGGTGACAAAAAAACACCCCAAACCCTGCAGGATGCCACAGGTCAGTTTCCATGCCATTAAGCAGTTGGCACCTCATGGTCTCTCCCTAGACTCACTTTCCATAAGTATTAGTGGTACCATTACCAAATTGTGCTTCTAATCCCCAAGCCTTGGAGTCAGTCCGAAAAGTATCGAAATCTGCTGAGAGGTCAAGGAAAATGAGCAGGGTTGCACTCCATCTGTCTCTTTCCTGACTGACAAAGGTCGTCAACCAGCATGGTCAAGGCTGGGTCAGTTCCAAAGCCCAGATTCCATGGTTGAAGTTCTGTTCCATTCTACATCAACACCCCTCCTCTATACATGAGGGTTAAATACCACCAGTTTAATAATCTCTGATTTTGCAGGCTCAGTGTAACTTGGACAACCTTTTATTTTACATTCATATTGGCTATAGTGATGTCCCACAATAGTACAGCTTATTATATTACAATAAACAAATAATTATCTTACACCAAGACTTAGCAATTTTGCCGTCTTTCTCCACAAAGATAGTAATCTAATGGCGTATATTCTAAGGTAGGGGATGTGGAACCTGTGAGTCCAGAAATTTTGTGCATCAAACTTTTGTCAGCTGTAACCAACAACACTAAGGGAAGGTGGGAGTTGTAATCCAACACTTGGGAGGATTCCCTATTCATGTTCTAGAGTAATTTTGGGTAGCTTCAGTGTGGGATGTGAAACACATAGCAGTCAACTACAACATTCCTAGAGTGGACATGCTAGTGGATGCTTTGTACCAGCCAGGAGACTAACTTCCTGTTTCCTCTTGAGCTGTGACAAACTGGGCAAGTTAGCACAGCTCCTTCCTTTGGCTCTTCTCCATTTTGTTTTTCTGTGTATGAGGAGAAGTGACTGCCTATTCGCAGTCACTTAGGAACTAACTCCCTTATGGGATAGTTCCACATGTGTATATAGTTTTGTAACCTAAGTCTGCCTTCAGGGATCCACCTGTGAACTGAATGATTGTGAGTAAACTACTTCTATATTGACTTTAAAATCTGTTGTTTCTATTCTTTTTTAAGAGGGACTAGAAGGGATCTTACCAGGAATCTTACATTGAGAGGCTCAGACAAGCTTGCAAAATGCAAACCGCTGTGTATTTAAAAGGGGAATGCACTCTGCTAAGTAAAGGGACTTGCTAATGCAAGTTGGGAAGGATACTATTAAACAATATATCCTCTCCTGCCTCCCTGAACATTCCCACATTCAGGTGACAGCTTACCACCTGGGAGCTGTTTATAATCTTACTGGAGGTACAATCAGGTATATGGTATACAGTGTTTTGCCACGTAGTGAAGTGGTTTTTACTATGCATCTGAAACTACTAAGAAATGTAAGATAGTGGTGGCATGGCTTGATAGGGCAGATTATCTGCTTCCTATGTGACTGCATTCATCCTCCTGTGGTAAGACTGCAAGCAAGGTAAGAAGCAGCTGCTTGTGCCCTTCTCCCAAATGGAGGAATTATGTACATTAATGAGATCCAATACTCTGATGAAGGTTCTTTTGAAATTCATCCCTGAAAAAATTAACTCAGACCATTGCCCTTTAAGTATGTGAATTGCCACAGAGAGGGCACAAAACAAATTCAAACCACTGATAAAATCCAGTGATGTAGCTGTTTCTGGGCCATGCACTGAAAGTTGACGGTTATGATATATGCTTTTTCCTCCATGGCTGCTTACTGTGTCTGATCTGATTCATGCATACTTCATGAATGAAGCAAGGAGCTGAAAGGAATCCAGTTAAATAATTTACTTATTAAACTCTAAACATACCCTTATTGCATTTGTAAGATTGTAAGATGAATGATACAGTGAATTAAGATAGAAAAAGGAGCATTCCAAGAGATGAAGGGAACTGGGCCCAAGGGAAAGACAGTTGCCTCATCCATAAATATCTATTACTGTGTTTATTTATGACTCTGAAAGTAAGCTTGGCTTGCCTACAAAAAACAAAACCATTGCTGCGCTAAGGCTGCAACCCTAGCTCCACTTACCTGGGAGGAAGCCCCATTGAATTCAATAGGCCTTGCTTCTGAATAGACCTGGCTAGGAGGATTGCGCTGTAGGTCAGTTACGTGCTCCAGGCAACAATAAATATTTACATTGCTGGGATCCCAGTTTGTTTTATTTATGAAAGACCAAGTCACTCCACCCATTGACGCACAGTGAGAAATGTACTTCATGAGGTCCTGTGGTCACTGCACCATCTTCAGTTCCTATACTTCCTAATGATGTGTTATGCCTGAAACTTGCCCATCCAGAAGTGCCCACAAGTCCAATGGCATACATATGGCTCTAAGACACTGTTTATTCACAGAATATTATTGCTTCCAATTGGAACAACATATTGCAAGTAACCTCAGATGAGCAGTTTATCTGCCCCTCTGTGCTATCTGTTTCTTTATGTGTAGGTCTTCCTGCTCTCTGTAATGCCTTTTCCCCATCTCTCTCTCTCTCTGCTCAACACCCTATTTCATTTTTTAAAAAATGTTAACTTTAGCATGGTCTTTATTTGGAAGGTCAACCTGAACAAACAGCCCTAGTCCCTGTCCTGTCACTGCAGTGGCCAGCATAATTCTTTACTTGAGGACCACAATAAATTTGTTATGCTTGGATTGAAACATTGCATTAATTTGTTTATGCTTTTTAAAAATGTCATCTTGGAGGGGCAAATGGCACACAGACAGATCTGATACCTTTAATCACTGCCGCTCCAGCAGTAGATTGTGTGGCCTTGACTCCATCAGAGATAAAGGCATGCAAATTCAAGCTGTTGTCTCAAATCCCACTGTTAATTTTAAAGTTCATGAAAACTGCAGTGGAATTGAGGCTATACTTAAAAACAGAACCATGTAAAGTTTGTAGCTGGGAAGACAGCATCTCTGTTTTTGAACTACAATGTGTTTGATATAGCTTCTTAAACAGCAAGCAAGACATTACATCTTACAAGATGTTGAACAGAATATTTTGATGTTAGCTGAAAACAAGTTTGTATTACACCTATTTGCATTAACCAAATGAAAAATTGCAAGAAAATGCATAAAGAGATAACATCTGAATTGGAAAAATATACTATGTTGAGTATGTAGCTTTATTACCAGTTTGTATTTTTGCAGAATGTTGACTCCAGTTAGGTTCCCCCCCACCCACAAATGATGTATTCATTGTGACTTAATGGTCATCTAATTATCCGATTGTTCTTAAGTGTTGTGTGGCATCTTCTTGCTGGTGATGATTTTGGGCCTCACATGGCAATACAGAGTCTCAAACAAAGATGTGTTCTCCCAAGCTCACATTCCCAGCATGCTGATACTCCTGTCTCAGCGACATCTACATTGCATTGGTCATGTCCACAGAAGGAAGCTGGTAGGATCTCCAAGAAAGTGCTCTACAGGCTTCAGGCAGCAGGCCCACTGGCAGACCAACTCTGCATTACAAATATAGTGGTACCTCGGTTTTCAAACGTAATCTGTTCCCAAAGACCATTCAAGTTCTGAAACATTCAAAAACCGAAAACTCAGTATGGAAGGCTCAATACAGAAAACTCAGTATGCAAGCCGCGTGACATGTTCGACTTCCAAGGCGAGTTTGAAAACCGAAGCATTTACTTCCGGGTTTACGGCATTCAAAAACCGAAATGTTCATCAACGGAGATGTTTGAAAACCGTTGTATCACTGTATGTCTGCAAATGTGACATGAAAGCTGGCAACATCAACCCCATTGCATGGGAATCCCTTGCAGACGACCACAGGGCCTGGAGACAGACAATCAGGTCATGTATCCAAAGCAGTGACCAGAAGAGAAGCAGAAGAGCGCAGAGAGAAGAAATGCCATGGTGCATTTGCAGCAGCACAACCTTCATTTACTTCAGCTGCAACAAAACATGGCTCTCTTGTACTGGTCTCTACAGCCTCAGCAGGCGCTGTAAACTTCCAACAGTTTGACTTCACCCCCAAAGTTTGAATTCACTAGTTTGAATTCACTCCTCCATTGTCTCCTGAGACAAATCAACATGGTGATGACATCTGCCCCTCCAAAAAAATATGTACTGTAGCTCTAATCTGGTATGCCATTTTTAATGTGGCTGGTGGACAAAGCAGTTTGTGTTTCCTGATGCGAAGCAAGAGAAAGATTTTTTTAACCACTGAACAGTGTACGAAAGAATTTATATATCGGCAGGTATTTAAAGAACCACCAGAGGGAGTTGGATACATTTGCAGATTGTCTTTTGGAAGCTGAATGCTGTTAGTATGAAAGAGCTTTACTGGGACGTATAGTAGGATTTCTGCAGTGCTTTTTTTCCTTAAAAAAATGTTTAGAGGTACTCTCATTTTCCTACTCATATTGAAATACTGCCCCTCAATGAGGCCAAACTTAGATTCACAAAATGTTTAGGGGTTTGCATATCCCCAGAAAAAAGCAATGGATTTCTGTATTGGTAAACACTGAAATGTTATGTTGGTTCTTAGGGTGGTATACTGCATATGAAAAGAAAGAACTGCAGGATATTTCCTACTCAGAGAAGCAATGGAAGAAATTTACGAACATTGTAGGTTTGGAAAGTTACAGAAAAATATCAAACCATTATATATTCTATTAAATCCAGCTACTCCTCCCCCCCCATTTTTTTGTTGAATAGCGTGGAAACACTGGGGGTCTATGGCATTGGTAGGCAACCTAGGGCCCGGGGGGCCTGATCTGGCCCAATTGCCTTCTAAATCTGGCCCACAGACGGTCTGGAATCAGCGTGTTTTTACATGAGTAGAATGTGTCCTTTTATTTAAAATGCATCTCTGGGTTATTTGTGGGGCATAGGAATTCGTTAATTTTTTTTTCCCCCCAAAATATAGTCCGGCCCACCACAAGGTCTGAGGGACAGTGGATCGGCCCCCTGCTGAAAAAGTGCTGATCCCTGGTCTATGGCTTCATCTGTTTGTAGAATTGGATGTTGTGGCATTGACCAGGACATGTCTCTATCCAGATTACTTTGCTTCTGGGATACCTTTGCTTAGGTCCACCCTTTCCTCCTTTTAAGCTGCACGAATCTCTAAAAATTTGTGAACAGAGGATGGCTCACTAAAAAGAGTAAGTCCCACATTACCCTATGTTTCCCATCAACTTGCCAAGCCAGGTTTTCTGTTGATCAGCCAGTTGAGCAACCAAGACTGTTAATTGCCAGTTAGCAGCAGTTGCCAGCAATCCCATTTCCCATTCATGTTATCTATTACAGGCACTGGAAGAACTAAGAGCTGCCAGGGTCCACTTGACTGTTTAAACAAAACAGGGCTCTCATACAGAAGCAACTAAAACTCACTAAAGCAAAATACATGAAACTCTAATAAATTTGGAATTGGTGCAGCATACCTACCGTATTTTTCGCTCCATAAGACACACTTTTTTCCTCCTAAAAAGTAAAGGGAAATGTCTGTGCGTCTTATGGAGCGAATGCGTGGTCCCTGGAGCCGAATTGCCCAGGGGTAAAAGGCAGATTGTGCTTTTTTTTTTTTTATAAAGAGGGAAGGGGGTGTTGAAACAAAGCCGCTGAGCAGCTGATTGGCAAGCGATGGGAGGGAGATAAGGGACTCTAGAGATAAAGGAGGCTGCCTGGGAGAGGGAGGTAAAAGCACATGGATCCTCAGAATTTTTGCATTGGGTCACTCCCAATTCACCATCAGATCACATAGCATGTCCATGGCTACAGCTTACACCAAAAAACCCACGCACCCACTGTTTTGTGGGGCTGCAATGGTGCAAAAACATAGTTACAAAACACAGATCCACATGGATTCTCAGGATTTTTGCATTGGGCTACCCCAAACTCACCGTCAAATCATATATCATGTCTGTGGCCACAGCATGAACCGCAAAAATCATACATCCACTGTTTCGTTCAGAATATTTTTTTTCTTGTTTTCCTCCTCTAAAAACTAGGTGCGACTTATGGCGTGAAAAATATCAGCATGATAGAAAACCACATGCTGAGTGTGTTGGCTGGAGGAGAAGATCTGCAAAACAGAAGCGTTGTGGAGGAGTGCAGCTACGTGTCTCTAAAGAAATAAGATTGCCTTGTGTGCAGCAAGTCTACCCAGTTCGAAAGAGAAGAACAAGCTGTTCATATCTTTATTAAATTTGCTTACTGCCTTTCTACAACTAATCACCCAAGGTGGCTAACATGCAATTAGAAGCGAAAAACTGTATATATAAAAAACAAAATGTAAAAGAAACATGGGTCACAACTACTCATTGAAAACATGAGCTGATAAAACCTATGGTAACACATTAAAATATCAGCCAGCTAAAAGGCTAAAAGTTAGCAGCACCAACAAATTACTGCCATGGGCAAAAAGCTTGTCTAAACAGGAAGGTTTTCATGTGCTGATGGAAGGAGGCTCAGAGAGAAAGTTAAGTCGGCACTGCTCTGGGGAGAGTTGCAAAGGTACAATCACCAAGAAGGCCCTCTCTCATCTCTCCCACGAGCAGGATATAGATGCTAGCAAGACATAGGAAAGAGTCTTTCCCGAAGATCTTAAAACCTAGGTTGACATCCTTGGAATGGATGCATCAATCCACTCATTCCAAGTTTTCTTAGAAGTTGCTGCTAAGGCAAAATATCCCATACTAGGATCACCGCAGTCTTGCTATACCTGTTTGTACTCTCTTGTAAGCAGCCAGTGACTCCTGGGTTCTAGATTTGAGTGAAGAGAGATGGAGCTTCTCCAGCCCTGAGCCTGTCACAAAAGCCATTTGCCTGGTTGGAATAAAGCATGAAAATTTGCCGCCAGTAGTTTCACCAAATGGCTGCAACGAAAAACAAGATCTTTCTCAAAAGTATCACAACACTTTTCCTATAGTGCCTGGAAGACCTGCAGGTGTGGTGTGTCTCCGAGCACAACAATAAAACATTTCCTTGTTATCTAATCTGCCTTATTTCCCTTCTTTACTCTGTTTACCATGGCCTGGTTTCCTCAATAATCCTGACAGCTGCAGGCTGGGCTGTGACGTCAAGCTTAAAATGATTAAGTTCAAAAAGTTTTCCAGTGAAAATTAATCAGCTTGTTTGTTATAAACTTAATCCATATGTAAAATAACCTGTTTCAGATTTTTTTTTGGGGGGGGGGGATAGTTCTTAAGACAGCACATGCATAGTGTTCCTGAAACTGAGGTACTTTGGATACCAAACCAACCACAAACCAAGAAAATGTCTTTAGACAGAAGCAGGTCTTTGTTGAACTCTTGGATTCACATCAAAAGCATCCATATATCCCCCTTCTCTGCTTGGGAAAACCTGGACTTTTAGATAAGTTCCTTGCAATCAACCATTCTTTGTACAGTGGTACCTTGGTTTACGAACTTAATCCATTCCAGAAGTCTGTTTCTAAACCAAAGCATTCTTAAACCAAGGCGTGCTTTCCCATAGCAGCAAGGGACTCAATTTACAAATGGAACACACTCAACAGGAAGCGAAACATGTTCTGTTTCCAAGGCAAAGTTCACAAACCAAAACACCTACTTCCGGGTTTGCAGCATTCTTAATCCAATTTGTTCATAAACTAAGCTGTTCTTAAACCAAGGTACCACTGTATTTATTTATGTCACCAAGATACGCAAGGTCCAAGGCACACCACACATTTATTCTACTTTGTCATGGCTTCTCCACCACCACCACCCCACCCCAAAAAACCCTGAGGACTGTGGTTTGTTAAGAAGCTGAGAGTTGTTAGAAGACCCTTCACAAACTATAGTTCCCAGGATTCTTTGGGGGAGGGAGTCATGACTCTTAAAGTGGAATAATAATGCTTTAAATGTATGGTATGGATGTGGCCCAACTTTGGTTAACTTCACCCAGTGGCGGAGGAACCCTCTCTGGCACCCGGGGCGGGATGCCAAGGGGCGGGGCGAACCGCCCGGCGGTGCATGTGCAATGTCCGTACGGACTGTGCACATGCGGCATCCTGTACGGTCGCCGTGCAAGAGGCAGCCTGTACAGATGCCACGCAAGCGGCACCCATACTAACTGCATGTGCATCCTCAACCGGTCTACAACTAGGGGGGTCAGTGGACCATCTTGTCACCCCCCCCAAGTGGTGCCCGGGGCGGTCCGCCCTCTCTGCCCCCCTTCATACGCCGCTGACTTCTCCCTGTTGAACGCATTGGACCCCTTTCTCCTAGACTTCACAGTTCTGAGTTTCTCCTCCATAGGCCCTAAGTGAGATGACTAAGTAAACCTGATGAAAGGGAACAAGTAAAAAACTAATGTTGGCTAAGAAGATAGATGGATCATGCAAAATTATGAAAAAGAAGACACAAAAGTGCTCAAATATTACTTTTTTTTGGTAGATCCCTGGTTCCAAATTAGATATACGGTAATGCCCCATAATCATTGTCACAATTAGTTCCTTTCTGTTTGTCAAGGTAATTAGTGTTCTACTGATTGACTCCAAGCATGTGTCACACTGACTTTTCTTTCAGTTGCAGCCTTGTTTACACGCCACAGTTAACTGAACATGTTTTTTGCATCTTTCATAGTTAATGTGACCTGTAACCGCTTGTTTGATCAATAGGGGCTGGGAGCATTGTACGTCCTGAACTAAAATCATGCATTTCAGTAGCTTGATATATCTGCAGTGAATTGATGATTTCTGGATTAGACACAGAATGGACATCTCAAGACATGAGCGCTCTTGGCTGTATTTCTTCATTTACGGAAATCTCTCTCTCAACAAACTTAGACCCCCAGCCTGGCATTTGCAGCACAATTCTGTAACTGTCTACTCAGAATTAAGGTCCATTGAGTTTAATGGGCCTTACTCCCAAATAAGTGTGCATTGGATTGCACCCTTAGTATTGTATCAAGTTGGGCTACTGAAATAATATTGTCAAATCAAAGGAAATTGGGCTATGGTAATTAAAATAAACCCAGTATAACCAAGTATCACCTAGCAGTTCGAAAGCATGTCAAAGTGCAAGAAGATAAATAGGTACCGCTCCGGCAGGAAGGTAAACGGTGTTTCCGTGCACTGCTCTGGTTCGCCAGAAGCGGCTTAGTCATGCTGGCCACATGACCCGGAAGCTGTACGCCGGCTCCCTCGACCAATAAAGCGAGAGTTGTTTGCGACTGGACTTAACTGTCAGGGGTCCTTTACCTTTACCTTTAATTAAAATAAACCCAGTATAACCAAGTATCACTATTGCATTGAAACTAACAAAAGTAATGTTGTTATCCTTGTCAGGTGTGTTTGTAAGCTGCCTCTGTGGCAATAATGAATAATTCTCTTGACAGGCAAATTACCCTAGCCCTTGTGATCTTAAACTCTCATTCCTCACATCCAGTTCACCTCCATTTGTTCACCTTACCCATGAGCTACTTGAAACATGTATATACCCTGGAGTTCACAAATGAGTCTTCAAATAATCAGTCTTCATCCTTGTGCCCTGAGGAGTGAAAACTGAATTGCTGGAAGGAATATTACTCATTTCTCTTTCACTGAAGATAATTGAAATTGGATTTCTATACGGAATGGGAATTGTTTATTACTGATATTCTAGAATTTCACCGCACTATTTAGAGCATTGTAGAACTGCTGCTGTTAATATGCTCCATTGTTTTTCTCCATATCTCTTGTTTTGTATTTTAAGAATCCTGATTTGATTAGTAGTCAACGTATTGGTGATCTAACGAGAGAACAGGCCTGCTCCTCTGCTTTAGGCCAAATTCTAACAAGCTGTATACAGTGGTACCTCGGGTTAAGTACTTAATTCGTTCCAGAGGTCCGTTCTTAACCTGAAACTGTTCTTAACCTGAAGCACCACTTTAGCTAATGGGGCCTCCTGCTGCCGCCGCGCCGCCGGAGCACAATTTCTGTTCTTATCCTGAAGCAAAGTTCTTAACCTGAAGCACTATTTCTGGGTTAGCAGAGTCTGTAACCTGAAGCGTATGTAACCTGAAGCGTATGTAACCCGAGGTACCACTGTAGTAGAGAAAAGCCTCCTTGAGCTGTTTTTCTTTGTGTGTCAAGATGGCTTCCCTTCCCCAGGGCTGTCAATCCAGCACCTTTCATCACCACAAAGTTCACATGCGGAGCTGAACAAATAGGCAGGTGTGAAGTTTATTTTGAAGCACAACCACGGAAGCAAGCAATTGCTGCTCCCAACAATACGCATGTAGAGCAGAGTTTGCCTGTGAGACAGAGTGAATTGATGTGATGATGGCATTTTATAACTTTGTTTAAGAACTAACTCTTTTCTTGCTAAAGGGCAAGTTCAGTAACCTTGTTTGTACAACCGCAGGAAAAGCAGTAGAAAACAGACTACACGAGGAAGGGGTGAATAGGGGTTGTCCTGGGCATGGGGAGCTTGGTATCTCATTGACTGCACTGAATGGAATGACTGGCCTGGATTAGCAATTAAAATGATGGGCAAACTACACCTGACACTATTCACAAAAGTAGCAGTGGTGTGAATGGCTTTTTAGAAAGGAAATTGCATGCGCAATTGGGTGTGGGGCACTAGCCTGGAATCTTTAACTCCATGAGCGCACTGTTATCGGAATCCCAATAGGGTATTTTCATTGAACGTACAAAAAAGAAATCCACAGAATTACTAATTGCAATGGTTTCAATCTAGACATAATGTAAGTTTCAGTACTCACTTCTTTCTAGTCTTCAGGCTTCACAGATTATTAAATGGGGTGGCTGACGTGATCCAAATATGAGGCAGAGAAGAGGAGTCAGATTTTTCATGGAGGAGTTGGCTAAGTTTTCATCTGTTCCTCATCCTTCCCTCTTGGTGCTCTATTTCTTGGAGAGCTCAGTTTTCTTCTCCAGGCATCTTCATTAATTTGCGGGTTCATTACAACAGCAACTCGTTTTGAAGTGCATATAGAAGACTTTCGGGAGACAGGAGTGCTCAATTAGCAGCTTAACACTTTCTCTCTTTCTAAAATGCTTTTGGTGTAGAAGGCTTTTTAAAATGGTAGATAGTCCCCACATTTGTCCAAAATTTGTTAAATAGCATAATGAAATCTCTTCATTTATTTAAGAGAGAGAAAATAATTACACTAGCCACAAAAGGGAGCATGTGGAGATTACCTAGCTTTTTGATAAAGAGACCACACATTGGGTAACTTAAAAATGGTTTGCTTACAAACTCCAAAGGTCAGGTTCATGTGCTTTTCTATACAACAGTCAGAAAAAAACAAGCGGTAAAACTTTGCTTAGTTTACAGTGGTGAAAGTTCCTAAATTATTGGTATAGGAACTCAAGAGAGGCTTATTAAAGCCATGCAATCTGAATTTGGAGCAACCAGCTCAGACCTCTTTGCACACTGAGCTTCTCAGGTAGAGCAAGGTACAACGATACGTTTATTTTCCTCTCAAGGTGAGCGGGTGACCTAGCTAAGCCTGGCAGGAGAGCTTACTCTATGGTATTAACCCCTATGTGCATGTTGCTTATATGAGGCTGGTTATCCATGGTTATGCATGGAAGGTAGCAGGATCATGGTTGCAAACCCTGCCCCATGTCATATGTGTATTTTGTTTGCACACATGCACCAACTCTGCAAGCGGTTGAGAACTCTGTAAAAAGCAAAGTGAGATGTGTGGTGAATAATGCACATATGGCAGGGAGCAGAGCTTGTCACCATGATTCCACCCACCCTGCAATGTCTCTTTATTTGTTTCATAAAATTTATACACCACTTGATTGCAGAAAAAAGCTTCAAAGTGGTTTACAAAAAACCATAATGCACTTGGAACCTGAAAGATGCTGGAGAAATCAGATACAGATTGCAAGAGGGCAGGTGAGGTTCCATGACACACCCATTCCAGAATGCTGACCAACCCTTAGCATTAGTAAATGCAACACTTGCATCTTCATTTGTTGAATTTACTTCTTAGTTTCTGTCCCCATGGAGAATACTTGAATTTGAAGGGAAGACTCCCTAAGTGTGGTCTCTCTCCA